CAGGTGCAGGGAGGACCATCTTGAATTGGATAATGGGTAAACTATCTTCCCTAATTGCACCGAGGGTTTCATTAGCCCGTGCTGACGACGCAAGCCCTGGGCCCAGAATAGACCTTTCCCAAAATAGAGGAGGAGATTGCAGTCATTAAAAGAACCACTCTGAAGGGCCATTGTTTGGTTTTTAAAGCTAACTAACGGGATTGTCCCCTGACCCAAATGTCCTAAATGTGTTTGGGAGCTCTGTTTTTGCACAAGTGGAGTTAGAAGCCGGGATGAATGGGTCACAAGCCTCAGCGCGGTACAATGGCTGCTCTTGTCTGCTTCTTTGCATTTTACAATTGTTACATTCATTAACTTTATGGCTGTGTTTTTGTGCCAAATTTTTCTCTTAACAGATTTTTTTTTAGTGGTGTGATAAAAGTTTTTCTCTTGATAAAGAAGAATTCAACGATAAAGTATAAGTTTTGTGTTTTGAAATCTTGCAGACGAAAACTTTTGGCCAAATCCAATCAATAACATTAGCTTTGTTTTTTACCATGAAATAACATCGCCAGAATCAAAGATCTGTATTCCAGCCTTGTAAAATTAATTTGTGTTTGTCAGTATTTTGGAAACAGAAAAGATACAAGGCGACTTAATGATGTGAATTGTAAATGGGGTCACAATTCGTTCTTGTTCTTTAAACTTTTTCAATTACGTTGTGTGGAAATTGTGCCAGGCCCTTTTTAAAGCGCAACAAGACCACAAAGAGAAGATGAAACAAAGTTATAAAAGTTAAATTAGAGCAAAGAAATTGAGACATAAAAGTTAATTTGCTCATAATTGAGATGACAAGTCAGATGGGTCGGTTTCCAAAAGGATAAATTGTGAGATATTATTCCACAGACGCTAAAATGTCCTTGGGCAAGACACCTCATAAAGCTGTGTTTATGTGTGATGTGGTTATAGCTGTAAAAGGTGCAAACAGGGTGCCCCAGGGCAGCTGTGGCACCAGAAGTAGCAGATGTGAGTAGGCGGAAGTGGGTTGTACAGTACATTGTCTTAAACACTCGCAGCTTGTTGCAATGTCCCTTCAACAATAAAGGATTTTTAAGTTAAGAGTGACTCGGACCTTTTCCTTTTTGTTTTCTACTTTACTTTCCCACGGATCCTTGAAGAACACATGACTGCTTATGTCTGCCCTTTATATTATTTATCCCTGTATGCATTCACTTCAGCATTGTTGAGTTTATTCCTGCTAGGACCTGGAACAATGCATCTGTCCTGTTGGTTTTGCACACAGTCCCCGTAAAAAGCTAAAAATCATACCATACCATATAAAAGTGTATATTCTGTGTCCAATAGAGACCAGTGTTCCCCGTGAGCAGTTTTAAATGTGAGGGTATTACTGGTGGTATTGAAATTATGTACAACTTTTATTAATAACCTGAAAACAATGACAGTAAGACGTTATTTATCATTTTCATGCTTTTATCTCTGAAATAAAGGAAGGTTTCTCACCTATCATCTGTACTTCAGCAGGTGTTCCAACGTTTTGTTCTTCATCCCAAGAACTTTCTCAAGGACATGAAAGCTCAGCCGCAAGTTGGAGATTTATAACCTGTGGGTGCAGTTAGACTGAGGCTAACTCACTAACACATTTATTGTCTGCTGAGACTATTACGGTGGAGTGCAGGTCCAACAATCCTAACTTAATATTATTATTTCACTAACCTTTCCCTGTTCGACATGTTGTCTGGGCGTTGTTTTTAGGACATCATCATAGGTGCGAGGCATTTGAAGAAAACAAACATGTACATTGATCCCTCATTTATCACAAGGATTATGTTCTAAAACTAACAGGCAACTCTATGAAGTAGCAGGTTGAAAAACCTCTGCTCACACCTTTTATACGCTTTTCCAACTACCTGAACTCACAACTGCTGAAGTGCAATCGCAAAGACATCAAACTGGTCGTTGTTGGTCTGAGGCCTCAGCAGCTGTCAAAATCCAGCTGCAGAGGCCTCCACGCTGAGGGGCAGAAACAGGACTGAGGTCTACGGGAAGACTGTGGTCGTCCTCTGAACTTATCACAGCAGTGCACGGATTTCTTCTGACTTACTGTAACTGTTATGTTATGGTAGCGGTTATAATGTTATATGATGTTGTTGGAGCATACACAGGACACATGAGAAGCAGGCTGTAAAAAAACACCCAAAATTGCATACAGAAAAAAAAATCAGTCCAGTTTTGGCTCAGTCCAGTCATTTTGTAGAAAGACTGTCTGGTCTCTCTCTTTGGTCTCGCTCTGGTCTCTCTCTGGTCTCTCTCTGGTCTCTCTCTGGTCTCTCTCTGGTCTCTCTCTGGTCTCCTCTCTCTGGTCTCTCTCTGGTCTCTCTCTGGTCTCTCTCTGGTCTCTCTCTGGTCTCTCTCTGGTCTCTCTTTGGTCTCTCTCTGGACTCTCTTTGTATGAAAGAATAGATTCCTCAAGTTGGGATGACGATGGTTGATGGCAGCGGAGGCGGATCTTCTCTCATACCTGTTTTTACTCCCACACACTCGCTAGTGTCACTAGTTTTGAGTATTTTATTGAAAGGAGGTTTGGCGCCCTAGGTCCCGGTGCGGCCTTCAGATCGGAAAGGCTCCTGCGATGGAGCGCGCACAATCCCCCGGGACCTAGGCACTGGTGGCGGCATTTGGCAGCGGGAAGCAGATTGAAGGCAGATTGGAGGCAGGGTGAAGAGGAGGAGGAGGGGAGGCGGTGGTTGCAAGGCTTCGGAGGCCGAGAGTGGGAGTTTCTCCGTTTTTATGCGGCTGGCGTAGTCGGTACGGTGATTGGAAGGGGGCGTCTGTTGAGCGATAGGCTGGGGATGCGAGCCGGCCTGGAGGGGGTAATTTTGGTTAACGTCTACCAAATTGAATTTTCGCGGGCTGCATCACTAAACAAACGCACGCACACACGCACGCACACACACACCAATACAATTCTGGTCTCTCTCTCTGGTCCCTTAAAGTCACTTTAAGTCATTAATGACCTGCACAAGAACTGAAACTTTTTATCGTACATAATATATCCTACACAAAAAATACTTAATTTTAACCTGTATCATGTTTGCACTCTTCCTGTCTGAGTGATTCTATCTAGGCCAAGTGTGAGATCAATAAAGTTTATCTTATCTTATCTAAAGTGCATTCCAAGAAAATACATGCGTAACATCTCCGTGACCACAAGCCGGTAGAAGACTAACAAAAAAAATGACAGGTTTAAACTATTAGATTATTTACATACGCCCCAAAGATTAAATCCAAGTAAATCCCTGGCTCGGCACAAAGCTGGATATCCGTTGTGTGGGGCAAAGATCTGGGCCCTCATATCACTGCTTGCATCTGAGGGCTTTGTGTGACCTCGGAAATGTGCTGTAAAAATCAGGATGACTTACTCCCTCACTTATACTTACTTTACTTACTTTCTCCCTGTGGATTTAAGCATGTAATGTAACTCTCTTGATCTAATGCGACTCCCCTGAGCTCCCACATACACACTGCCCCGTCTGCATACAGAGCACCTACCACCTGGACGCCAAAGCGGGTCAAAAAAAGAGAAATTTGAGTAAAAATATCTCACCACGGGCAACTAAATATAAAACACAAGAAATATAAGTGAGTCTGGACGATTGTTTCAGCACAGAATACAGCATCGCCCGACGGTTGCTGCAGGCTGTGTCCTCGATGTGGGAAGGAGAGGTTCCGCAGGTCTTTCCTCCCTGCTGCTGTCAGACTGTACAACAAACAACGAGTACTGACATCACTGCCGACCTGACCTCACATGTCGTGCATCTGTGCCATGTTTTGAACCACTGTCAGAAGGTCCGATATGAAACCTCACGTGTCCACTGTTACTTTACTTTACTCATCTGTGTCATAATAACTTTGATAATGTCAGAATGTGCAATATCAGTAGATTTACAGTGGTGAAGAAGTGGTACTGCACCCTTGTTTGAAAGAGAATACGCTTCAATACACCAAGATTGTAAAAAGCTTTGGGTGACCTTGGTCTGTGTAATGTGCTTTATAGATCAAGATTTGTGCTTCGGATCCCGCCTCTAATCTTGAGTCTATCTCTTTTTGTCAACGAATGAATGGAGCGACAGTATCTCAGTTGGTAGAGCATTGGCCTTTGAGCCTGGAGGTCGTGGGTTCGAGCTCACCATGGGACTTTCTCCAACTGCTCCCACAAATGTCTACTGTTGCTGTGTCCTCGGGCAAGACACTTAATCCCACGTTGCCTGAAGCCCCCGCTGAAAGACCAAGGCTGTTTCACCGCTGACGGAGCAGCCATCTTCTGGAGGACCCACCACCTGCAGAGGATCAGCGAGGGACTGGTGCTATGAGCGTTGGGTGGCAGCTCTTGGGTGGCAGTTGGCTTGCCACCCCCCGACCCAGTAATGGACAAATATCGGGGTTGACAATGAATGAATGAATTGTGCTTTGATTTTAATAAGTTTCTTGCTTCTTTATTTTTCAAAAGACAGAAATTTATTACTTAATTCTTATTATGCTATAGTCAGTAATGTTATACTCAATTCTTGCTTCTTCTTTCGGCTAAAGTTGGAGATTTTAGACTTGCTTCTTTATTATGCCGTTCTGATTTTTTCTTTTCTTTTATGATAGAGTTAAGGATATTTTTCCTTGTGTTGTGTGTTCCTCATTCTTACTGTTCTGTAAATGTCCTCACTGTGAGAAAAAACTATTCTTAATCTTTCAGGTGACAGTTTGTATAATATTTAGTATTTAGCTTCTTTGAGAAAATGTGAAAAATACAACACAAGTGAATTGATTTTGGATTAAAATACTGTATGTACAGTACGTGCATTTACATCGGCATCTCTAACCCAGAATGTGCAACAACAACAACAACAACAACAACACACAGACGACACAAACCTGCTGCTAATGATGCAACCTGTTTGTATACGTTTTGGTGAAAGGGAGGGTTTTAGGGAAACACTGAACTTTCACAAATGTGCGTCCGACAGATAAACAGTGACGTCACAGACACAGGCGTTCACTCCAGAGCTGTTTATGTTAGATAAATAAATTCTACTCACACGAATCCAAGTCTAGTATTGACCAAACTTTACTCTGAATGTTATGTTTCAAAGATAGATAGACAGATAGACAAATTCCACAATTACATATTTAAAGGTATCTAGGAGGATTTTTCCAAATTTTAGGAAAGAATCGCCGTCTCCACTTATTTAACAAAACTCTCTGGTCTTATTTGACGAACACATATCACCAGAATGATTGACAATTTGAAAGACCAATAGCCTTTATGATCCACCTGAAAGTAAAAAATCCACCTACCTTTGAGATTTGACTCAAAAATGTTCAAAGTGTATAATGTTCCTGGTTGGAGATGAGTCGCAGAAGTGACTGTAAGGAAAGGTGATGCCAGTTTCTTTGTAGAGTTGTATAAACAAGAGCCAAAGAGTCTCATTTACAACTCAGCATTACTTCCTGTATATTATAGTATACAAAATATATTCTTCAACTTTTTTGTCACAAACTATCACTTGACTGGGCTAATAGGAGTGCAAGAAGACAGAGCGGCACATACAAAAGCATGGATGCGACGAGTACTTTTAAAAGACTTAGTGGGTGAAATGCACTGTATATAGAAACACTTTAACGCACAAAGATCGGAGAAGATATTAATATAAGCTAAAATTAAGTATATGAAACCAAACTGAACAAATCCAAAGCCCACAGAGACCTGGGATGAAGACAAACGTTGGTCAGACTTGCCTCTGTCTTGGCATTGATCTGCTGGGAGACATTTGAAAGTCTGGAGGCCGATGATTATTTGTTTCTGGAAAGGTTGGGCCATGTTTTGTCCGTGATTCACATCTGCCATGGGTGATTACGAAAGAGAAATCATCACTCTCTGTGTCAGTAAACCCGGGTGCGTTTTTCTTTCTGTTGATCGCAGAATCACTGATCGCCCGCAACAATTTCTCACGTTTTTTGCTGCGAGAAAACTATAAACAATGACGTCACTCAAAGATCCTCCTATATAGAGATCCTGTATTCGTCCCACAGTGGGGAAATTTCAGCGTTGCATCACCGGTAACAGAACAGTGGGAATGAGGAGCAAAAACAAAAAATAAATGAACAGTAACTCCATGCAATGAAAATCTATCATAATAAATAAGCTTGTACAAAATCTCTAGCTTTAGCCTGACAAGGAATCAAATCTAAACTCTCTGACTTAAGCATAAGGAGAAGTAAGTATAAAATCTCTATCTTTTGAAGACTTTGACTTACTTGTAAAACTGTAAAACTACTAACAATATTTACCAGTTATACTTTGACAAGAAAGGGTCATCACATTCCCAAATACATTTCAAACTGTAACAAAAACAAGCGACAAACAAGTAGGCTAATTAAGAAACCGGCTCCATTCATAACCTTTTTATATTCAGAAATGGCCCATATGCCGCCAGGACAAATGAAAACGTGGATGAGATTTAGGGCCTTCTTGAACACTTTGAAACATGGCAGCCATCAAGACTGTTGCGCTGTAAAACTTCACCACATCACTCACCGTCTCCTCGTGGATCTGTATCAAAGCCTCAGTGTCAGACAGATTATAAAACACGATCGTAAAGACAACCTCAGAAACTTCAACTCGAAAAAAGTCAATTTGAGTGTAATGTATAACGTGTGATAAAATACATACAGGATGTTTTGAGAAGGCCTAGTATGTTATAGGCTCCGACTAAAAGGACTATATAAGAATACATTGAATTGAATTGTATTGAATATGTACTCATGTTTATTCCATGTTTAAACTGGTGCTTAAGTGTTTTATTTGACAGTGATTGGCCAGAGTTCAGCTGGAAGACATGTTGAGTTGAATATAGAGTCGAGTACAGTAGAGTAGAGTAGAGCAATAGGACTGGTGGAAACAGGGCTTTTGATGCTTGGGACTGAGAGCTGATTGTGAGGGTGGTCCTCTCTGTTTGACGTTTATGTTTGGAAAAGTGGACCTAAAGGAAGAAAAAAACATGTAAAATGAAACTGGTAAACCGGTAAAACTTGTGTGTGGCCTCTAACAACGTGGTGTACAGACTATTTTGAGATTCAAGAAATAAAGAAAGGCAAAAAAAAAGGTGCGTGTGTGAATGTGTGTATTATTTCCATCTGCGTGTTTGTGTGTACGTGTAAGTACGTTTATGTGCGTGTTTGTACGTGTTTATGTATGTAAGTGTGCTTATTACCGTGTACGTGTGTGTACCTGCATGTGCTGTTTGTGTGCGTGTTTGTATGTGTGTGAGTATACGTACGCGTGTGCATATTACTGTGTGTGCTTTATACTGTATTCTTCATGTGTTTTAACTGTTGATTCTCTGACCTGTGTTGGTGATTTCAATGGTTTTGTTAAGTCCTCTGAGATGACTTCTGTTGTGACCTAGGGCTATACAAGAATAAATTGTATTGTATTGTATTGTATTGTAAATGCGTGCGTGTCCGTGTGTATCTCGCAGAGGATATGCTTGCCTTGCCATGATTGGCTGAGAGCGCAGTCTCCACAGCGGTCCGTATAAAACGTCAGTGTCTTTGCAGTTGGATCCAGAGCGTGGGGAGCGGAGCGCGCACAGCAGGACGCACGGCGCGCATCGTATACTTTTTACTGCTTCCACTGAACGAACAAACTTACCACGGAACACACAAAAACCGCGCTGGTGGATTATAAGGTGTCTGGAAAAGCCATCGCGCTCCCTGTGGATTCGGTATGTTTGAGTTGCCTTTTTACTTGCATAAAAACTGTTATATTTGATTTTAACGCTGCGGAGAAGGCAGAGAAGAAGCAGCTACGAAAAGTTGGATGACTTTCTGTTTCTGTGCCAATATAATGCCTCAGAGTTTATATTCTCTCTCTTTATTTAAGGCCGAAACAGTCATGGACTTTTTTGTGCAGACTTTTGATAGGATTGATAGAAATCCCTTCGTTACTCAAACTTAAAAACAACAAATGATGCAAGTTTAGAGAGTTTCATAATGGACTTTGCACGTACACGTAAGTTTAAAAAAAAACACATGTCCAATTATAATTTTTTCTTCAGATTTGAGATCATTTATCAGCAGCTTATTTCTAGAAAGGGAAAGCTTTTGGATGATGATCACTAAACATTAAGGAAATTGGTGAAAAGATTGAATATGGAATCAATACTTAAACGTTTTTTTGTTTTTGTTTTTATTGCTTAATGGATGCTTGCATAAGACCACCCCATGCTCTATACTATGTTGGGAAATCCATGCGTTATTGTAATTGATAAAAAAGTAAGTATTTCCTTTCTCTTCCTCTATAGTTCCCAATGATGTAGAGGTTCAATGCAAACATCTGTGGAAAATTGCAGGAAAGTAAATGACATATCCATCCTGAGACAAGCAGGAGACTGGAGAGAATGTACATCTTTATAATGGATTCTGGCTCTGACCAGTCCACCTGGGTCCTGGTTCAGCCAAGTCCTGATCTGCTGAACCACCACATGCTGCTTGCCTTAGATTCCACTGTCTTGTCTTTTTGCAATGAAACTGGATTGTATCTTTTTCTGTATCTATATTTTGCAGTTGCATGTTTTATTGCAGGGATATAAAAAAGGCAACAACATATGGGCTGTTTTTAGTATGACCTGTTTCCGTGTTAGAAAATAGACTCTTTATCTGTATTGACGAAATATCCATATTGCCACGCACATTAGATCGGTAGGAAAAAAATAATAAAAAATCAAGATAAGTTTATTTCATGAGACACTAAAGATTTCTAAAGATTTCAGAATTCTTTTTATTGCCATTGTGAGTAACAGGAAGTCACAAATAAGGAAATTGCTTTGGTTCTTGGTACAAACAAGTTATAAAAGTAAAAATAGAAATAGAATAAAACCTTTAGAGAAAATATAGGCATAGTATTGGTAGTATGGGGTTTCAGATTTAAAGTAGGTTTAAAGTAATGTCTAGCATATGGATACAACATGTTCAAATAGACTCGTCCAACTATAAAAAGGTTTATAGATGACATATTGAGACAGATATATATTTAAACTCTAATGAAGCTGTCATTTGCACTGACACAATTACAACAAATTGGATCATATTACCCAAAAATTATGTATTTAAAAAACATCTATTCACATTTATGGGCATTGGTAATCTGCCCCTTATGGACCAATGGCTCCTATGTGGGTGCTATTAGTGCATTTCCTGTTTTAACGGTTTGATTCTCTGATCTGTGTCGGGGAGTTGACAACTTTGTGAAGTCCTCAGAGAAAACTACTGTTGTGATTTAGGTCTGTAGAAAAACACTTGAATTGAGTTTAACTGGAAATAGCAAAAAAAGTTCACAGATTTTAAACAATAACCCTGTAAATATGTTGTTCCACCCATCAGTTATTTAGATATAGTTTAGTGTCATATTGAGGAACATTAGAAGCAAAGCCATTTAACTTCTCCTTCAGAAAAGTTAAAACAAAGCCCTATTATAAACCTAAGTCCCATGTCCGCCTCATAAAGTCACGGTTGACTGCTTAACATTATTTTCAATTTGTTTTCGAAGTAATTTCTTGAATTTTCTCTCCCTCCGGTGCATGATTGGATTATTTCTATCTCCAGCTGCAATCTTTTTGTTGCCAAATCTCCACATCTGATAAATCCATTCCACTTCAAAGTTGCTTCCTGACGTCTCCTGTATAAACTGAGATACTCTGTCCAAAACCGGGTGGAATGACACAGTCCGCTCTCAGAGTATGTTTCGTGAGCTGAGTTTTTGCATTAAAAGTCAGTTTCGGAGACACAAAAGATATACGTGTGTGACATAAGTTGATTCATGTGACTTTTGCAAAGAGAAAGAGCATCTGTGCTTCTGAGCCGCAGGGAATGGGTTTGATAGTGATGCTTCGCGAGGAGATTTTGATCAAGTTTACCACCGCAAATTAAAATCAAACCAAGTTAACACAGACAGAAGTGTGTTGTCCCCACAGAAGGAGCCAGTCAAAGAATTCTCAAGTATCTTCGGATATAGGTTTCGTGCTCAGAGTTTGGAGTGTTTCAATTTTTCCTACTTTTCTTGAACTGTGCGTTTTAACACTGACATTTCCCTCACTTTTTTTTCTAACCAGAATTGTTTTTGTTTGCAAATGTTTACATGTCAAATGCAAATCAATCTATTTGTTGTATCATGGGACACCTCTTATTTAGTGGAGAATAAATACCATTATCAAAATCATATATTCATTAATACCAGGAGTAAAAGTCATTCTCATATTGAAAGTTATTTGAGAAAGTATAAGTTAAAAATGTGTAATTCCTCAGCAATTTGATATGAATATGAACTAATACAAAACTTAAGATGCAGTAAGATAAGATAGACTTTATAGTGCATTCGTGACTTTAAAGTGACTCATTGTACAGTCTGACAGTAGTGGGGATGTAGCACTGTACTTTTATCTCGTGGTCAGCGTTTGTACCCAGTGTTTTGTTCATTCGCTAATATGAAAATTGAGTGCAAAACGTCGGTATCGTGACAACACTGCTTCATTGTTTGCGCGTCCTATGACTTTCTGTTATAATGTGTCTGTTCGGAGAAACGGCCGGAAGGATTTGTCGATGTCGAACGTCCTGCTCCAGACCTGCATCAGAGCGATCCCTGCAGTCACAGCTTGTGTTTGAATGTGTTTGTTTGTGAAGACGCCCCACGGCATGCTGGGATACGCACAAACTCGCACACACACACACACACACACACATGACTGAGAGAGAGCAGCTGTTTTGATCTGAGGACGTCACTGTTTCAAATGTTAGACTCGCAACTAGTGAGAAAAGAAAATATTGACGATTTAATGGCGGTTGGATTTTGCTGTACGTCATCTTCCTCATTTCTGTTTTTCTGTAACTTGTGATGCAACCCCGGAATTTCCCCACAGTGGGAAGAATAAAGTTTCTCCTATAATTTGAATAATATCTAATATGTTTGAATCTGCAGTGCTATAAAAGATATTCATAAAATAACTGTGCTTAGAAGTCAATAGGGGCAAAACTATGCATAAACTGATCTTTAACTTTATATATTTGTATGTTTTTTTTTTTTCTTGTAAAATTGCGAACTATTATTTTACCGACTGTATTTGCCCAGTTAAAAATGTGGTTACCTGAAGAAGCATTGCTCATTTTCTCTCTAAATACGATTATCTAAATGCTTTATGATTTCAAATGTGTATATTTAGCTGAGCTGAAGTTGGCTGGTTGACAGTGGAACTTGTGTTCATGAACTCTACTTGAACTAGTGGTCTGTAAAAGCCTGATTAGCTTTTCCAGACTTCTTTGAGTCATCAGTCATTATGGATCTTATCACATCAAGTAAATTGTGGTGTTTCAGTGAGGTCCATATGCAGAGATCCTGTTTGATGAAATGTGTTGGTGGAAGAGTGGAAACCGTGACTTCCAATGACTCAAAAAACAACAGAAAAAAAATCTATAATATCCGATCTCGACCAATTACAGATGACATGAGACCAAACCCCGGTGATCCAAGATGGCGCCGTATTCAAAGGAATGGTTTGTGCTCAGGGCGCCTGTGCCGGCATGGGGACAGAGAGATTAGCGGAACTCGTCCATATTGCATTGCACGAAATACGCTTGTGTGGCTCTCATGCACGTGCACAGAGGGGCTCGGCCGCGCTCTGACCAATCAGAGCTGCTGATCAGAGCGGAGTTAGAGAGGTAGTTAGATCAGGAAGAAAATTAGCAGAGTTTGTGGCAGTAAATTGTGGATTTAAAGAAAACCGAAGGATTTAGTCTGGTATAGTCTGCAGTACCGCGAGAATCCCACAAGCACATGGGTCCTGCTGCTCCAAGCTAGTATTACCCTATCCAGTTATTATAATAGATCCATGTATGGGACATGTGAACGGTAACCTCCATGGACTGGACTTGGGGAAAACACCACTCATAATATTCTCAGGTCTTTAAAGTAGCAATATGTAAGATTTTCATGTCAAGTCATCATTAAAGGGCCTTAATCTGTCAAAAGACTCTTTTCAAATACTTCTTTAACTGATAACAGTAGTTCAGCCGAGATATTTGTATTTCAAATTTCTAATTTAATGTCCCACCCTCCACTGTTTTACTTACTTACTTACTTACTTACTCTCAGGAACTCCATGATCCGGGGTGCCAGAACTGACCGCGTCAAGCTAATCTCAGTAAGTAACATGTGGCCGCAGAACTAAAAAAGGTCTCATTATGATTCTCAAATCATTAACCATAAAACAAGGATTTCTATCTTTGTGAAAAAAGTGTTGGTTATAGATTTGTTGTTGACAAGACAACTTGTCTGTTCAGTTATTGTGGTCCCAGCTGGATTCGTCTGCAAATCTGGCAACCCGAACCAGGGATAGTGGGAGAGGTTGCCGTACAACTTTTGGTCAGATTTTTACACACTGCTCAAAGTCACGACGACCTGGGCCATATGTTGCTCGGAGTAGTTAATATTTGTGGCTTGGCGTCTTTGTTATGAAGTATGTTTTGACGATTAAGGGCTCTGTCAGCTGGACGTAGATCGCTGCCTCAATCTCATTATTTGGCAATTCCACTATGGTCAAAACTGATCGAGTGTTTCTAGTAATCAACAACTGGACGTGTTGGAAGTGTTTGTGTATGCGTGTGAAATGTATTGCGCTTCTTGTTGGTGTCCTTTGTGTTTTACTTTGTGTTTTACTTTGTCTTGAAAACATAGCAGACCCATCATCAGTCCAAAACAAATGTCTCAGGAAAGGCAAATAAACAATTGTTGAATCTCAAATCTTGAACTCTTCTCATGGTCTAATTGTGGAATGCTCTATAAACAGACCCCAACACTTAAATGGGATTTTAAGATTCAAGCAGAGCAGTAAACAATTCAATTAACCACATAAAATGAATGTGCGTTTCAGCGACAGGTTTGTCCAAATAAACAGATTTTTCTTTTAATTGCCACTGTAAAAAGCAGAATTATTTCTTGGCCAGTTTACATGTTTTTCAGCAGATTTGTAGTTCAACTTTTATCTAAATTGTTGCATCTCTCTCACATCTGAACACCCGACATAGACTTGCAGAGAATGAACAAAAAAACGATTGCGGAACAGTTCATTTGTTTTCGTCTCTTGAGCTCTGTCCAAACCACACATTTCTATCTTAATTCTCTCCTGAGGCGACAACATGTAATTCTCTTTTTGTCAGTCAGTAATCCGTGTAAAATGCTTGTTGGCCATTACGCTAATCTTTAAGGTAACGTCATCGTGTCCTCAGGCGGAGCGTGGTTGGTGGGCCGCAGCTTCTAATCTTTGCTTTCGAATGTTTATTTACATTTCCTAACAGGGTCACGATCATTAAGAGAAAACTGTGCAATCAGGAAAGACAGACCCAGGAGACGGATGCCTTTGTAAGAAACCGGATATCATCTTTGCACTCATAAACATAGAAGAGTGAAGAGACAGAATTTAGAATGCGCTGGAAAACGGCAGCAGGTCCTAAGTAGCTCTGAAACAGTTATTGTTTTGTGCTTTCTAATTTTTTATTTGTATTGCTTTTTATCTACTTGGGATGTTGCTGCAGTACAGTGTTCATGGTTTTACACTGGTCCAGACCAGAGCAGAGAGGATTCATGGTCCGAACAAAGTGGACCAGGCAAAAATCCACTGGAGGAATACTAACTTTTTGAAAAATTCGAATGAAGTATTTAGCATTTTACTTTGGACCAGAGCAGAGAAAATGGTCCGAACCAAGCGGCTGCTCCACCATGTGACCTGTCCTGCTCCACCCAAAGGCCACTCCGTTTTTACTGCTGTGACTTGAAGGCCGTGGCTGATCAATACTATTGTTAGCTTTTTAGAATGATCAATTTTATTTTTGCTGCTTGTGGACACTTGAATTTCTCCTACGGGGATCAATGATGTATCTATCTACAGGGATCTCTCTATCTAAACAGTTTTAACCTGGATTTGAACATTGTCAGAGTAGAAGCCTGTCTCATATTTTTAGTCATATTTTAGACTTTAGCTGCATCAATCTGAAATGCAGCCTCCCCATGTTTACTTCTGACTCTAGGCACCAGCAAGAGGCCAGTCCCTGTGCTCCTTAGTCTGTGTTAGTTCATATGGGACAAACATGTCACTAATATATTTTGGTTTGAGGCCATGGAGAGACTAATACTAACACTTGTAACACGCAGAGCTGTTTTTAAATCTATTCTCTGAGCCACAGGAAGCCAGTGCAGAGACGGTCGGCACTAGATCAAATACAGAATCGGAACGAAAGCAGAAGTAACAATCCTACTTTAGAATTATCATTAGACTACTAAGTTCTGAAGTGGTGACTGGTTAAGTTTTATGTGTCTGAGTAAGATGGTTAAGGTTAGGGTTAAGGGTGGGTTGGGGTTATTCTATGGGAGAGGCTAACTAAGTTTAGCCATGGATCTATTAGTTTAGGTAGTTGGTTATATTTACTTCCACCCAAATTCTGTATATGATCTAGTGCCGACCGTGCAGAGACCTGAGGACTGGACAGATGTGGTTGTACTTCCTGGTTCTAGTCAGGGCTCGAGCTGCAGCGTTCTGAATATGCAGCAGCTGTTTGACAACTCACAACAGTGGCTCAGTTGGTAGAGAATTGACCTTTGAGCCTGAAGGTTGTAGGTTCGAGCCCACCACAAGACCTACTTCACGACTCCCACTGATGTATGCTGTCGATGTGTCCTTGGGCACTTAACCCGACTTTGCCTGAGGCCCCCACTGAAAGATCTCAGCTCCTGTGGACTCACCACCTGCAGGAGGATCAGTGAGGGGCTGGTGCTCTGTGAACTGGGTGCAGCTCTGACTGCCACCCCCCCGGCCCAGAAATGGATTAAGGGGAAGAAAATGAATGGATGGATGGATAAAGCTCCAGAACAGGACGTTACAGTCGTTGAATCTAATGGAGACAAAAGCATGGATAAGAATCTCCAAGTCTGCTTTAGATTTGTCTGAATCTGGCAATGTTTTTCAGATGGTAAAAGCTGATTTTAATGTGGTTGTTAACATTGAGATCTGAGTTCAGTTATGTAATAATATAAATAAATACAATCATATACATATGTCTACCAGGCCACAACAACATCCAACATACTTCAATAAACATAAGTCTTACATCCAGAATAGTCATTCCAGATTGAACAGATATTTCTTGCCAATATGTGGTCCAAACCCTTTCTCCCAATATTCAAAAACCAAACAGTGTGAAATCATTGCACGCTCCAGAAAATTCACTAACATTTGATTTATTTTCACGGTTTGAAAATCAGATAACGTCAAATCGGAGACATCATCAAACCAGTGTTCGCTGTCTAAATATTGAAAGTCCTTGCTTCACTTCTCTTGCGCTCCACATGGTCAGAGTAAGTGTTTTTGCAGCAGCCCTTGGTATTTTAATGACCTTGACTGAGCATGTGTGGCCATCACAAAGACTCAGCCTCAGTGTTCAAATCTGGACCTTTTCTCCGGGCCGTTGTTTAGGATTTCACAGAGAGCTGCTAACCGACCGTATCTGCCTTTAATCAGCAGTTATAATGTTGTTTAAACTGTGCATGCGACCCGGCCGGGCAGTCAGGTGGAAACTGGATTCAACAAAAGGGTATTTCAACTAATTTAAATCAAATAAATACTACGGTGGTTGTGGCTTGTGTATTTTGCTTATGCAGCACACGTTCTTCCTGGTCCAATGAATACAATACTGTGATTGTAATTCTGGTATTTTGTTTAATCTGTGAAGAAAACACACAGAAAAGTAGCGATTTGTAGAGAAATCTTGTGTAATATTATCATTGTTTTGATATTAAGAATCATACAAAATGTGTCTCAAAGAAAAATTGTTTACCCTTTTAATGTGATGATCAAGATTTTTTTTTTATGGTACCTCTTTTGTACTTTGAGGAGGTCAATCAATCAATTATTTATTTGTACAGCATAATTTGTGTTCAAGGCAAATTCTTCACACAAGCAATTTTTAACCACTTGTGTGAATTTTAAAGTCAATGAAATATACAATCATCTCATATTAAAACAGTAGAATAAAAGTACGGGTTTTAAAAAATCTCTAAAACCAATAAATAGTACAAAATAGAGATGACTTACATGTCCAGATAAAATGGTTTCTTGTGGATTTTTATTTTCCGCAGACTTGCAAGTCGCCCACAGCCATTGATCTCTTTGGTCACTGAGTATACATATTTCTTTAGCACGCTTTGGAAAACATTTAAAAAAGCAAGTGGAGATTTATGCCTTGGTAAGTCCAGAGTTAGGAAATCTCTATGTCTGTATCAAATGTTTTTTTTTTTTTTCATGGATCAGGTTGAGATACAGAGTAAGATAGAGTGAGATGGAATCCTGTCAAACAGAAAAGAAACACACTCAACAACACAGTATCACAGTATAGCCATTGGTCCATAGAGAACGGGATGAGCAATGATCATAATTGTCCTAAAATGTCCCATGTCATCACTATAAGTAAATAAGTAAGTAATTTTTATCTATATAGCGCATTTGACGGACCAAGGTCACCCATAGCGCATCACAATTGTTGAGAGTTCAGATATGGGCGGCACAGTGGTTGAGTGGGTAGTTCTCTCGCTTCTCAGCAAGAAGGTCCTGGTTTCGAATCCCAGTCAGGGTCTTTCTGAGTGGAGTTTGCATGTTCTCCCTGTGTCTGCATAGGTTTTCTTCCGGTGCTCCCATTTCCCCTACCACTAAAAATCTGCACAATATAGGTCCGGTCCTGACCAAGCCGAGCATCAACATCTGGATATGGGTTCCCGGGCGCTGTACAACGGCGACCACTGCACCTGACATTTACATCTATTTATTTACATTATATTTTTCCCGTCTCTCCATGACGGAAGCGAGACGCCGAACACACTGGCACATCAAAGTTCCCTACCCACACTTTTTATTCACTCCCTCATTACATTCAGACCTATTGTCTAAAGTGGATTGGATTAGATTGTACATGTTTTTCGTGGTAGGGGGGAACCGGAGCACCTGGAGGAAACCTACACAGATACGGGGGGAACATGAAAACTCCACACAGAAAGGCTTGGAGGAAGAATCCAACCCAGGACCTTCTTGCTGTGAAACACAAGCTCTAACCGCTGCAAGGAGCGACTCAAAAAACCCAGGGGAAAGAACTTCAGGGAGGCCCACACCGAGAAGGGGGTCCGCTCCCACAGACGAACAGGCTATAGATCCAGGAGTCAGGCTGTAGAGTAACTAATCCAGCGTCAAAAATCTTTCACTAGAGTTTTCCATAATACTTCTATGGTTATTCAATCTCTGCAATGAACTGATAACATTGTCAGAACCCAATCACATTAATAATAATAATCATGTATTCTCTGTCTTCTCAGGTGCACGTCCGCCTCTCTCAGCCTGGAGCATCTGCATGAACGAGCCTGCATGTAACCGGCCGTACTCTTCATCTCTGTGTGTGTGACCGTGCTGCGGGGGCCATCATGAGGCTCTCGGCTCTGCTCTGCCTCCTCGCCGTCACCGCCATCGGGGTCGAATGCCGGAGAATCGCCCGGGACTCCCCCACCACCTCCGAGTCCGAATCACCGTCCAACTCCAACAACTCGGCCCTGGTTCCGGCCCCGCAACCCAGCCGGCCGAGAGGAGCCTTTCCACCCATGTGCATCAAACCCACGGAGATCAAAAACGCCTTTAAGTACGTCAACACCATCGTCTCCTGCCTGATATTCGTGGTGGGGATAATCGGGAACTCGACGCTGCTGCGGATCATCTATGAAAACAAGTGCATGAGGAATGGGCCCAATGTGCTGATCGGGAGTCTGGCTCTGGGAGACCTGCTCTACATCATCATCGCTATTCCCATCAACGTCTTCAAGGTAAGCAGGAGAGGATGTGCTCGGGGTTTTAGTGATTAGTAGTACATTTAGTAAGATGCACAAATAGTAGTAAAAAAAGTAGTAGGCATGACAGAAGAGGCTGGTCAGAAAAAAGGATTGTATTTGCTGTAAGTCTGGCGCGACAGTATCTCAGTTGGTAGAGCCAGAAGGTCATGGGTTCGAGCCCACCTCAAGACTTTCACTGTCTGCTGTCGTTGTGTCCTTGGCAAGACACCTAACCTCTAGGAACACCTGATGCCACAGTGGGGCGGCTGCGGCTGTAAAGTGCCAAACTACTGTTGTGTCCTTAGGCAAGACACTTCACCCCCATTGCCTAGAATGAGTCTGGTGTGTGTGAAAGGTTGGTAGTGGTCGGAGGGGCCGATGGCACAGACTGCTTGCCTCGCTTCTGTCAGTGTGCCCCAGGGCAGCTGTGGCTACAGTAGTAGATGCATCACCATCACCATCACATATGCATCATATATGAAGTGAAATAATAATGACATGTGATGCATTATTATTATTATTATTATTAATATAGTCAACGACTCATTAGGATATTTATTAATAGGACCGTTATTCTTTCTATTGATTGATTAGATGTTCATATTCAACAAATAAATATATTATTATATTATTATTATTTTTATCAATTTGGTAAACTTCAATCCCTAGAGTAATTTTTTTTATTTTTTTGGAACGGCAAAAAAACTGTTCTACACTAAATATTTTGATCTATTTTATTAGTTTATTTGACAGGGACATTGTGCATAATGAACATTTCTGTGAATGCAGCCTGGAACAGGTTTACACAGTCTCCCTGCAGCCAATGCTCTGTCTGCACATGTATTTATTTTAAAATGCTCATTCTCAATTATTTTCCCAGCCCCACATACAAAAACAAAAAAATGTAAACACATGAGTTTCAGTATGTCAGCAACATTTCTTTGTGAGTGATGATAATGATGTTCTGGGGATGCTGGGACAAACACACATCACCTCAAAGTCCAAAGACTCGTGGAAACAGTCCCCTTTCTTTCCTCTTCCTCTTTCCCGTGTTCTTCCTCTGTTCTGGCTTCATAAAACAGATTATTCCCATTATTCTCATTTTTACACCTAATCAAATGCCCCAATAAAACGTTTGGTTTTTCCAGTCAGCCCTGCGCTCTACGTGACAACTGTTGTTAATTGTAAAGTTAAAAGCAGTCATTTCCTCGGCGTGGTGTGGGAGCATCTGCGCTCTGGTCGCGTGGAGGCCGCTCTGGATCAAACCGTTTGTGGCCGTGGTTTGGGGCAGACATGTGAAGTGATGTTTTTGGTTTCCTGTTTCCAAGAGACTTTTCCAACTTAACGCAACAGTCAATAAACAGGAAAACAAGATGCAGACACAGGTCGAAGGCACTCTGTGGACAGGACATGTTGATTTGAGTACTCCGCGGGACATGACAATTTAAATGTTAGCTTACAAACAAATATATACAGTTATTTCATACACACACAAAATATACAAAAACTTGCAAGTTCAAACAGGTCGTGATGGAGGCTCAGTTGTGTCGAAACGCATTGGCATTGTTCAAATATAAGGCAAGGCAAGTAATACTCATATAGAATTATGCTAAAGTTAGAGATTTTATTATATCTAAGGCCCCGTCCCAATATTCACGCTGCACCCTACACTCCTCTACGAAGTGTGCATTTGTTTGAAGTGCACGCACGGGTTTGAGTGCGCAGGTTATAAGCGTGCAAAAAAAGGCGGAATTGGGACAGTGCAGGTTGCGTCATCGACTTGTCAAGAGATGGTCATTTTCAGACATAAAGTTTATCAAATTAAAGGTCATTTCGTCCGACCCTGTGGGAAACAAAAGTAGTAGGTATGAATTGCTCCACACATGTTAAAATAAATTCATATTGGTTGTTCGTAATTTGAGATAGCTGTATGAATTTAAGTTAAATGTGGGTAACTAACTGTCATCTGGTCAGTTTTTATACATCCTAAATTTATTGTACTACGTGTAACGTTTAAATTGAATGTTATATGAATGCTTGCATTAAAAAAGTTATGAAATTGTTAGTATAGAAAGTCCATAAATACACTTATGCTGCTTTCCAAGTAACATAGCAAAACTTATTTACGCGCATACAGCATTAATATTTCAAAAATTACACTTCAATGCATTTTCATGACGTTTGGTTTGTACCGGGTGGAAGTGTGAGTATTGGGACTGGGCCTTAGTATAGAGTTAGTGTTCACTTACCATTTATGGACATTTATCAACATTTATCTGCCCCTTATGGACCAATGGCTCCATGTGTTTTTTATCGTTGCATTTCTTGTGTCTGAACGGTTTGATTCTCTGATCTGTGTTGACAAATTCAAGTCCTCCAAGATAACTACTGTTGTGATTTAGGGCTATACAAAAATAAATGAAAATTGAATGATCTTCTGCTGTGTTCCCCTCATACACTGTTCTCTAACTGGTGAAATGAGCACATATTTGCCTTGAAAGATGGTGTGTATATATTTTATTTTGAAGAAAAAAAAGAAAAGGAAAAGAAATCTAAAAGCAATGAATAATGTTCCAGCTCAATTCAGATGTAGTTTGAAAGGAGAAGAATGTCTCGGCTGCATCCAAATGTTTCCTTTGTAGTGATCCCTGTGTTCCCGCCTCACGCAGGATGATAAATGTGCAGATAGTACGAGCATTTCAGAGCGACTGTGTGGATGGGAAACAGCTTTTGTGGATTGATACCAGCCGCGGTTTGGACATGATTCCTTCCAGATTTAGAATTAGTGCATAGTGTGATTGTTTAGCAGCGGGAGATCTGACAGGAACAAAAGAACAAGTTAAACCTACTGTATATGGCGTACGTGAAGAGGGCTGCGTGATTTATTGCAATCGAAAAAACAATTTCTTTGCAAATAGAAAATTGTCTTGATATACTATATCAATCTGGCTATCCCTGAGAAACAGTTCTCAACCTTTTTTTGCCCTCAGTCCCCCCTGCCAGCCTGGTCAGAGTGCCCCCTACAATTCATTGTTTCACTCCAGGGTCGTTTTGGTTTTGGCCACAACTGTTTTTCAGCTTTACTAAGATTAGATAAGACAGTCTTCACAATCTCAAACTGGAGTAATTTAAAAATGTACTAGCCTCCATCATGTGCTTTTGTGGAGAACTGGTTTATTGTTGATCTTTATAGTAGTAAGTAAGTGAGTTTTTATTTCAAACATAAAACAAACAATATACAAAAGACAATATGAAAAATACAGTTTGACAGGTATATCTTGACGAAAAAGGGGCTTCTAAATAACTACATAAAAAAATAGTACAATTACCAAAATGGGACCATTCTAGGTTCAATGTTTAGAATAAAATACATAATGCGGTTGTTTTTATGAGCAGATTAGCGCTAAACTTATGTATAACGTGCCATAGTAGTCCATAACAACCTTAAACACTGCCTCAAAGCTCTAAAGCAGGCCTAGATATACAAATGACAGAAAATGGGCAAATGGGAGATTAAATAAATGAGGTATTGTAGATTTTGAGTGCCTTTTGACGATTTTAACTTCTTATGGAAAAGTCTTGTTTAAATCTCTTCAAATAAAGAAAGACAACCGTGAACATATCAACCATGAACATTTCCTTAAAGTTTTGGTTTTACCTCAAGTTTGAATTCTCCCAGTGCTCTTTCAACATTGTAATAACATAAATTGCTAATCAAATTGTAATCGCAATGTTTTTATTTTACTTTTTTTTTTTCATTGTGCAGCCCTAACATAAACATTTACTACATATGACAGAGAATGGAGTTTTCTGGTCTCATGCCATGAAGTGTGTGTGTGAAAGGTTACAATGACTGGTCCAGACCTGGTTTAGATTTTGGACGAAGTTGTTGATGTTTTTAGAGTTTTTTTCCTCTTGTTGTTTGCGTGACATTAAAGGAGTTCACAAATTACAAAGAACATATTGCGCAGAGTAATAACATGGCATTTCTCCGTCATCAAATTCAAAGAGGAGGTGTGCCCACAAAAAACAATTATAGGACAGTATGGTTGCTCTGGTAAACCTCTACCTCTACCTATCAGCAGCCCATAAAAACAGTGAAAACACTATATTGACTCAAAACTGGGACCAGGCAACTGTGAGTCTGTGGATGGACCAGGCCTTTGTTAGTCTGTGGATGGACCAGGCCTTTGTTAGTCTGTGGATGGACCAGGCCTTTGTTAGTCTGTGGATGGACCAGGCATTTGTTAGTCTGTGGATGGACCAGGCCATTGTGAGTCTGTGGATGGACCAGGCATTTGTTAGTCTGTGGATGGACCAGGCCATTGTGAGTCTGTGGATGGACCAGGCATTTGTTAGTCTGTGGATGGACCAGGCCATTGTGAGTCTGTGGATGGACCAGGCTACTGTGAGTCCGTGGATGGACCAGGCCACTGTGAGTCTGTGGACGGACCAGGCCACTGTGAGTCTGTGGATGGACCAGGCCACTGAGTCTGTGGATGGACCAGGTCACTGTGAGTCAGTGGATGGACCAGGCCACTGTGAGTCTGTGGATGGACCAGGCCACTGTGAGTCAGTGGATGGACCAGGCCACTGTGAGTCAGTGGATGGACCAGGCCACTGTGAGTGTGTGGATGAACCAGGCCACTGTGAGTCAGTGGATGGACCAGGCCACTGTGAGTCAGTGGATGGACCAGGCCATTGTGAGTCTGTGGATGGACCAGGCTACTGTGAGTCCGTGGATGGACCAGGCCACTGTGAGTCTGTGGACGGACCAGGCCACTGTGAGTCTGTGGATGGACCAGGCCACTGAGTCTGTGGATGGACCAGGTCACTGTGAGTCAGTGGATGGACCAGGCCACTGTGAGTCTGTGGATGGACCAGGCCACTGTGAGTCAGTGGATGGACCAGGCCACTGTGAGTCAGTGGATGGACCAGGCCACTGTGAGTGTGTGGATGAACCAGGCCACTGTGAGTCAGTGGATGGACCAGGCCACTGTGAGTCAGTGGATGGACCAGGCCACTGTGAGTCAGTGGATGGACCAGGCCACTGTGAGTGTGTGGATGAACCAGGCCACTGTGAGTCAGTGGATGGACCAGGCCACTGTGAGTCAGTGGATGAACCAGGCCACTGTGAGTCTGTGGATGGACCAGGCCACTGTGAGTGTGTGGATGAACCAGGCCACTGTGAGTCAGTGGATGGACCAGGCCACTGTGAGTCAGTGGATGAACCAGGCCACTGTGAGTCAGTGGATGGACCAGGCCACTGTGTCTGTGGATGGACCAGGCCACTGTGAGTGTGTGGATGGACCAGGCCTTTGTGAACTTGTAGATGGACCAAAATCATCAATATCTACAATAAATCAAAAAGGAGAAAGAATCTAGTGTGTGTGTGTGTGTGTGTGTGTGTGTGTGTGTGTGTGTGTACGTGTGTGTGAATGGTCGGTGGTGTTCGGCGGCACAAACTGGTTGTCCCACTTCTCTCAGTGTGCCCCAGGGCAGATGTGGCTACAGTAGTGTATGGAGTGAAAGAATAACATACATGAAGCTTCTCTGAGTGTCCAAAAAAATGCTGTATAAAACCAATGCATTATTATTATTATTATTATTATTATTTGTGCAGCCCCTTTTCAATCTGCGTGACTCAGTTCATTATGTATCATTTTTGTTGTGCTGTTGAACGTGTACACAAGTTTGAAATAAATAAAAATGGGATTGATGATTGTCTTGCAGCTGCTGGCGGAAGACTGGCCGTTCGGGGTCTACATTTGTAAACTCATGCCGTTCATCCAGAAGGCCTCAGTGGGGATCACGGTCCTGAGTCTGTGTGCGCTCAGCATCGACCGGTGAGTCACGTATTGTACACGCTGCAGGACTTCTCGATGAGGAGTTTTTTTGTATAGCACAATTCATACACAGGGCTCCTCAAAGTTCTATTATAAAACAAAACATCTACGTCTATAATTGAACTTATAATGTGAAACTAATATATGACAATAATATCAAGCCTCTATTGGTTATTGGTTCACAACTTCTAAAAACCCTAAATAAAGCATTTCAGAACATTTGAATATATTGACAATGGACTGTGAGCCATAATCTAGCAAGTAAGTATATATATTATTGTTTTATATAGCACCTCTCACAGACCAGAGTCACAAAGTAATAAATCTAAAAGCAAGAATAATGCTTTTAGAGTATTCTCATTGCACACAAAGATGGAAGCGAGGTTACCACACAGGAGCCACATGCCAGACCTACTGCACATGTTTTTAGTGGTAGGTGTAACCGGAGCACCCGGAGGAAACCCACTCAGACATGGGAAGAACATGCAAACTCCACACAGAAAGGCCTGGATAGTCCTTAGCTTAGTCTAATTAATCACAGCACACTTCATTTTTCAAATACATCCATCTTTCCGCTAAACATAACAGTTTTTAACCTGGCCCTGAGCATTGAGATGGTCTTGCTGATGCGGCCCTGATGCGGTCCTGATGCAGGTACCACGCGGTGACTTCGTGGAGCCGCGTGAAGGGCATGGGCATCCCGCTGTGGAAGGCGGCGGAGGTGACGTCCATCTGGCTCCTGGCCGTGCTGCTGGCCGTCCCTGAAGCTCTGGCCTTCGACATGTTGGAGATCCCCTACAGAGGCACCAAGCTGCGGGTGTGTCTCCTGCACCCGGAGCAGACCACCAGCTTCATGAAGGTACCGCTCTCTGGCACCGCTCTCTCTCTCACCGCAAATGTTAGTGTGTACTCTTATTTCAATTCAACTGTATTTACTTTTGTATAGCACTAAGACTCAGCAGGACTTTACAAAGATTTCCCTCAACAACAAATCAGAAAATCAAGCAATATGAACGCAAGAAATGCAATAATAACACACAGGAGCCATTGGTCCATAGGGAGCGGGATGAGTATTGTCCATAAATGTAAAGAAATGTCCTTAAATGTCCCGGATCACTACTGTCCTCAGACCCTCCTCCATCGACAAGGAACAAGTCTTGTTTTGAATGTGTAAAAATGTCTGAAAATATATTTAAGAGCGTATTCTCACTTGCTGGTCTGGTTCACTTTATCTGAGCAAAATCTGGTTCACTTAAGCTACATTCACTTAAGTTACATTCACTTAAGCTACTTTCACTTAAGCTACGTTCACACCGCCGACGCTTGAACGCAGAGTCGACGCGCACTGGACGCACATTCACTACATTTACGCCGCGTGAGTTAAAAAAATCTGAAGTACTGCTGCAATGGGGAAAAAACAGTGGGGGCGGGTCCCGGCTCAAACTGACATGCTGCAATACCACCCCGGGCCGATGGGGGTGGACCCAGAATAAGAATTAGCCAATGCTAACATATAACATTAGGTGACCTCTCGAAAAACGTCTTTACAGGATGGTCCAAAAGTTGGCTCTTGGCCCAAAGCTCCGTTCCACATGTGTGTCAATGCTGAGGGGGGTGGATTTTTTTGGACCACTCTAGTTTACTCGTTGTGACTTGTTCAAATGAATGGAGCTGCACTAGCTGACGCATGCGCAGATGCGTTTTTTCACAATTTTCTTGCGGGCGGGACCACTCGTGCCAATTTTTGATAGCTCCAGTAGAGCACCATTTTTGGCCCATTAGTTAGAACGGCGGAGATAGGCGTGACTACGTCCTTTAATATATACAGTCTATGGGAAAAACGCAGGTCGGAAGTGGCGGGTAGGCTACTGGGCTTTGATGCTAACAGGGTCAAGCTAGTGGCTTTTTATGTAAAGTTTTTCTCCAAGAATGCAGCAACTAAACGTCCTGTTGACTTTCAGAAAAGCTAAATGTGGCTTTTAAGAAGAAATAAAATATACGTACGTGTGTTACTCTATTAGGAATACAATAAACATACAGCATGATCTATTTTTTAAACATTTTTTTTTTTTAAATGAATTATGTTTTGAATGAGAAAGTTTGAAAACAGAACATTGAGACAGAATTGGAATGTATTTATGCCAGTTTGCAATAGAAGTTTCTGATATCAGCATGAAGGGAGCCAAAGACAACTCCAGGTTTGTTATTTATTACCATGTTACAACTTTGAAACTAAATTGTAACACGGTAAATAACTCGTAATCACATGGGTCAAGTTAGGTTCAAGGTCTAAACAGCTCATTACCACATTCCACACTACATATGCACTAATTGACTTTGGGTAATTTCTTGGCTCAGATTTCTCTCGTCTCTCGGGGAAAAGCTGCGTCGCACATGTGCAGAGAGAAAGGGGTAAAAGTGAAGTCATGGGTGGAAGCGAGTTTAATCATCGAGTCAGTGAGTAAGTTTAGACAAAAGTGGAGATAAATCTGTCAGTCTGTCAGTGGAGCAAAATGTATCAAAAACAACCACCTGCAGATGAAAAGACCCGTTTGTGTTTTCTCTTTTAAATTCGGCCAAAAACAAGTAAAAGATTTGAAAACAGGAAACAGGAAAATCTGGGACGCACACTCACGGATAAACATTTAGGATCCGACTTTCTCTCTGGCATTTAAGAAGAAACACTGATTGGATTTTACACTTGAGGTTTGGCTCGAGATTGTCAATGTTGTCAATGTTTTTTATATAGTACATTTCATAAATAAAGTTTCCAAAGTGCTGCACAATGAAAGACTAATTTAAAAAATCCATTGTAAAACAGTAAAATCCATAAAAATCTATCAAATAGTATAAAGCCATACAGTATATATAAACATATACACATGTACTGTATGAGCATATATCAATCGATCAATAAAAATAAAAAAACTTTCATTTATGGAGCGCCTTTCCTACACAAGGCAACACAACTCATATCACATCAAGCATAAATCATAAGCATTATAATATACATATACATCAGAAAATACTATAAAAACAACAGTAAGATCACAAGAAATATTAAAATCTTAGAATAATATCACACAAGTTATTAAAAACCTTAACACAATAAAATCACACACAGGATTAAAATCATAAATAGCCACAGTTCATTAAAAAGATCACATATAGAATCCTTCGGTTCAGTCGTACGCACATCCACTGTATAATATACAAACATAAGAGTAAAACAAACCATACAAGTCACGCAGTGTTAAAAGCCAGAGCATAAAAAATGGTTTTAAGATTCATCAATCATTCTTATAATATTGGGAAATTTAGAAAATTGTGAAGCTGTCTCTCGATCTCAGTTTCATATTTTATCAAAAACATACAATAATGAAATAAATACTTGATGACAAACATTTTGCTTTTTCCATTTATTTATGAATAGGTCATTAGGTGAACATTAATTGAAAACTGCTTGGTTATGATTTAGCAATGACTTACTTTTAAGCATGTTGCAAAAAACAGACCTGGAGTTGTTTTTAGATCCATTAGGCTAATGATAAGGAGCCTGAAAACAAACAGAAATGAAGAGCAAATACATTTATGCAACGAGACATCAGTTCAAAGCATTAAAAGCTCTTAAAACAATAATAACCAAGTGTTTAAATGCCAAAAGATAACAACTTCAATGTGGCCAAAAGCTTATGTTTACTATAATAATATATATCTTACACCAATATAGTTAGAACGATACAATATATAAGACAAATATTAAGATTATGATTAGGAGATCCTTTATTCTTCCCTCAGTGGACCTCTAAAGTGTTTTTACAGAACAGCAGGAATGATGTGCACATAACTTGCAGGTATAAAATCTCTAGCTTTAGAGTAATATTGAAGCAAATCCAAAATCTCCAACTTTAGCAGAATAAAGAAGCAAGAATTAGGTAAGTATAGCTAGACAAATTGTGGTTAATCGGGCCTCAATCATGTGATATCGATGATGACAGTTGTTTGGATTCATAGATTTGTGATACAAAAGACACATGACTGAATGGCGGAAGGATTTAAGTTCAATAAGACAAGGTTTTAAGATAACAAGTACAACCAATCTCCTGTCCTTGGTCATTTGGTGATATCATGTCCAGTGGGGGCGGGTCCCGGGTCAAAAGGTTCCATGAGCACATGTGCGACTTTTTTTACTCTCAAAAAAGTCTTTACAGGATGGTCCATGGTCCAAAAGTCGGCTCTTGGCTCAACGCTACGTTCCGGAGGCTGTCAATGCTGAGAGGAGTTGTTTTTTTTGACCAGCCTAGTTTAGCCACTGTGGACAATTGAATGCACCCGTTAAATGAATGGGGTACGTCCCGGCTAACGCATGCACAAATGTGTTTTTTCACATTTTCCTGGAGGAAGTGTTGTTTGCGGCCATTTTTCAAAAAGTCGGCAGGAGATAGGCGTCACTACGTCCATTCATATTTACAGTCTATGATCAAATTGTTTATATTATCGTCCATTTCCTGTGTTTTTATGTCCTGTACTGCTCAAACAAAATGCCTCTGGTGGGATGTATAAAGTACTCTGAATCTGAATCAAGAAAAGCCATTCGTACATTTCTTACGTCTATCTATTTATGTAACAGACTTAAAGATACTGATAGAGAAGTTTGTGAATGACTACATTGCAGCCTTGTTTGTGTGAGATACCAGTGACCCGTGTCTGTGTTTGCTTCCCCACAGTTTTACCAGAACGTGAAGGACTGGTGGCTGTTCGGCTTCTACTTCTGCGTCCCTTTGGCCTGTACCTTTGTCTTCTACACGCTCATGACCTGCGAGATGCTCAGCCGGAGGAAGGGAATGCGCATCGCCCTCAACGACCACATGAAGCAGGTGAATCTCCCAAAACACCTTCATCTAGAATATACACAGAGACCACAATAGCACAGTTTATTATTCATGATTATTGTGAAACAAAATATTGACATTTGGACACATAGTTTAAGAAAGATTAGTGCTTCAGCGGGTCAATTTGGTCTGTCATTTATTGTCAATATACGTATCAGGAACACAAACACTGGCAACATGTGAGAAAAGAGGAAATCCGGGGCACTCTTGACAGTAAATAAAAATCCTTTAATAAAACAGGGACAAAAGTAAACTTCCCTGTTCTATTAAACACACATTCACACATATCATTTGGCTCAGAACTCACTGTATACAGTATGTGTGTAAAGTGCAAAGGGAAGTGTTTTATGATTGTCTAATTTCTGGTGAGATAAAATTTGTTGTAAGTATACGATATGATGACTATAGGTATGATAGTTTGGCAATTAGAAATCTATTGAATGTCCTTCGTTGGACCAGAGCCACATTTGTTGGACCAGAGCAATAAATTCGTCATGTTTTTGTAAATCTTGTGGGAAATTAAAGAATATTTTCAGTTATGTTGCTCTAACAAAGCAACAGACAAACAAACAAACCCAGGTGAAAACATAATCTCATAGTCGTTGAGAATTATAGTACAGTATTATACCCTGGTGTGACGTCCACAGATGGTACAGTAATCAGGATGTATAATTAAAAACGGATTTAGAGACAAATCTAAAATGCTTTAAAATTAATTTAACTTATTTTTCCAACGCCACACAGAGAATTTTTTATTTTTTTTTAAACAAGCATTGGTTAGGCCTGCCCATGCTCACCTCCACAGCCTCCTGATTGGTCAAAATGTAAACAAATTCTATCTATTCTCCTCTTCCAAAACTCACTGGTGGTGGTCATGCCAAGGTGAGGGAGTATTTGGAATATATCTATAATATATATATGTTGTTGATAGATTACTTGCTGTACATACTAGTGCATACCATGGTCAGAAATTCACATTATTTTAGAAATGAAATAGTCACTGAAATTACTTTTAATACATTTTTCTCAAAGGGGGTTTTCAGGCTGTCTTAGCTCCAGGAAAACTCACAATGATCTGAGCCGTTTCCCTTCTGTCCATTAAGTCTTTTTATAACCCGTTTTCCTGACAGCGGCGGGAAGTGGCGAAGACCGTGTTCTGTCTGGTGCTGATCTTTGCTCTGTGCTGGCTGCCCCTTCACCTCAGCCGCATTCTGAAGAAGACCATCTACGACCAAAATGACCCAAACCGCTGTGAACTGCTCAGGTAAAGTGCTCCCAAGACGAAATCTCTCAGAATCCTATTGTTTGTTTGCTTCCTGCGGCTCACTGTAATCTGGCCGTGTCCTCTGCAGTTTCCTCTTGGTGATGGATTACATTGGGATCAACATGGCATCGCTCAACTCCTGCATCAACCCCATCGCATTGTACTTTGTCAGTCAGAAGTTTAAAAACTGCTTTCAGGTAAGTTTCCAAAGCCACAAGACCACAGGGATGTCGCTGACCACGCAAACACAGTATCAGATGTTAAAAGATAGGCCATTTTGACCAGCAATGCCATAGCAAATTAGAAGGTTTTATCTGGCGTTGTTTGAATTGAGTTATTTGTATAATTCCCAACTTATATTATTTTTTCAAAAAGGTTAATTTTGTCCTGCTCAATATATTATTTACTGTATCAATATATATTGTATTCCCCCAGCTCAACTCCAGAGTTGCCATGAGCCTGTGTTTCCATGAGCCTCTTGTCTGCATCACTGATCCTGTGAGATTGGGCAGATGGCTGTGTCTTGGTCTTTGATAACATTTCATACAAATTATATGAAAAATACAATCACATGTTTACTGCACAATCAGACACAACAATGAGGGCATTTTTACGTCTTCCAGAAGGGGCTCAGAATGTGCCATGGATTTGTGGGTTTTATAGTATTTTGACTATTTTCTGATACAAATACTTTTCTGTACTAGCCATTTGTTGGACAACCTTTTATTTGTACTCCTTAAACCCAAATGTTTGTACTTTCTACTAATATTTTAAGTAAGTAAGTAATCTTTATTTATATACCGCCTTTCACAGACCAGAGTCACAAAGCGGTTTACAATTGTTATTTTTTGGGCACTTGTCCTCTCACTCCAGACAGAGATGGGAGCGGGGTCGCCGAACAGGAGGCGCATGCCAGACCTATTGTACATATTTTTAGTGGTAGGGGAAACCGGAGCACCCGGAGGAAACCTACGCAGACACAGGGAGAACATGCAAACTCCACTCAGAAAGGCCCTGGTCCGACCGGGATTCGAACCCAGGACCTTCTTGCTGAGAGGCAAGAGTGCTATCCACTGAAATAGCGACTACAGATTACCATTCGGTTCAACTGTGACGTGTTTTGTTTATCGTCATATTTTCTGCCAGTATGAATTAATGAAGCATATCTACAGCAGAATGTATTGTTTAATTATTTGTTTCAAGAACAAATAATTTGACTTTTTTCTTTAGTATATGCAAAATCTTGAACTTTTATACTTTTACTTAAAGCTGAAGTCCCTAACTTTGCTTTGTTTTACATACAGTATACGTTTTGTTTTGTCCTCACTGAATTGGTCTTAAGGGTCTTCAAGGTAGAATGTTTGTGCAGTTTTGCTCTTTTTATAAAACATTTGATCTTATACAACCAGAGAGAGAATTGGCCTCACTGACAAAGCTGATCTGAAAATATGATGGTAGAAATTGTGACAGAAACAAGTCGTTTTTGTTGCTCAATTTCATTCAATTTATTCTTGTATAGCCCTAAATCACAACAGTAGTTTATCTCGAGGGACTTAACTTGATTCTGCCAACACAAATCAGGGAATCAAACCGTTCAAACACAAGAAGTAAAACAGAAAACACATTGGTTTTGGTCCATAAGGGGCAGACGACCAATGTCCATGCAGTGAGTGTTGAGTGTCCTGGATCATCACCACTGTCCTTTTAGTTAGATGTCAAAGTGATTCCATCCTTACGTAGCGTCTCAACAGTGTCCGCTCTTGTGTTGCAGTCGTGCCTGTGCTGCTGGTGCTACAGACCCTCTCCTCTGGACAAACGTGGATCCGGGCGCAGCTGGAAGGACTCGTGTCACGGGAACGGACTGGACCGCTCCAGCTCTCGCTCCAGCTCCCAGAAATACTCCTCCTCTTCATAAAAAAAAAGCACAAGACTGACCTCACCTCACAGAGAAACCACAGACTCAAGTTGAGGCTGCTCCAACTATCGACCCGAGTGGGAGACTACGGGTGAAACTGGAGTCTGCAAATGTATCAAAGACGGAGGAGTCAACAGGACTGGACATGTACCAGTGAGACATGCAAGAAAAAACATATGACCACTTTCCAAATATGCATCCCACAACAAAACTAAACTTTTTTTTCTTTTTACTGGGTCAACAGCAAACCCGAAACACTCCACGATAGCTGCAGTTTCAATGTGTCCACTACTACTTCCACTTTTTATTTTCTCCTTATTCTTCTTCTGCTGAGAATGTGATGACAATGATGTATCAAGTATTCCCTGGTGCAAAGTAACAAAGTAAGTGAAAGTGCTGTAGGATATTTAACTCCATCTGAACTCATTTGGCGTTTTGTAATCATTTCACAGTCATGTATTTTACTGTTACTTCACTGCACTTGAGAGAAGGAAGAAGATAGACTTTAGAGATGGGATATCAGTACATTCTCCTCCGCTACACTTTTAAACTAGAGTGAAAAGGTTGAGATATTTTATTTTAATTCAGAGGAAAGACTGTGTGAAATGCCTGGGTTATATTAGTTCACATTACAATAAGTGATAACTACTAGAAAACATAGAAAATTGACCCAAACTTTATCTACTTTAATGCTAATTTTATGGATCTCCAGATAGCTCTAAAATAATTGGAACCTGGCACTGTGACTTTAAAACACTTTCCACATACTAATTTCACTTTAGCTTGTTTTTATTCTGTTTTCCCATCTCAAAATGGAGTACTTTTTCCGCCTCTGCAGCTTTCACATTTCTAAAGAAAATGACATTATTCTTATTGTGGGCGACTTTTCACCGATCCATAATAAACAGACGTAACATGGAGAGAAAGCAAAAGTTACGCAGTGCAGCTTTAATAAGTTATATTAGCGTTGTCCATTCTGGGGTCGTATTGTTTTAGCTGATGCAAATGTGTATATAGAAAATAATTGTGAAAAATATTATTCCGTCTCTAATGAAAACATATCCAGACTCGTTCTTGAGCACTGATTAGCTGCGATACCTCTCGACATGTATTATTGAGTACGTTTGTTTTCCTCCTAATATTAATAGCATTCATCAAAAATCAATTTGTGGTTTTGCAAAAGGTCGCCTAATAAAATAAAGCAATTACAAGGGGCAAGATTACAGAGAATATGAGACAAAACAAATAGATTTAAATGATTGCGTTTGGAGATCTGAGCTTGGAACTAATAGTTTCCCCATGTTTTACAGTTGATTTTTTAATGATATCAAACCAGCTTCCGGAAACTAAATTGTATTCACATTTTGTTTTGGGCTTGAGGTTTAGATCCACCAGTCAAAACCACACTATCACACTTTGCTGCCTTTAATAACATAGTAATTATTGTTGTACCTTTTGCGTTTAAATACACAGTGCAGCCGTTTAGTGTAGGCGCGATCTGGACTGGGGTAAAGCGAGTAATATTTCTGTCTGAAGTAATGCTTTTATCATAAACGAATCTTTGTGGTCTAGTTTTTCACAGACACACTGCATTGGATATATTTAACCTTCAACGCAATCTTTAATTCAACGTTATTCCGAGAGCCGAAACGTTATTCGAGGAGGTAAACAAGTATTAGAAAAAGTCCATGTTTTGATAGGCAAGCAATGAATATGTTTTCCAGGGTTAGTATATCTATTCAAACTTTAAAATGGTCATAAACATTGATTTTAATGTATTTGATGGGGACATACTGTTGCAGGCATAGTTCACATCTATAGTCCCCATCGTTTTGAAATTAGTTAAATATTCTAGGTTCATTAAGGAAATAAAACTAAACTACTCAAAAAGTAGCAACCAATTCCTGAATGTAACTCATTTTAAAGCTGTGGTTCCTAACTTTCAGACCACAGAAACAGGAACTGTGTCAAAAAATCTATCAAACTGAGTTTCTTGCTCTCTAAAAGTTTTGGCTTCTGTCGAGGACCACCTTCACTCATCTCTCAGCCCAAAGTGTCAAATAGTGACTCAGGTATATTCTATTCAGACAAAAATTGAACCCTTATTTGTTCACAGCAATATACTGTAATTTAACATGACTTTCTTAACCCAGCTTTAAATAATATTTGAATACATTTACGTCATGAAGGTATTTGTTGTCACGTTTATGATAGAAGGACTTATCTCTACGGTAATGCTTTAGCTTTCCCCGGAATGTTCCATAAGATATTACATGTCTTATCTTCATTGAGAGAAGCCGGTGAGGTCCTGCTCTTTCTTAAATACTGTATATATATTTGGTAAACGGGTGTAATGTCTAACACATTAGGACCAGACAAGCCCTACATCAATGTGATGGATTCTATCGCTCTAAAAGCTACAGATTAAGTAGAGAATCGCACTATTCTAAAAAAGAAAAACACCTTACACGTCATGGGGTTAAAATATACAACATATAGTATAATTTTAATCACATGTAGAAGCAGAGCCACCTTAAAGTAGCCACTGGCCCCCAGGATTGTAGGCCCCTCTCAGTGCCAACCCTCACCCCTAAATGCCATAAAAACCATAATCCTGCTACATCAATCAAAACAAAAGTTATATGAACGCTTGGCTGTGTGGATCAAAATCTATATCTTTAATACAGACTTTTCCCCATTGCAAAACAAATAAAGGGTCTTTCAGTCTTAAAAAAAACAACTCAAAAAACCTGCTTCGAATATAGGAAAAATAATCAAATTAGCATAGCAATAAACAAACAGCAATTAATAGAAAACAAAAGTAATGCATAAATAATCAACAAATTGCTGAGTGTAAGTCAGTTTAAAGCTGCTGTATGTAACTTTCAAACATGTCATCAAATCTTTCATTCTGCTCTTGACCATGGAAGGCCCCTGGGGTTGTTGGCCCTTCTGGCCCTTTGGATAAGGTGTAAAAGAACAAACAATGGTGGTTTATGGCCACGGTGAGCTGCTGACATAACCTTTTATCTGCTTCCTCGACGTCACGTGTTCAAAACAGGCCGTGTCATTGTTTTTTAGTCACAAGAGGCGAGAGTCTGAACGTTTTTATCGGTAAATCTCGGAAAGAGTCATGAGGAGGGCAGCTGCTTCACATGTCCAACACAATGAGCTGATAGAAAAGGTTGTGTTGTCAAGGATTCCCTGATGACTCCACTCGTGCCTTAAAAAGTTGATGTCTATTTGATTTTGATTTCGTTCTGTGGATCAAGCTATTTATTCTCATTCACTTCCAGCAGAAAAATTAAGGCTGAAAGAGGCAAAAAAAAAGATATTCTGAAATTTAATGTGGAAAAAGTCACATGTTGGAGCCCTGAAACTTCATAAAAGATAGATGATTACTATAATCAATAACAAAAATATATATATATGAATTGTTGGGAAATGTTTGTGCCAGGTTTGGTTGATTGAGCTACTTTGGCGCCGAAAGGGTTAACCACATTTTAGGGACATTTTAGGGTTATTTTTCCGATGCTTCAAAAACAGATTATGTTGTCTTGATTTTATCATCTATCAAATATAATAATTCCTCTGTCACATGTTATTGCCCGGTTTATCAAAAGAATTATATTGTGCGGTAATCATTTGCAACCAGGATGTAAATTGTTAAATATAAAAACTGGAATAGTATTAGTCAACTTTGCAGCAAAATCTGAAATATAATGATACAACTTATACAGTATATATTTACAGTCTATGGATAGAACAGAATATTGCTTCATATTGATATAAAACAGAAAATGTGCATTATGCGAGGTTCATTTCAATCTAAAATTTATCACCGGTTTTGCTGGGACACTTTATATATTTTTGTGAATGAAATATATTTTGTAAATGTGGTTCTTTTATGTATTTTCCGAGCTTATTTAATTCTATGTAATTATTTCGTTGCAAAAGTTTGGAGAAGCAGACAGTACCACAGAAGCAAAACACAGGACAAAGCCAGGACAAAGTAAATGTAGCGTTCTGAGGTTTAAAAGCATAATATATAACGTCTTATATCTGCCTTATTATTGACCAGCTTTGATTGTGTTCTTTTTGACAAAACTGAGTCCAACATTGCGTGATTTGTAATGTATTGTCTGGGTGAAGGGGTCCGTCCTCGTGTGTGAAAGTGTCTCAGGTCTTGTTCATGAGTGAGTCCGAGTCCAAAGACAAATCCCCTGATATACCGGTCGAGCTACGCCCCTTCCCTCATTTCTGGTCACAAGCTTTGGGTAAAGTTTCTCTGATCTGCATGGCCAAAACTGTGTAAAGCCCTAGATAACCACTGTTGTAGGGGTATACAAAAATACATAGAAAAAAAATATAAATATACGATTGCGTAATAAAAATACGCAATCGGCAATGCAAGCGGTCGCAATGAGTTTCTTCTGGAGAGTGACCGGGCGCTCCCCTAGAGATAGGGTGAGGAGCTCGGTCACATGGGTGGAGCTCGGAGTAGAGCCGCTGCTTCTCCGTGTCTAGAGGAGCCAGTTGAAGTGGTTCTGGCATTTGTTCCAGATGCCTCCTTTTAGTCATGTCCCACGGGGAAGAGACCCAAGAGAAGACCCAGGAGACATTGGAGGGACTAATCTCTCAGCTGGCCTGGGGAAAGGTCTTGGAATTCCCCCAGATGAGCTGGAGGAAGTGCGTAGAGAGGGAAGTCTGGGCGTCTCTGCTTAAACTGCTGCCCCTGTGACCCGGGAACAGATAAAGTGGAAGAAAATGGGTGGATGTCCTTTACAGTCTGACTATGCCTTGTTTATCAGAGCTCCTGAAGTTTAAGACAATACATTATATGAAAAGTAATCAAATGCTAGAAACGCTCCAAAATACCCAGAATACTTTGCAGTCCTTGTTGTTAGAATCCCTCCTGTCTGCGCCTGCAAATACCTGAGAGTGCACAGTGCCCTCCTATGTTTGCAGCACAAGACGAATAGACTATATATTTTTGTTCATAATATAAAAGTTACATTTATTTTATATAGCTGCTGATTACGTGTATCAGTCTTTTCTCTCTTTCCACCAAAGTTTTTCTGAGAAGACAGACTGTCGGCGTATAGAGACTTTCAGAAATTGAACATGATTAGATTATGTTGTATTGGGACAAATGCTGGGGCTGCATGCATCTCATTAAGTCTCTATCTCCGTCGGCCATCTTGGTTTCCCTCAGAGCCACATCTTAACCGTCTTTGTACTTGGAGACGGGAGGGTTTTATGGGGAGACCACCGAGATGTACTTTTGAAGAGGAATAAAGATTTAAGACTGGGGCGTATTACTGCTTTGTTTTATTATCCTTTATGTACAAGTGCTTTTTGTGGCAGTAATAAATAATATTTTATAGCAATCATTGTGCCTGGTTGATGTGTTCAAATGGGTATTAACAAAAAGTAGGCCAGTAGGACCTCACCTCAGCATGTGTTCAGGGGGGGAAATAAATCGTGTTTGGCGCCTCCTTCAGAGTAAAATAAATGAAATAATAAACATTTAAGTTGCCATTAAAGTTGATTCTTGGTTGCATTGTGCCGTTTGGTGAGGTTGCCATCCATTTCAGCTTAAGACTATATTTTTGTACATTTAAAGTAGGTTTGATAGATGCTTTGTTTACAATACAATACAATTTATTCTTGTATAGCCCTAGGTCACAACAGAAGTCATCTCAGAGGACTTAACAAAACCATTGAAATCACCAACACAGGTCAGAGAATCAACAGCCAAAACACATGGAGAATATAAAGCACACACAGAAGAAAATGTCCATACATGTTGTAGAATGCTAAAGTGTCCTGATCATCACCAATCCTTTCTGTTGGACACTAACTGTCCAACAAGACCCTCCTGCATCAACAAGGAAAAACTCTTAAAAAACCCAGTGGGAAAAAGTGAGAAACCTTGGGGAGACCTAGGGAAACCCACAGGGAGGGAGACCCATATGAGAAAGGGATCCGCTCCTCCGGACGGACAGGCTAATGATCTAGGACCTAAGCTAGCTACAGAACGTCCTTTATGCAGCACTGAGCTTTTCTAGCTGATCCGTCTGATTTGGCTTCATCGACAGATAAAGCTGTGTGTCATCTGCATAGCAGTGGAAACTAATTCCATGCTTTGTAATAATGTTTCCTAACGGCAGCATCAAAGGATTAATCAATCCTTTGAATAAAAATATAGATTTGACGTCTCTTGATGATTGTCCTGCACTGAACACAGACCCCTCAGTGTCTAAAGTGGAGGTCATGCACTTTTTACATTTGGTTTACATTCCAGTCACAGCCCTATTCCATTATTACCAAAGCAAACATGTCAGACATGACCCCAGCTCCGGAGGTCCTCCTTCAGGAGATACTGAGACACCTCTGCAGGTCTGGTTCTGGCACACTGACATGGGCGCTGTTGAAATAGATTCAGAATCACATACATTTATCAAAGATACAGAATGTATGAACTATCAAATATAGAGTAGGGCCATTCTTTTAGTTAAACGTTTAACAATGGCTATTACTGAATATCTGTAATTACAAAGTAGATATACCAGATAATAGATAAACTAAATTTACAAACAATTTAAAACTTCTTTAAACACGCATTGGATGGACGACCTCATCGCTGTGAGCTGTGAGTGCTTCCCACTCAGCCATAACTTTGAAAATGATCTTTGGAGTCTCATGTTGGGTATACAAAAAAATATTTTTCTTTTTATCATCATTATTATTATTATTATCATTACTTTTTATGGGTATATCATACTATATTATAACCAGAAAATATCAAAATCATAATCAAAAAATATATAAGGTTACGAATCAAAAAGATATTTTCAATTAAAGTATTTTTTATTGTACATTGTTTAACGTCAAGAGAGAAGACATTTGTGGATGAATGAAAAATGTCTTTTTGGACTCTGCCTCTGCCTCTGCCATAGGAGACGGACAAGAAGAGGGGAGCTAATTGAAAAGATCAAAAAATTAAATAATGGCCACAGAAAGGGCTCATTGTAAAACAATAAACAGACATTTCCTCGAAGTCCGTCTTCTATAACGACAGACTCTCCGTGCACCCAGTGCACATTCCAGGTTCCACATCTGGAGAAGGGTCTTTCTCATTACACGGGTCTCTGTGGTCGAGCTCAGACTCACAGGGACAAGGCTTACCTGGTGCGGGATCTGAGCGCCATAATACATCCGTGAACAAGTCAATCCTATCTGAAAGACATTTTGGTATATTTTTTGGTTTATACAGTATCTATATATTTTTTTATGCAATCAACACACACATTGATTGCATCAATGTTGCACATTAAGCCACTTCGAAATGTACATGCAAAAGTTATTTAGTAATAAAAAAAATTTTTTAATGCATCAATAGTATTGCATTTTTTGGACTCTTGGTTAAAACTGTTGAATGTATAGGATGAAGGGAGTCTTATGCCTGATGTCACTAACGTCAAAGTAAATTTACATAAAATCCTGTTGACGTTTGATAATTACTCAAAACAGCTCTGAAGTTTTACCACTGTTTTATTATTTCCCTCCTCCACAATTGTACCAGTGTTTTGCCTGTTTTCATGTCCTCAGTCTGCTGCAGTGACGACCACGGAGTGTGGCCCGACAGCAGCAGAAGGCACATGTCGTCAGGACAGGAGCAGCAGCTGAACCAGCATGTGTGTCATGGGTCTGAATGCACAATGACGAGAACAAAGCTTGATATACATTTAGACAAATCAATTCCTTAACATGACTGACATTATGAGCTCAGCTGGTCTGAGGAACCACCGAGGGCCATAAAACACAGCTCCATAAAAACAATATTCACAAACTGAGAATCAGCTCAAAGCCTGTGGAGAGACTCGGAGCTCAGGGCAGAAGCGTGATCATTCCACATAACGGGACATCTGTACTGTTCCAAACAAGACCAGGACATTCTGTTGAATAGTCCAGCATTTACCAGTTTAACAGTCGTCAACATAGACTCAGAAAAGAATCAACAATCTGGATCTCTGTGGGCAAAACAAATCAAACCCACATTTCCTTCGATCCCGGATGATTCAGCCAGTCCAGTCCACCGGTGGTTGCTAAATGGTTCAGAACCGCTTTCTTCACCTCAAATAACTTTAAGCTCATTATTTTTCTTGCTCCTCTCATTTCTTGGCACAGTGCATAGAACCTCCAACTGCATGCCTGTGCTAATGAGGCCGACCTATCTCCCACTTCTTAAAAATCACAACTACTTTGGACACATCAGATCTGCCTGTCCTTCATGCAGAAAAGTTCAAGGGGGAAATGGTGTCTAGAGAGAATGCTTCAATATTGCAGAGAAAAAAACACATCAGACATTTGTCATTTCAACATTAAGACAACTCCAACAAGCTTACAGTTTGTACTTTGGTGTTACCAACATGAACGAATCTTTAACCCACAGACTTATGCCCTGAAGAGACCTCAAGCAGAAATATGTTAGCGTGTCTTAAATCAAAAAGTAGTTTTAAATAAATCAGTGGCTTGGACATCATATTTTTGTTCTGAACATGTGATATTCTAGCAGCTTGTACAGTTAAATATTTGAACATGTTGTAGACAATACAGTGGAAAAGTGTTCTTACATTATATTGACTACCTCCTATATTAATGCAGTTCAACAATAACAATTATTCTATTCTACTGTGTTGGAAAATCATGTTTAGGCTGCTTTTGGTGAAGTAAATGTTATGCTTGAATGTGAACAACTATGAAATGACACACAGGATTTGGTGAAAGGTTGACCTCCCTGAGACAGAGATGCTCTGTCTCAGGGAGGTTTCAGAATGGTGGTTTTCTGGTGGAGAATGCTTTCTTAGTGCATCATGGAGAAAGTGTTTCTAGTATGTTCCACAGTATGATATAACCAGGGCCCTGTAATCTAGTGTAGAATTGTTTCTTCATTTTGCTACAGTAAAAGTTATTTTGTCAAGATCCCAGACAGCACACGGACATCCCCATGGGGAACAGAAGGTTTCTACCCTCCTTTAAAAACTCGCTTTATGTCCCTTGTGGAACCGACCTGGTGGATTGAAAAAGAGGGAAGCGATCTCAGAGCTCTGAAGAGGGTTGGAAGGTCACTCACCAAAGGCACGTTTAGCAGGACAACCTCGTACTGCGTATTAGGAAATTAAATGCAATACTTGATCTTGACATGGTTGTGTGACTACTAGGATTTAGGTGACTAAGTATTTTTGTTGAAATTTACTTAATAGATAATTAATTATAGATTTGACCTTTGGATCCACCACAAAATCCCTAACCATTGTGTAAAGATTTGTATTTTCTAGAACTAGTTTTTAACTTAACAATCAAATACAAACTCATCTGTGGCGAAGGCAATAAATGAAAAGACAAGAGAGGATTTTAAAGACATAGTTTTTCATTCATACAAAACACAACTGTACAAATAGTTCACTTATAATATTCTTACAAAAGGAACCAAACAATGACGTGACAGGTTTTGGCTGCGTTGATGGTTTGTTGCTCTGCTGGTTATTCCATGGGCTGCTGCTGCTGCTGCTTGTCTTTGAACTCGTTTACTCGCGCCTGGAAAAACACAAGTCAAGGTTCTCATGAGCGTATCTGCAGCATGGAGAGTATTACTGATAATCTGCAGTGACTTTCAGGATCGCTCAGTGGACGGAGCCAGCCACATTCCCAGAGTTAAGCCTTTATCTCTCACGAAAAACACTTAATACTTTTAGGCAAATCAAGGCCCGCTCCCGGTTCGTCTTTTGGAGAAGTCAAACTACAGCGCCACAGACTTTTACCACCTTGAAAATATCCATATTTTAGTGAATTTAGAACTCACAACACATCCTGGCTTGGAAAGTACATGTTTCCTTATTTCTCCTGGAGGCAGGTTGTGAGGCAGTATGACAGTGAGGGATTGAATACTATAAGTTTCTGATGCATTTAGAACTCATGACGGTAAAGAATTAAGAAATCACGGCTTGAAAAAAGCACTAAGCGAGGCATGCCGGGTCGGCCCCACTGTAGGGGGCGATCATGAGCCGAGAGACCAAAAAACCTACATCCTTATCCTTCCTCTGCTGACGGCAACTACAGGTTTTAAGTGTCATCCTTCCCTTGTTGATATGAATAATACTGGTAGGAAGCGAAAAATAAGAAAATGTGTTTGTCAAATTGGATGTACCTAAGTGTTTGCGAAACACAACACCTGTTTGTTTTGTTTTTTTCTGCTCAGCTGGCCTCATTTTTAAATGGACTTGAACATGAAAGTGGTCTTAACTGAAGTGATGTATGTACCTCAGTTACAGTGCCTTGCGAAAGTATTCGGCCCCCTTGAACCTTTCAACATTTCGCCATATTTCAGGCTTCAAACATAAAGATATACAAATTAATTTTTTTGTCATGAATCAACAACAAGTGGGACACAATCGTGAAGTGGAATGAAATTTGTTGGATAATTTAAACTTTTTTAACAAATAAAAAACTGAAAAGTGGGGTGTGCAATATTATTCGGCCCCTTTGCTTTCAGTGCAGAAAACTCACTCCAGAAGTTCAGTGAGGATCTTTGAATGATCCAATGTTGTCCTAAATGACTGATGATGATAAATAGAATGTACCTGTGTGTAATCAAGTCTCCGTATAAATGCACCTGCTCTTTGATAGTCTCAGGGTTCTGTTTAAAGCACAGAGAGAACCTTGAAGACAAAGGAACACACCAGGCAGGTCCGAGATACTGTTGTGGAGAAGTTTAAAGCTGGATTTGGATACAAAAATATTTCCCAAGCTTTAAACGTCTCAAGGAGCACTGTGCAAGCAATTATATTGAAATGGAAGGAGTATCAGACCACTGCAAATCTACCAAGACCCGGCCGTCCCTCCAAACTTTCATCTCAAACAAGGAGAAGACTGATCAGAGATGCAGACAAGAGGCCCATGATCACTCTGGATGAACTGCAGATAACTACAGCTGAGGTGGGGATGGTGTGTTCAGGGTGATGAGCTGTGTTGCTTTTACGCCAAACATATCGTTTTGCATTGTGGCCAAAAAGTTCGAGTTTGGTTTCATCTGACCAGAACACCTTCTTCCACATGTTTGGTGTGTCTCCCAGGTGGCTTGTGGCAAACTTTAAGAGACTTTTATTGGATATCTTTGAGAAATGGCCACTCTTCCATAAAAGCCAGATTTGTGCAGTGCACGACTGATTGTTGTCCCATGGACAGACTCTCCCACCTCAGCTGTAGTTATCTGCAGTTCATCCAGAGTGATCATGGGCCTCTTGGCTGCATCTCTGATCAGTCTTCTCCTTGTTTGAGATGAAAGTTTGGAGGGACGGCCGGGTCTTGGTAGATTTGCAGTGGTCTGATACTCCTTCCATTTCAATATAATTGCTTGCACAGTGCTCCTTGAGATGTTTAAAGCTTGGGAAATCTTTTTGTATCCAAATCCGGCTTTAAACTTCTCCACAACAGTATCTCGGACCTGCCTGGTGTGTTCCTTTGTCTTCATGGTTCTCTCTGTGCTTTAAACAGAACCCTGAGACTATCAAAGAGCAGATGCATTTATACGGAGACTTGATTACACACAGGTGCATTCTATTTATCATCATCAGTCATTTAGGACAACATTGGATCATTCAAAGATCCTCACTGAACTTCTGGAGTGAGTTTGCTGCACTGAAAGTAAAGGGGCCGAATAATATTGCACGCAGCACTTTTCAGTTTTTTATTTGTTAAAAAAGTTTAAATTATCCAATACATTTCATTCCACTTCACGATTGTGTCCTACTTGTTGTTGATTCATGACAAAAAATTAAAATTTTATATCTTTATGTTTGAAGCCTGAAATGTGGCAAAATGTTGAAAGGTTCAAGGGGGCCGAATACTTTCGCAAGGCACTGTATAAGGCAAGACCATCAAACAGTTTTAAATGTGCTTTTTACATGCTCCTGTTTCGTACGAGTGAAGAATACCGACATGAAACATATTCCGCCGTGGGCCAACCAATCGGTGCATTGGCCGCTCTGCCGGTCATGTTGACACGGTTTAAATCTGACTGTGATTAAGTCTTTGCCTCATCAGCCATCAAACATCATGATTTTAAGATAATGACATTTAGAACATGCTGCGTACATTTCCCACCACTCTTGTGTACTTTTTCTTATGCTTTTGCAAAATGCATTTTGATGGACATTGCTGCTACATGCTGGACCAGCAAGTACGCTCAATTTGGCTTAACTATCCGTGTTATGTGCAGGAAACACTTTGGCAACCTCAAAACTAAAACCAGATGCATCCTTTTGAAGCCTTATGAAGTTATTCTATTTTACAGTCTCCACATTCAACAACTATTCCTCTTTTGAACTATGGTGTTTGTTTTAAGGCACAGCGTGACTACGACAGGGCATTGTGTGGTTGCTTTGCCTGATGGGTCACAGAGAGCGGTCAGACCCCCAGACGGGAGCAGAGCAAGTGAAGTATGAGGTGTCAACAGGCAAGACCCGCAAAATGACAAATGACTGTGTTACTATTGCACCACGAAGCAGCACCAGCCGACAGTCCTGTGTGTTTAATCAGAAATGCACTCGTAAAGCTGCAGACCACAGTGCAGAACCAGCACTGAATTATGAAGGATTCAACATGTGATGGCCCCCAACTGTGAGACATCGAGGTGAACTCAGCCCTGTCCTCTTCACTTGACACAGGAAAATATCCATGCCAGAATGTGGATAAATAATCCTGAATCCGCACATGTGATACACTGTGGACAGACTCTGGGATTGTTGTCCGTTTCTCACAACAGGGAGTAAGGTTGAATCAGATTCAGTGGCTACAATAGTCAAAACAAATGAAACTACTCACTAGTATCAATAACATCCTTAAACAAAGATTTTAACATAACTACTTCAAACTTTGTTTGCTCAAATTAACTTTTCTGCCTAAATCCTCTCATGATTCAGGCCATCTATGGCAGAAAGGCCTACATCCTCAGATGAGCCGATTACGTGATAATAGAAACCAAACAAAGTAGACCATTTTAAAGTAAGAAATGTCTAAAATGTTTACCTTGTTCTTTTTTTATGATTATTGAATATTACAGGCCCCACACCAGTTTGTCTTACTCTTTACACATTAGAGACATTCACCTGTTGTGTTACAATCCACATTTACGCTTTTTTAAATGTTGTTATTCACAACAGATAGAATAAGATATATCATATTGCATTCCTTTCACACAGTTTAAAGAAAGCTACATTCACGATGATGTGTATGAACCAAGAGGTTCAGACACTACTCTAGCTCCATACTATAACTATTATGTATGGATAACTATTTTATCTTGTGCAGCGGTTAGAAATAGACATAACTCTGCTTACCTCAAAAGTGTTGAGAACGTGCTGACATGCTTCAGTCAGCTCAGTCAGGCCCTGTCGAAACGTTTCAGAGGCCGAGACGTTCCCTTTCAAAAAACAACATCAACAATGTAAATTCTACAAATGATAACTGTATAACTTATTCATCGAGCCATTATTCTCTTGATCAATCGCTTGGTAGTTAAGAACGCCAGTTGGAGATTGGACAATAAAAAGCTCCATATTGTGACAGCAAAAAGTAAATGTTTTATGCTAGTGTATTGTTAACGTTTGACTGACATGACTGACATGAAGAATTGTGCATAGTCTTTTTCATAACATTGGCTCTGAAACTACAGCACCACTGGGAAACCACTAACAAATCACACATGTTAATATTGTTTCATGGATATTGAATTTGTCTCCACATCTCCACACTTCCAGTTTCTTCTTATTTATTTTTTCTGTTAGTGTGCGTGCCGTTGCGTGTTTTGTTATTGTGGCTGAATGACTTAAAGCAGTGGGAATGATCACAGAGCCATGTAAAGCAGCAGGAGTTGGCCAGAGGAGGAGGGTGTGCAACTCATTGGCCTCATACAAAGTGAAAGCACAGGACTCTCGTCAACATATTTACTCTGGAGCACACGTGTACATGGGTGTTTTCAACTTTCAAAGAACAGAAAACGCAAACATCAGTATATATAACTGTCCCACTTACCTCGAGTCTGAATACGAAAGTTGATCTTAGTCTCTGAAGGATGTGTGATGGTGTAGCCACAAAAGTCCACGTCAGGACTGAGAGAGAGAGGAAGAGAGAAAGGAAAACGAACTGAGCATACAGCCAAAATCAACTGAAACACAAATAATCTTCAGAACGCAGCTTCCCGTGCAAAGAACTAGCACTAAAAGTTAAATCAGAGAACATTTATATTTGAATCCATATTGTCTTGTGGGGAGTCAAAAATGCATTAAGCAATCGAATCCTCAATTTTAATTTTGAGTTTACAGCGCTTCTGCTTATTGAGTAATCATCCCCAATTTAATACATGCGTCACTGACACTCACACAAGACCTACTTCTTCATGATCATGTAACGTAAGGAGTTTCCAAGTGTATGGTCTTCCTCATGCATCACAAACGTCACACAGCCATCGTCTCCTCCATCTGCCTGGACCTAAAAGCAAAACAGATGTAACAGGTTGGTTAGAGAATTATTATTACAGTGGGGAAAGTTATTCTAATTTATTGTGTCTGGGACAACCATGGATAGTCAATAGTGACTACCCATGTGGTTATCATGCATTATGATGCTTTCTCTGGAACTCAAGAGGTTCCAACATCCCACCCAGAAAACTGGGCATTACCACAACTCAACTTTGTCAATGGTTCCTGAGTTATTGAGTGTGCTTCACTGCGACGAGTGTCAGATTGTAATTTGATGAAAGAAAAGAGACAAACTAAGAGGGTAATGTGTTAAATATGTTAATGTCATTTCATTTCATTTGTTTATTTCTTTCGAGCCCATAACATTACACATTTGTTTACACAACAAGCATCCCACAACATTGCACAAGAACAGAACATGGTTCACTAATGCTCCTGTGCACTGAAGAAAAATAAAAAAAATAAAAAATAAAACCACTTATTACATATTCACATAGGCCTTGTTGTTCATAAGCACACTCCAAGAGCTCGAAAATGGAGTGGGAAGAAGAAAAAACGTATAAACTCCCACCCCATGTATATTATGATAAATCATAATGTTTCATAAAAATAATAATTCATCCAATTCGCATCACATTTGAATGATACGCCGCAGCGGGCTCAGCACCTCACCCCTTCCGGTCCCAGAGACACTGAGCAGCACTATAGCAGCAGACAAACTGCGCAGAGGATGATCCCGGCAGCACACACCAGCCCTCCACAGCCATGCCCCGAGTCATCACCCCAATGGGAGTATGCATGTTTCCTATGCATGTTTCCTATACCGTTTATTTACTCTATTTATTTATTTATCTTTTATATATATATATATATATATATATATATATATATATATATATATTTATTTTTTTTTTTTTTTTTTTTTTTCACATTCCATTAGAGAATCATGATTGTTTACTTTCCTGTTCATGCCTTTCCAAAGGAGCCAATTATCACCACAGTGACTGTCATAGCTCCAACAAGACCAGCCAGAAAGCACACACATATCATTCATTAATATTTATGTTATATCTAAAATCATCCAATTTTCCCATTGATGTTCCCCTCCAGTCATCACTACAGAATGCCACCATGCCCCACCACAGTCATCCCTCCACCCAGCCAGCCGCCACCACAGCACCTACCCCTCACCCCCTAGGACCAACCAGAGGCACAGCCCCGCCCACTACTGCATAATCAAATGCCGCGATTTTTCTATTGCATAGCATATAATGCAAACACATAACACACCTCCTGTACATCTATAAGAATAAAAAAGAACAAAATAAATAAAAATAAAGAAACATGCCTGTAAACTGTACTGTATTCTAAGCAACCAAATCATCCTACTAGCCTTATTGTCGTTTACAGCCCCTCCTGCTTATATCTTTCAAAGGTAATTTCTTGAAATATTTTTTAAAATCTTCTTACATTTTGACATTCTCTCACTCGCATATCCAAACTATTCCACAGTTTCACTCCCTGAACAGAAACACAAAAACTTTTCCTTTTACTTTTCACCCTTATGTAAATATATATCTGATGTTTTACTAATATACTGCAATATACTGTTTACATAGAGCCAAAGTTCAATGTACAATTACAATTTATGAGCCACAAAAGCTTTGCAGAAATATCAAAGATTGTAAATGTAAAAAGGTACAGGTGCACTGTATTGATCCCCGTAGGACAATTCCTCCTCTGCATTTGACCCATTCTGACGCTAAGGCTTTCGTCAGGAGCAGTGGTCGCCGTAGTACAGCGTCCAGGAACCCATTTCCAGATCTTGATGCTCGGCTTGGTGAGGACTACCGGAGCTGGAGGATTTAACCTAGTGTGCATGTTTTTAGTGGTAGGGGAAACCGGAGTACCTGGAGAAAACCTGCGCAAGCCCAGGGACAACATGCAAATTCCACTCCGCTGAGCCACCATAATCTTGCTTTGTTATTAAGTAACAACATATTGGCTCCTGTATTTCTCATATCACAAGAGAGGTTTCTGTGCTTTTCTCAGGACGAGCAAAGAGAATCCAGGTCATCTTTGCATTGTTGTGTCATCTGCGTCACCAGCTCCTCATGAACACTCTCAATTTTGGGATATCGGAAGTTTACAAGTTTCCTTGAAAGCAGCAATAGAAAAAATGGTGACATGCTGCTCCCTAATGGACAAACCTGGGGGTAGTGCAAAGCATGGCTACACTGTTTTCATAAGTACAAGACTATAATATTTAACAATCAATCAGTGTGTCTGAAATAATCAAAGCACAGTCGCATAGCCACCGCCAGACTAAAACATTATGTGCGATTGAAGAGATGACTCAGATTGTCATTTCAGACTTTGTTGACATGCTGTGATCATTGCACACGTGAGATGTACATATGCGGTAGGAAGAAAGAATGAACTGTAACTTGAGGAAAATATTAATTGTTATGAAACCAAACACAGAATGATGTAACTTCTGCAAATAAATAACGTAAAATACCATCTCCAGGACAGGTTTCTTCTCGTTTTCTGCGGCCATGCTCGTTTTGCTGCAAATGACGTAGGACGCCTGCTCAGAGGAAAACTTCTCTGAGGGTTTTGTCTGACATGTTTAGATAGTAGGAGAAAAAAGACAAACAATAGATATTATCCCACTATAATATTTTAATTTCAAATGCATGATACTTCTCAAGAATCACGCATATTATGTGTGTGATTTTATCATTTTAAAAGTACTGTGTGCTTTTTTAATTTGACTTTACTGCCTTGCAAATCAAATAACGGGGAAAATAATTTTCACGCGCCACGTGACGTGACGTAAAACTACAATCAACATTAATGCGGAAATTGTAGTCTCAAAACAGAACAAGACCATTCATAAATAGGACAGGGCATTTTGGGGGAACTACATTCTCCAGAGTGCAGGTCGGCCGTTTCCCGTACGGAGGTCTCGCAAAGGAAAGGCAGAAGTCACTCGAAAAGGATTAGCCAAGCGGCAAAATCTCTTTAGATGCTGGAGTTTGCTGTAAATGGCCAACTTTGAGCAGCACTGACCCACACAGGTATCAAATGAACGACTAAGCGTGACGGAGTTTGTACGATCCGCTTCATCAGAGGCTCTGCTTTATTAGCTACACGGCTATTGTTTACATTCTGGCTAACTCCGTAGTCCGCAGGTTCATTTTTAGGTTTCGATGTTGAAATAATGTTTTCGTGACACCTGATTGATTCAACTCCTTTTTTGTGTTTCGTTGTTGCCACGTCATGTCTCGAAATTTCTACATGCAATTTTGAAGGTTGGACAAACCTGTGCTAAAACTTATGGAATGTACTCATAAATAAGTGTTTGTGCTTGTGAGATATTTTAACTTCTAAGATACATTTATCTGGTAGTTAATCGTTAAAAATTAAAATGTGTTGTTTAAAATTGTGCTAAACATTTGAGATCTGAATAATCTCTAGTGTGATTGATATACGATAGATGTGATAGATAAGATCTCTGCACTACTTCCTGCAAGTGTCAAAATAGTCAAAACACGATTCCTCTATTAGCCGTCGTGTAAGATTATGACTGTGAAGTGTTCTATTCTACCAAGAATAGTGAACACTGATCAGAACATGACATTGCACTACAGTATGCAAATAATCAGTAGGGGGTTCCAGAATCTCTGGCAGTTTAGTAGCATCAGAATATGAAACAACTTTGAGAAATGGCAGCTGATGTGACTAAGGACATTTTCTCTGCTTCTTTCTTTCTTTTCCAGATCGATTGCTGTCCTGACGTGCCAAAAGGTGCCATGGCGATCCTGTTTGCCGTGGTGGCTCGTGGGACCACCATCCTGGCCAAACATGCATGGTGTGGGGGCAATTTCCTGGAGGTGACTGAACAAATTCTAGCCAAAATCCCTTCAGAGAACAACAAGCTGACCTACAGCCATGGGAGGTGTGTGATCAGTCTTATTCCTGATATCTACATTGAAATTTAAAGGAAACATTTTTGGCAAACGTCATCTATAGCTTTTGTCCATGTTAAACTATTGTATCGAAAACAGTCAATTTTTTGTTGTTGCTCTATCCATGCTAATATCAACAAACACATTCCCGTGCCTCTTCTCTCTAAATACACTTATCTCAATCCTTGTTCACTATAATAAATCATTATAATATTATGTCATGTTCACAGCCATTTTCTCCCTTTTTAAAAAACAAAAGTGCTGCTCCTGAATTAAATTCTGCTTAAAAAACCCCTCAAACCATTTAGGGAATTACATGCAGAGATTATTAATCATTGTTATGCCAATAAGAGTGTTAATGCATATTGTTTTCTGTTTAAGATATTATTTAATTAAACGCCAAAGTAATTACAGTCATTATCACGAATTATTCAAGCAAGAGGAATGAGTGCATACAGGGATCAAAGAATCTAGGGTAAACGTGAGGAGTCAGGTGCTTTTCAAGGATCTGTAAAAAAAAAAAATAGAGGAAAAGGTTTGAGGCACTTAAATTCCTTTATTGTTGTGGGGAGAATGCTCAAGGCAAGTAAAGTGGTCACAGGTGGTAATAATGAGAATGTCAAATCACATGACAGGCACATGACTGATGACAAAATTCAGGAAAAAACATGAATTAAAGAGTATAGAACAATTATTACTTTTATTTATACATTATTGAAACCATAAAAATGACTAGTGGTGAATACATATTTACAGGAAAAACTAATCAAAGGATAAACACCATAAAAACAACATGTCATGGGGACAACAATCACACACACATTCACACTGCATTGTCCAAAAGCCTCGACCTCAAGTTTAAGTAGAGAGCCAGAAAAACTAGTTCTCAGGCTACAAAAAATACTGAAAAGTCAAGATCCTCATTGAGTCCAGGTGGATATGTAGTGCGTAGTCTTTCAAAACTGCAATGTCCCCACAATGATTTTATTTTAAGTCTGTGTGCCTCTGACATTTTATTTCCCTCTAATTATACAAGTTTTAAGTTCCTATCTCAAAAGTTGGATGGTTTTGAGTAGAAGTGTGCAGTGTAGTATAGAGTCCAAATGGAACTCCAGCCAAATATTTTGATTTAGTATTTTTTGTTATTAAACTGCTCTATTCAATTTGTGATTCTTTTCTTCCAGCTATTTGTTCCACTACATTTGCCATGACAGAATCATATATCTATGTATTACCGATGATGTAAGTACTATTTTAAGTTCAATCATTCATTAAGATCATTTTTAGATTGTATTTGAAAAAACGTTGTAACTTTGCACTTTCTTCCCTTTCATCTTCAGGACTTCGAGAGGTCGCGGGCTTTCACTTTCCTCAGCGAAGTGAAGAAACGTTTCCAAACGACGTACGGTTCCAGAGCGCAGACGGCTCTCCCTTATGCCATGAACAGTGAATTCTCCTCCACTCTGGCTGCTCAGATGGTCAGTATGTTTTTGCAATGTACATGTTTTTACTGTATAATTAGTCAAGAGGTGTGTTGTCTTATTGAGTGATATAATTTCTCATTGCTAAATAGAATTGGTATATTTTTTGTCTGTTTTTTGAATGAGCAAAATGAACGGTTTAAGAAAAGAGCAGAAATATCCACTGAGCACACATTTGTTTTTGAAGAAGCATCAGTCAGACCCGCGAGGAGCCGATCGTGTCACTGAAACTCAGATACAGGTGGATGATTTGAAGGGGATCATGGTTCGCAACATCGGTAAGTTTCTACACTTTCTACACTTTCATAAGACTGAAGTGTAGCCAATGGACTGGACAAGATCTTACATGAATAAAATTATTGCAGTGTAAAATATTCACCTGAAACACTGTATCTACCTCAAAAGAGACTGGATCTTCTTAATATACATATTTACACTTAAATTCTATTCTTTATTATATATTCAACCACAAAACATTTTCTAAACATTTTACCCGTTCTTTATTAAATCCTACACATTCTCACTGTTTCAGTTTGCACTTTTCATTTCATTTGAGATTGCAGCGTTTGCCCTTCACTTTAATAAAATCCTCAATAATAACATGAACACATGTCTTTGGTCTGCTCTTGTTTGGACTCTCTGCTAAAGTGCACGTCCTCAAATGTAAATTTGAGCAGAATTATTGAGGAAGTGTAATTTAAAAAAATTATTTTCTAAACTTTCACAGATTTGGTTGCTCAGAGAGGAGAAAAGCTGGAACTGTTGATTGATAAGACAGAGAATCTGGTGGATTCAGTGAGTTACTTTTTTATTTTAGTAAACTTTGGCACTTTTTAAAGACATTCATTCATTTTTGTTGTGAATTTTTTTATTGTCATTTTGTTTGCTTTTCAGTCGGTCACATTCAAAACGACAAGTCGAAACCTGACACGGGCGATGTGTATGAAGAACCTTAAGCTTTACGTTCTGATCTTCTTTGTGTTACTGGTGAGTAAAGCAAAGTTTGCCACTGTTCAGCTTAAAACCATAGACTGTAAATATTAACGGACGTAGTGACGCCCATTTCCCCCGTTGAAATTTATGTGTAATCACTTTTCCATCCTGCCGGGAGGCTGTATGGCGTTAGCCGGCACGAGCCTGACTCATGCCGTTCATTTAATGCGTTCATTCAAAAGTCCACAGCGGCTAAACTAGGCTGGTCCAAATAAAATACTCCCCTCAGTATTGACAGCATCTGGAACGTAGTGTGTGGATTATCTATTATTAATTCTTGTTTCTCTACGCCTTCAGGTCATTCTATACATCATAGTTTCTGCTTCGTGTGGAGGTCTTGCCTGGCCAAACTGTGTCAAGAAATGAGTGAGACAGAGGAGAGGGAGAAGCACTGATGAAACATGGACTTCTATTGAACAAGAGAAGTCCATGGAACATGCATTTCTCCCTCTAGGTCCTCCTCAACTGCACATCGACAGATTGCCTTCTGGAGTCTCAGATAATTACCCCATGATGATTAACGGAACTTCACTCGTCTTATGCTTACCCAATAACATACCTCAATAGGTTGATGTATTTGTTTGTTGTTTGAAATCCATTGGGAAATCTCATTGTGGATTCATTTTTAGCATCATGCCTGTTGGATGCAACACTTTAATTTGACTTGGTATTGAGGGTAGAAAGACCATAGTGTTACTGTTTCATGAGTGAGTGTACAGTCTGACTAAAACGAGAAAGTGTTTTGTTTTAGAACTCAGATCAATCTCACCTTCATGAAATAAATTGTAAAATAGTGTGATCAATAATATGTTTGAAAGGTGCCATAGTTGTTTTAAATTAAGGCTTCTGGGTCTGTTATCTTGTAGTAGATGGGATCTTAGGGTCTGTTCTTCACCTGTCCATTATCAGTCTTTATCATATAGTGTCTTCATGTTTATTCTGTTTAACAATGCACTTTTTACATTGTAAATAAGTATGCTTCCACCCTTGTGGTTTATAATTGTGTAATTATTAAATTATTGTACATTCAGATTTGAATTAATAAAATCTGGTCATATTAGACTCATTCTTGATTTTCATTATGATAGAATAACAAATGGATAAAAAAACAACAAATCTTTTACATTTCATAGAACATTTCATAGAACACCGGACGTAACAAAAGTAAAGTACAAATTGAGCGTTAAAAAGTATAAAAGTGCAATCTTTAATACATAGTAATGTAAAACAATAAAGAAGGATGCATTTATGTTTGACAAGGGGCAATATATTTATTGTACATATTTTAAGCATATTACAACACCTAGCATGAGCTGTTTCACCCTGGCCGAGAATATGACATTTTGTGGAAATTTAAGCTGAATTCTTATCGGAGCCACAATTAATCAATTCATTTAGAAGCATGGCTAACTACCTTAAATCATTTTATTTTCTGTTTACGTAGCTATTTGAGTCGAAAGTGCAGAATTTGGGTTTATAAGTAAGGGGTAAAAGTGTTTTAAAGTTACACGTAAATACAATATTTAGTTACTTGCCACCTGTACAAGAATAGTACACAAAGGCAGAGGTGGGAGAATACAGAGAGAATCTCCGCTGGGGGCGCTGTCTCACACATCCATTTGTTCAGATGCACAGGACACTCCTGATTAAAACACAAACGACAGGTGCGTGCAATTAATGAAGCGGTGAGGAGTAGTACGCATGCGCACACCGTTACACCGTCACACTGTTGAACGTTAGGTTGGTCCGTAAACAGGTAAGACAAACTTATGTCAACTGTTTTAATAGTCCATATGTTGCTGATTTATTTGTTTGGTTGTTAACTGTACAATGTTGGCAGTTATATTGTAAACGGATTTTCTAAATGGCGTTGGCTAACCTGAGTGTAAATTATTTAAAAGGGGAAAAATGCCTTTAGAAATGAGTGGATCCAAAAGTAACTAGTGTTTGTTTAGAGCTCTAAATGTTATGTATGGGGAAGATTGCTTCAGAACATTATCTGCGTACATAAAAAGGGATATATATACACAATATAGTTAGATTTTTACATTTTGATTTATTTTCTTTGTGCATTATACTGAACAACTTAAAGGTGCGAGGACGTATCACCAGAATGATTGACAGTTGGGAGGGCCAATAGTCTTGATGATCCACCCGGAAGTAGAAAATCCTTCTATGCCTTAACTATATAACTCATAATGAAAATATCCCATTTGACTATAATCTGCTCGACAGCAGTGGAATTTACTTTGATATTGTTATTATTTCTCATTTCACTTTGTTTTTAATCACCAACGTTAAATTAAATGAGCTTACCTTGATGTATCCCTATTACATTATCGTCTTAACTTGTCTCATATTCTGTATTCAGAATCATTTTTATTGCCACGTAAGTAACAGGAAGTCAGACTTGGAAAATGCTTTGGCTCAGTGCAACAGTCAGAAAGAGTTATTAATGTTTAACATAACTGCAGAGGGTGTTTGCCTTTCTATTAGTAGATGCTTACTATGTTTACTTCTTCTGACTTGGCTATAAATAGACATTCAGCGTCTGTGGGAGGCTTCTTCACACAAGGACAATCCAACAGTAGGTAAAGGGTGCACTAGTGTTAATGAGCCATAAAACAACTCTAAGAATATCATGTTTGTATTTTTTGTATTCAAGCAACTTCTGTTTCCTCATTATTCACCAACATTTATTTTATTCCAGAAAAGCACCTTGTAGAATAATTGAAATTGTCAAAATGTTGTAGTGTGAAATTTGATTGATTCCAACGGTACACCATCATACAATTGTTACAAATACATTGTTATATTTGATCCTGTTTTGTGATTTTTGTAAAGAGGCTGAATAATAGCCATTCTTTTTTTCTCAGTATCTTTTTCACTGATATTGAGTTGATGGCGCTTGTAGCCAACTCGACTGGTCTGCTGTTTTTGATGCTTTACAGAGGGCTGCGTTGTCCCATGGTATGTCCACTGGAATCCCCCAGTGTGACCCTCTGCTGATGTGGGTGGCTTTGTGTCCGGGATTGTGGAAGCTGCTATTGCTGCTCACTGTGGATCCCTCTTATGTCACATCCACACAGCAAAACAACCCATTTTTTTTCTTTTTTCTTTTTAGTTTTTTACAAAGCACCAAAAACTTAAAAAAAATAGTAATTGAGCCACAAATTTGTAAGATTTTTGAGTTTTTGAGAAGATTTGATGGTTAGGTTGATTTTTACATGCTTGTTTATATTTGGGAAGCCTAGTACCAGGTCAGATCTGTGGAAAAGTGATCAGTTTTAAGCATGAAATAAAGAAAAAAAACAATCACAATAATAATGCCATAGTAAAATTATTATCATTTGTGTTAAACTGTATGACACTTACTCAGTATGTTAATCCTTTTTACGATGCATCTGGAAACTGTTCAGCTGTTTTGCACTTGTCCTGGTCAAGATTACTTTCCAGCCAGGGTCATGCTCCTCGTATAGATTATGCAGAAATAGTGCAGGTCTTAAATGTCTTTGACTCAGGTGTCACTCCACTGTGCGACCATGTGCTCAGCTGTTTGTTCACTCTGACTCGCATTTCTTTGTTTTTATTAGAAACGATTTATTTGTTATTGTGGATTAAGCTTGTGTTATGCTAATTCTCTTGTGCAGGCCATTCACTCAGAATTTGGCGCTAGGCAACAGTGAATGCCTCCAGCCCAGACAACTCTGGCCACTCACGCTGTGGTCCACATGGATAAAGTAACATGCTTTTTCAGGCTCCTGTAAACTTTGGAGCGTAGCTTTGCACGGGGAAGACTGCATGTGGCTTTGCTGGACCTTGACAGTTGACACGCCTGTTATTGACTAACTACTTGGACCAGTCACTCGTAGTAGTTGTCCAGTGGAATTATTTATCTTTCTCTGCTGAAGAAGTCAATGAATTTTCCAAGCTGGATAGGATCGAAGCTCAAAAAATGTGGACTGTATTTTCCAGCCAATTTCATGTAGTTGAATAGTTTTACATTTTGACGGTTCTTGGAGTGAAGTTTTGCACGAATATTATGCCTTATCAGGCGTGGAATCGGATACATTTTGGTTCAGTGCCAATACAGCAGGTAAGTTACAGTATTTTAATTGTTTTGAGAAGCTGTTTTGAATGTATTTGCCTAAGAAATGGAACTTCTCTATAACAAAAGTGAGTCAAAACATGTGTGGCAGTGAGTCAGGTGCACTCATGCCTCCCACAACGGAACAGGTCCAGCGTTATTTCATTTCTTTGTGTTATTGTCGTGTCAGAAGATACGGCAGTGGCCTTGGAGAATCTGCTCATGCCAAGGTTCAAAGTGCACTGCAGTTTGCCCAGCCTACATTTTCTATGACTGGGATTTTAGCATTTCTCTCTTATCATTATCCTCTTGCTTTCATGACTGGGGAATGAAGTTTCGATAAGTGCATCCACTCTGACATATCAAAAATCATCCATGTTTGTATATGACACGCAGCCCCAGTGGTGTTAACTGCTGGCTTAAGCTGTGAAGCCAAACAATGTTGACCTTTTGTAAACATGCTGGTTATTTATTATCCCAATTTGTCACTCTGAACTATGCAGCGATTTGTCTACCCAATGTTATCCCTGCTTGTATGACTACTGAAGATGTGTCTTTGCTTATTATTATTATTATTATTATTATTATTATTATTAGTAGTAGTCTTTTTCAATCGGAAATTTATGTTATTGTATTTCTTGGCTTAAAACTCAAGCACAGTTGGTTATTGTAATGTTACTCGGCCACTTCTAGTGTTCTTATAAAGATTACAATTGTTTAAATCTGTTTGCATTTTTAATGAACAGTTGTGAATAATCCATGAGAGCTACTGTTACAAGGTATTGGTAGGTTCAACATCACTGTATGCACTGAAAAAAGCATTGTGTTGCTCCTCATGGTGTAAAAAGTTTCTGTTCATGTGTACTGTGTATGTGGATTACACGCTGCTGTATTTTTTTATTGTGTATGTTTACCTTGAATCTAGGAATAAATCAGTAATATCATTCAGTCTTCCTCACTGTGCATTTAACTAAACCGTTTGTTTCTGTATTTTTTTTTTTTGCAGAGAATTCAAAGTGACATTTGCATTTTCTTGAAAATCTCCAATGTCAGACAGAACTTTTAACATGGCCAGTGAAGACCTGTTATTCCAGAAGAGCAGAGGTCAACTGGTAGACTTTGACAGCACCCACTCATTGTCTCCGTTATCTGACTCTAGTGGCTGTAATTTTAACCTGAGTGAGAGAGGAGACTGCACTTCCCCTGATAACGGAAAACTCGATACAGGTGGACCCATCTTGTTCCCCCATAATGCTACAATATCTTTATCACAAGGGATGACTTTTACAAATTTGGAAAATTCCTATCTTGCCACACCAGAAGACGGCAGCATACTTTTCTGGAACAATAGTTTGAACATGTTAAGCGACCAAGATTCTCAAGGAAATAAAACCATTTACAAGACTGCGTCAGAGGGGAGCGGCAGTGCAGCAGTCTCCCCGGACTCTGTTGATATGAGTTCCTGTAGCACCTCCTGCAGGGGCTCTATGGACCTTTCCTTCATTGCTGCAGAAATTGTGGTACCTAGTAACTTTGTTCTGGAGGAGCATTCGTCCCCTGCTCCTCTTGCCAATGGGACTTATCACATTGACTCAGAGACTTTCTTAACCCCTTTAAGTGACATGAGTTGTGTAGAAGGCCAAGCTGGAGGACACCCATGCTTTGATACATTTCCATTTGAACAACAAGTGGAGCTCCAATGTGATGAACAGGAAGCATTACAGAACCCCTCTTTCAGAGATCTACCAGGAGAGGAAATGTATCGTGGTACAATCTCTTTTTCTGGGACCTCCCTCTCAGATGACAGAACGTCTGAATCTAAACTTCTCAAGCCAGCACCGACAAATGTGTATGAGGAATCCTACAGAGACCTCATGGATATATCCTTAAGGTCCGCAGAGATGATTGTACGCAGCAACAGTTTTGTTTTAGAGGATCAGGCTGCACCTTCTGTTATGTTGTCACTTGAGGAGTCTCCAACAACCTCGAACCACAATGCCTCAGAATCTCGAATAATCCCATTGAGTCCGACTGATGGGACATGTACCCAAGCGAGTGACCACCCTTCGTTTGGAATGACATTTCTAATGGGGAAGTTGGAACTCCCAAGTGAAGATTCTGGAGGAGTGTCTAATGCTTTGGCTCTGCCAGGAGAAGGAGAAGGTCTTCACACCACTTTTCTCTATGAAAACTCTCCGTCAGACAATACAAATGATGTCTTCGTTATTCATTCTGATGTTGAACTGGCAAATGAATCCAAGCCTCTCGGAACACCAAGCCATGCTCTAACTTTCCATACCCATCCAGATTCCGAGCAAGACATTCATACCTCTACGCCGTTACAAAATGTGGAAAGTCATGTTCCCAGCCTGCTGCCTTTTGGTATATCCCCCTGCACTGAAAATGCTGGCAGTCCTGCTCTTCGGCCAGGACTAGGAAAGACGAGCTCTGTTACTCCAAAACAATCTGTGAAAGGAAAACCAATTTCAGACAACAAAATGACAAAAATGGAAGTTAATAGGTTTGCAACATCCAATATGAGAAACACGAAATGTAAAGTGATGAGAGAGGTGGTAACAAGAAATTTACATAAATCCTCTGGATTTGACTCTAACGTAGGGAGCACACTTGAAACAAGGCCAAGTCCTACCAGAATTAAAAATCCAGTTTTGAAAACACCTCATAAACCTCCCATTAGATCAATAAAAGACGCAAACCTGAAAAGAAATGAATCGATTTCTGAACCCCTGCAATCTAAAAATAAAACTGTCCATTCAGCTCTCTACATTGATTCAACTGGACAAACCCCAACAGCCCATTCTGGTTCTGTTAGCCCAGACTTGGAGCAAGGAGCCTCAGGCCAATCTACTGCTTATCCCAAAGAGCACATCACAAATGCCACCTTCTGTTACCCTGAGAAATCTCCCCAAAAAACTGTCAAAACGGTTCCAAAGGATACACCTAATCAAACGAAAGGATCAGGCTCTGCTTTAAGCCGTGGTAAACAAACCCCCAATACTCAAAGTACACGTCCACGGGCCAGTTCTGAGGGTGGAACACTGTCTCGGCTTTTCAAACTGGCAAAACCAGAAAGATTTGCAGCTAGTTTTTCCCTAGCCAAATCAAAAGTTGAGAACCCCACGAGTCAGAAGATGTCATTCAACCAGAACAGCTCACAAAGTAAACCTCTTATTGAAAAAGAAACTACTCAAACTAGAAAAGTGAAGAAAATTGGGTTGGTGGTAAGTATAAATTGTTTAGCCATTACCAGGCACCATTTAAACACATTATTTTTTTATATTTTATAGTCTGAAGCTTCATCTAGGACCAAGGTGGGCGGACAGGCTGGTCCTAACCAAACCATCAGAACTTCAACTTCTAAGTCTCTCGCTGCAAGTTCCTTGTTAACCACTCCCCTCAAGCACCAACCTGGAGCCTCTGGCAGAGAGGGCAGGGCTGCCACCACACATTTGGGCATTCCAGTGCTCAAGAGTAAAGACACAAGTGAGGAAATCAGTTAGATTATTTAGATAAACTTGAAAAACACACCACTAAATCCTGTTGTAAACATTTGAATATTGAAAATCAAAATAACTTAATTTAAACACCATGCAACTCATAATATTGTAAACTTGTACAATATTTTTTAAATTAGGTGGTTAAGTTTACTGCAGATTGCTTAATCTGAATGGCAATAAATGAAATGAATTGGGTCAATATTTCAGTCCAATGTGTGTACCTCTTACTGTATACCTTTAACCCATTATAATAAAATTGCTTATATTACAAAAAGAAAAAGTTCACTGCAGTAGAGCATCCAATCATGCATTCCAACCAACCTATTGATGCTCTTTATGCTGGGCCCCAGAATTGGAAGTCTTTTTGTTCAGACAAGGTCAGGTGCCCGTCTCGTAGACCTGTTCAGTCGAATAAGAGCCGAGGGGAAAGACTTTGGCAGACTTTTGCAGTCACAAGCACAACCTAAAGCCCAGTTAAAGAGGGCCTGGGCCCAGTTTACGATTAGATCTGTGCTTTAGGTGCCATATGACGGTGGCAAGGGGGCTTGGCACTGTTGCTGCAACCAAAAAGTCCAGAAGAAGGAAAGGGAGAACATGGCCTTAATCTTGAGTACAGCAACATTTATCAGTAGTATTTTTCATATTACAAACTCCATTTGTATGTTACTACTACTATGTCACCGGGTGTGTTTTTATTTTTTTATGGATGTAGTGATAGTATTTTTAGACTAAAATGACAAATCCTTTAAAACGGGCTGCCTATTTTATTTGTATATTGATTCATTGTTTTTAGGTAGAAATAAATCTCTTGGAGGACCATCACTTGGACCCTCACCAGCAGCTCATTATAAGCCAAAGACAAGCCCACATCCTGAGACTCCCTCTCGCTCCTCTCTCCCCCACACAACACCTGTGTCTAGAGTCCCCCAACGCAAAACCTTTGGACCATCCAAAAGCCAACCAGGAACCAGTGAGACTGCAAAGACTCCAGGTGAGTCAAACTATCTGCATGATGCTGCTCCCAAAAAATACAGACATATGAAAACGAGTAACGGCGAGGAACAAGTAGGATGGCATTGTAACAGGAAGATACAAACTAATAAAATGCTTTTGCTCTTAGTGAAAGTTATAAAAGTAAGTAATGGAATAAGGAAGGTATAAAATTATAAAGCAAATTTACTTAACATGTCTTAAAATTACCACTATATAAAAGTGTATTAAGTACACACAAAAGACGTTTATTTATTGATGATTGAATAATGGGATTGAAGTTGCTTTACTATCACCAGGGTAACTTGTGGTGGTATGTGATACAGTATTGTTTCTCCTGTATGTTGTGTTTGTCAGTTTTGCCCTTTACTATTTGCCTCTTCAACATATTTGTGTTCATCATTATGGTTGGAAGCACAGTTCTCACAGACAAAATATATTCAAAGCTAAAAAGTGTGTGTTTTCCCTCCAAAGTAACACACTTCATGCTCTTCTCTGATTGGGCCATGCTTTCTCGCAGTAGACTCCCGCCCCTTTGTGTTTGTTGTCATAGTGACCAGTCTTTTCCAGTCTAGTTCACACATCGCCCTGAGGTGCAATCGAACAGATGTACAACCAAAGCCGTCTGCTGCACGAGACCACGGCAGATCACGTTCTCAGTCACATTTATTTTTATGTTGATATAATTGATACGTTTTTAATTCTTTTGAAGTCGATGGCTTTTTATAATGCTGTTCGAAGTGGCACCATGACTCATTTTTCGGCGCACATTTTCTACAATTCCTCGTCTTTTGGGGCACCAGGCAGTTGTGGGGCCGGGGCCAGTTGTGATCTCACCCTCTTGACTTGTCTTATCATTGGATCCTATCGCTTCTGTATCATTCCTTTGTTAGCTGCCTTCAGTGGGAAAGATAGAAGGCTCTGGAGATGTAAGTTTCTTTACAAAAGCTCACAAAGCAAAGATAATCAAAATGCATATATTAAATGTATAAATGGGTACTTGTTAAACCATAGATTTCTTATTGCTTGATTCAATAGAGCATTGGGGCTTGATTATATGTATTTGCCTTTTTTATATGTAAATGATCAGCATTAGGGCTGTAGACTTTGCAATTAAACAGATCTGTGTCTCCCTTTTCCAACCAGTTATAGCCGACCCTGCTCTTCATACAAAATAAAATGGGAAAATAACATTACTTTTATTCAACCCGTTTTTGTCACCAGAAAGTCACATGGCGAGAAAGGCAAATAATGTTAAAAATGTGTTGTTTGTGGTTCAATTATGCTGAGGCATGGCAGGCAAGTTTATTTTGTGTTTAACAAAAGACAAACCCCAAAATTAGAAACTGCTTTAACCTGGATTTTAACATTGTCAGAGGAGAAGACTGTCTCACATTTTCAAGTCTTCTTGAAAGTTTCTGATTCTCGCTGCATAAATCAGAAACACTGCCTCCCCCTGTTCCCCTGCCCTGATCTTATCTATTACACATGAGGTGACCCTAATGTTATTTTCAGGCATATTTCTCTACAGTATATTGTGTCAGTTTATATCAACCCTCTCACAGACTGCAGGTGTAAACGACCACTTCTGGGAGCAGCATCTGTATGTATTGTGATCTAAATAAAACATGCATGTGACTTATAAAAGACTCAAATATTTAACCATAACTCATTTACAAATTGTAAATCCTTGACAAGTCTGACAAAACTACAATAATGTATTCTGTTTTAGTATCAATTTGTCGTTTTGATAAATCTACATCTAACCTTGACCTATTTTATTGTATTTATTACAGTTTCTACTGGAGTAGCAAAACACTTGACACCTTTCAAAGTCCCAATCTTTAAATCAAGACTCACCAAAGCAGCCAAGACCAGTGAACCAGGTAAAAACGACAAGCTCAGTCCAATTACTATTTATCAGTCTATTGAGGACATCAATCATTGATTTGTAAATGCAATCATGGATTCTCATTTACATTGAAAGTACATTGTTTTGATTAACTCTGTTTCGACCAATGAAAATGACAAGGCCCGAATCAATCACAGCAGAGTATTCCTCGCCGCTGGGTTTAAACTTGTGAGGCTTTGTCAGTCCTGGTCAAATTTCAGAGGCCTCTTCAGCGGTAGAATGGGTCAGCTAAACTCTACTGTCCTTTCTGTTCTGCTTATCCCAGTGTTGACTGCTGTAAAGTCCACAGCTCCCTCCAAATGCCTTCCAAACGGCTCCATCAGTCCACAGGTGAAGCCCACCACAAAGCACCATCGTCCATCTGCCTCTGGTAAGACTTTAACTCAAATCCTGCCACTTATTTGTAACATGTTCCTATTGTGCATGTTATAGCCTAGGAAGTGCTTCTATAAAGTCATATTGACAGAAATATCTTAATGTACAGTATATATTTGCTCAATGACCATATACTAATAAATGCACTGCTTTAGGGCTGCTTTTAAGGACACAATATATTGAGGTAAAAATGGACCATACATACAGTATTGAAGATGGAACACGTACTAAACGATAATTTGTTAACATGGTTATTTAGGTATTTATGTGATATGTATACTTTGAGAAGAATTTTAAGTTAAACCTTATGAGGACAATCTAGTGGATTTATATTTCAAACTATTATCTTGAACTTATGCATTTAATGCATTTTAATTTCTATATTTAGTTACGTTTCTGTGTGAGCTGTGTGGTTTGTGACAGTTTTATACAGCAATTATTAATTACAATTAAGATACTCCCAGTTTCTCTACACTACTAGTTTAATCTCTTGAATTGGCTCTTGAATTGCCTATCTGAGTAATGAATATATTTAGTGTGATAGAATCATATGCATCTTTCTCATTGGTCACTGACACTCTTAGCCACGCCCCCCTTCCTCCTCAGTTGTCAGTGCATCCCGGCTTTGCCAACGCACCGCCATCATAAACCCTGGAGATGCTGCTCGGCTCTGCTCTAGCATTTCTGTGTGATTTCTGACTGGATCCTGTTTTTGCTAAGAGGATTAAGGGATTTTACATGTTTTCCATCTCCCCATACATGAGCGCAAATCTCTTTGCCTTAAATCTCTTTTGCTCTATTCTGGATTCATCTTTTTTGATATTTATTTCTAATGTAGAAGAACAATCATTAGGACCACAAATGTTTAATTCCTTATTTGATTTGTGAGCAGTGGCTTATAGAATGGTTGAAGAGACACATTAAATGCTACTCTTTCTGCTTAGCCCACTTCTTTAACTGTGGACTACCTTTTCAACGCCATTCGAAATGTTATGGTCTCCAAAGATTTCACTTTCGAACATCCACGTGCGTCTCACCGTCAAAGGTTTACTTCGAAATATCCACCTCCTGTCGGGATGCAAGAGGAATATTGTGATTTTTCAAACAGGTCTGTAGATGATAAAATCCTTAATGTTTATCATACAGTGCTGGGGTCTCCTCTGACAGACCTGACCATGTTTTGCTTCTATTTTTAGAGTAATTTTTACTTGGGCCAAAGGTTCAACTTTCACTTACCTTGGTCACTCAAATGACCCTTGGCTGAAAGACCCCCGCTTGTAGTTTGATATGTTTGGATAACAGTGTGCACAGGGCTTGCAAATCTCCTCCCTTTTATTATTGTATCTCTTATTTTATTTACATTATTTAATCATAACCTTATCTTTTCTATCACTTTGAGATTGTGTACTATCAGTGGGGATGTATTGAGGTTATTTTGGTTGTAGGTTGCTGGGTAACACCATAGAAACGCTGATTTCTCAGCTGTGTTGCACTGTAGGAGACTGAGTAATGACTGCTTTAAGCTGAACATGCAACAAAACTGGCTTTATTGAATTCCACATCACTAGTTGAAATGGTATAACAAAACGATTGCTTGATTCTTAACAAAATTGTGCCAAATTACAAAAGTCTTATCAAAAAGCAACAACCATTAAAGCTATCAACACTTTAGTGTCACATTCGATCATGTAGCATGTTTTGAATGGACTTGGTGTTGATGTTATATTAATGTTTACTTGACACTCTTCAGTGTGTACTTGTGCTGAATGCTCTGGCTTCATGTCGAGTGCAGTGTTGAGATGTCTCCTTTCACTGCCACACTCTGAGCTGCAGACTCCACTCTGATCAAGACATTACTTTACTTCTAAAAATCTACTTGTTAAACAAATGCGTGAAAATCTGAAAATGTTACTATGAGATTATACATTAGACATCGAAAGCAATGTTTTATGCAAAAGAATCAAATTGTCTTTAAGGTTTAATTTTTTTTTTTTTTTTTTTAAATAATTCATACAAAAGGTTAGCTCAGTTATTTTTTGATTTATTTTTAGTTAAGTCATGTTCATTTATGTCTCGGTGGAACATCCTGTCTGCTTTTCAGGGAATTTTATATTAAGGTTAGTTTTAAATTATTAATTTATGGGGAAAACATGAATTTTTCATTGACTCAAAGGTGTTGCACAATCATCCCTCAGGACAAAATCTGACTCTACAGGTTACAGCCGCTGAAACCAGACGTCTCGATACGCTACTGACCGCTTTCTTGATGTTTACTACATCTAACGCTTCAAATGAGTGCTGCTTCCTCAGTTACATTTTATCACCACAGATGTAAAATAACTTTTTTTATTCCACGGTATTTTTTTAGATTAATATAGTCCATGAGCAGTTTGGCTCCTCACCAGCTCTTTGCCCCCCTGACCAAATTGAGTATGACGTCCCAGATTTTGTATAGAAATTTTATGTATTTACCATTCGCAATATGTTATTTAACCACCAGATGGCGCCAGATTAATTGTTTTTCCACGTGGAAGAAAATCCCTTTTTATTAAATGTATTTATTTCCTGATTTTAAACAGTTTATGGACAGAAATAAGATGAACAACAGATTGTTTAAAACGGTCCTTCAATATTGTCCAGCCATATCTGATTCTGTATCACATCTGTCTATAATTCTTGCATAAAGAATATCCAACTCTCTGGGTAAAAGTCTACTTGTTTTTTAATTAAAAATACGTTCAGCATGTTCACGCAATGGATGTGTTTTCTTTTTATAATCATACAAGTAAAACAACTAAATACTGATCTTGGTTCTAATGCACATTTTTACAGCTAGTATTTCTCAAATGGACAAACAGTCCCTTTGCGGTTATGTAACACTTACCCCACTTTGTAGACTTCTCACTTGTTGCTCTAATTATTAATCTACGGCGTCTCCAATGCACTGTTTTAATAAGTTGGACTGATGACAGTTAATATTGTGGGGATATTTATAACACTGATGTAAAGCAAAACCTGTGCAGTAACATGGCTGTGCTAAATTAAGTTGTCCTTGGAGACCAGTGTCTGCGGAGGACAAGATAAATCGGGATATGGAAAAGTAATTGCATTTACAAGGTCCATCTGTATGTGGGAGCCAAGAGGAGAGTGTCTGAGAGAGTGGACCGACGCAGAGACGTTATGGAGTCTGGAATAATGATGATTAACTGTTTCACCACAATCAACGCCTGTTCTTTTACAGTGGACCAGAGCAAGCCTAAAGTCGGCCTTCGTCTCCAGCAGCAGCAGCAGAGTGAGAAGTGCTTGTCCAGAGCTCCTCAGGGCCCAGCAGCTCGGGATGTGGCGCCCAAGGGAGTCGTCGATGCCCGGAGGAATGGAGCCAACATCCAGCACCTCCAGGCCCAGCTCAGATACAGCAACAGCAGATTTGAGGCGTTCACGGTTGTGCTGCAGCAGACTCTGGCTCAGGTATGGATTTTCATTTGAACTCCTTGTATCCATTCAATTGCATTATTACCTTGAATAATGTATTAGTAATTGGAATGTGTAATTCTGCTGATATCTTCCGTATTCAAGATTCCTACTTAACAAATTATATGTTCAGCAGCATTTCAAATCATCTATAACTGATTGATTTGAATTGTCGTTTGCAAATCGAAAGCATGGGTGCCTTTTTTGACATTTTAACCTTTTTGATGTATTGCTCAACCATTTGGTGAATCACTTTTTGATTCACTATCTACTTGAACTGAAATCTTCTTAATTGGGGAATCTCTATCACTTTTTTTTTTTAGGCAGTTTTACCATCAAGCTGCATCTCAACCATTTTTCCAACCACGCAACCATCTAATTTTTTGTTTTTTAGTGCTCCTAATCAAGGGGAACATTAAAGGGTTAAACGGTGCCTTAAAAATATTCGTTTACGTAGGACTTTCTGTAAGGTATTTTAAGCCTTGTTTTGATATTTTTTTTCAACACATTTTGAATTGGATTTGAACCAGACAGTCTCATTACAAGCAGCTTATGTGAAATGTTTGTAAAACTGTAAATGTACGTGATCTTATTTTGAATTGGTGCCATTAGAGAGATCCAGCTAGATCTGTATGTGCTGATATGAATAGTCAGATTACTTTACTGTGTACTGTGGAGGAGAGATTGTGTTTCATGAGTTACACATGTGGACGTCTTCCAACAAGAGCGTGTTGTGTCATCCGCTGGACAACTGCTGCGGATCAAATGGACGTGCTTTCATAATGCCCCCTTGTTACGTCTCATTTTACAACATGACACTCTCCACTGGGACTAGAGCTACTGCTGCTATGTGTCTGACTGGACGAGGGTCTGGTCTGCTGGACTCATGCCTGTGGTGCTGAGCTCTTGTACTAAGTGTTGTTCAGTTGTTTATTTAAGCTTCCACTCGAGGGACTTGCTGCTGATGCTCTGGTCTGGGGCTTAAATCACAGCTAAACTTTTACTGGACTTTTTCGAACAGAGATTTTGTCTTTCTGTGAATTTTGTATTACTCCCAACCAAGCTGTTTGTAATTACTGCAGAATAATTATACAGATAAATAGTTGATACTTTTTTATTATTAGTCTAATATATTTTATCTTGTGTTGAATATATGCGACCCAAGCAACTAATTTATTTTAATTAAATAAATAATCAGCCAAATAATGGATTATAGTATTATTTGGATGATATTATAGGTCAAGACATTGAGAACTTGAAGATCCTTATTTACAGTTCTTGCTTTAATAAGCTTTCTGTTGTCTTTAGTGTTTTAGTTACGTTTTGCTGGTTAAAGTCCTTAGTCCTTTAGTCCTTATGGCTAATTTTGATATTTTGCAGAAAAACCCTGAAATGATACGTTCTTAAACAGGGTTTAATTATCAAGAATCCACCAGGGTTTGAATCTGTTTCAATAACATTTGATTTTGGTTTTTTAATTTAGCCACCTGTAAATAAGAAGGTGACTTTGCTTTGACTGTAATACATACCATCTCCTGCTTATGATGAAAGAGACTCATATGAACTTGCTGGCTGTGAAAGTGTAATTTAGGGCATTTCAGTTCATCATTAGTTTGATAAAGGGGATTATTCATCTGACTGTACAGAATAAACTGACTCCTCCCATCAGCGCCCTGATAACTACCACACCATGTTTCAGCTAGAATACTCATTATCTTTGATCACTGAAAACACCAATTGAAAGTTCACATGCATTCACTGTGGATAACTTTAGACTTCCATGTTACATAATTCTCAGAGCGTGTGTGATATGAACAGCACAGACAGCTGCACTGTGGACAATGTAAAGCCAGTGACACCAACGCACCAGAGTGAGGTCTATATTAAACTGGACTCATGCCTGGTCTATTCTTCTGCCCAGTAGGTCCTTCAGTTACCTGTGAAGACATTAAATGATCTGTTAATTAAAGGCACACTATGTTGAGGTGAGGATTACATACGTCTTTTGGCCTTTCTTATAGTTGACTCGAGTCTATGCTGCTGCTCTGTAGCTTCTTTGATTCCTGATTTTACTGTATGTTCAATACATCTTATATTGACAGATTGTCATGAAGTAAACATGAAATTGGACAGAACAAATTTGTGTACAGGCAATAAAATGCTTAACATTTTATGTACATCTTTTTGCATTAGTCTATGCAATCCATATTTTGTAATTGCAGCCCTGTGCCCTATGCCCCTATTCCTCTCCAGATCACAAATCATAATTTAAACTAAGTGACTAGATAAACCACTATCACAGACCTCTACTTTAGAGGTGCAGTTCTGTACCCAGATGGTGATCTGGATCACCTTCAAAATGTAATGGGTTGTGTACTGGACCATGGCGCATTTTCACCAGCATTTTGTCCAAATCCTCCCATAACCTTTTGAGTTATGTTGCTCACGGACAAACTAACGAACGCCAGAGATACTAATATCTAATGAAATGATTAAACATTTATTATGGTGTTAAAATCCCTCTGTAATCTGTATCTCGTTGACTCAGTCAGTCCCATCTGTTTTCGTGGGACGATTGTGAAATGACACACGTGTCAGTCCCTGCCTACATACTTCTTCTTTCTTTCTACTTGAGGGATAATGGATCTGGGTTCTTTTCTTCAAGATGGCAAATAACAGAAAGAAATATAATATTATAATCCATTTTAAAACTTTCTTTGTGGATATTGGGGGTGGATTTCAATTTCAAAACAGAAACTTTAGAAATCTTCTTCTACCACTCTAGTGCACATTTTCTTACAGATTTGAAATTGTTCCCAATATGTGGAGAGAAGTCTTCAATGCTCGGTATATTCCAGGAAAATGTAATTTAATATTCTGCAGTTATTCATTGATCTTATTCCCCAGCCTCATGTTACTCTATACCATCTTTAAGCTACTCTAGATGTCCTTAAATTTGATATAAGCCTTAAGATTTTCTAATTCTATATTTCTTGTTTCTTTTTGATTTATCTATACCAAAACACTTGCAGTACTTTTTAGTTTACACTGAGATCTCTGATACTCTTCTGTCTAATATTCCTTTTTGACTTATTCTAGATTTGCTCCTCAATATTTTTAAAATGGGAACTTGGTCATTTTCTATTGTTTTAGTTCAATGGCTTTGATGCACAGAGGCTTTCTTGAAATTTTATCCATACAAATTAATGTTTTTGAAATTGTACTTTATAATGCAAAAACCTTAACTCTGTAACCTGTATTTTATTTGTCAAACTTATGAGAAACCCGACATCACCATGTGCTAGTCAGCGTGACCACTTCTCTGCCGGTATTGCCACACTGTTGCTCATCAGCAGAAACAGGAAATCCAATTCTCCCATGACGCCGTCTCCTAATGCAGCCACAGGTCCGATTGAGATTACAGCTGATCGAGGAGTGGTCCAGTGTCAGGGAGGGGGAAGAGAGTGAAGATTTAGTGATCGTGAGGTGGGGGATGGTGATAATGAAGCGCTCTGATACATCCCAAGAGGAGGTCACTGCACTGAGCAAGGCTTCCTCCATCCGCCCCTGACAATCTCTCAGCGCTCCTAGTACAGCTGCTTTAAGTGCCATCACCTGATTGGACCACAGGCAGTTTCTAGCTTGCCTTGCCCCGCCCCCTGCATGTTTTCTCTGGTGCCTATACAGTGCAGTCTGCGGGCACGGGGCATTCCTCTCCCTCCCCTGTCTCAGCTGTAGCTTTTGCGGTGGCATCGGCAGCATGTGGATGTGGGCAGGTCATTTCAAGCTCTGGAGGAGTGGGGCTCCATAGCCGGATGAGGGGAGGGGGGCTCTCTCCGGCACAATAACCCCAGGATAGAGGCTCGATCATGGGCTGTGCTGGCAGCAGAGCATGCCTTGGTGCTCCCAACACGGCAGATGGGGTAACTGGTTTTATATTCTGTGACAAAATTGAACTGTTATTGATATTTATACCTCATTCTGCCTCTTTCTGAGCATTGTCTTGATGCATGCGGTTTTGTTAATGGATGGCTGTACTTTATATGAATCAGCAGAAGTGGTTTTTTGTCACCTTGTGTCTAAATGTTAATTGTGTATTATCCATATTTCCCAGAAGAAAGTCTACAGCCCTCTTTCACTTCTGCTGATGCTGTGGTTAAACGCCAAAGATAGCTTGACTTACTGAATAAGCAGATGTTCAACTTCTTGTTTGCAAATATCTTTTTCATTTAACATCTATTCGGTGACTGTGCACATATTCTCAGTGATGGAAAAAAAAGCCTTAGAGTCATGTTGAGTAGAAAGGTTTGATTATTCAGCACTCTCAAGTGTTGACTTTTATAATCTCTTTCTCGTGCTGCTAATGCTGTTGTATTTCACATGATACTATTGATAATTTTAATGGGGATGTTTTGGTCTGAATTATCTTTACAAAAAGCATTTGATATAAAAGGGTCTATCATTTTTGTTTTGTTTCCCAATGTACTTCTTTACAGCTCAGTAATAAAGAAACTGGTAGTAAATAAAATTAGGTAACGGTAAATAATACTGGATGAAATAAATCTAACGTTTCTAAACTGGGGTGGATTTTTGCCAGGAATCGTTGGCATTTTCTGATATTTGGAAAGCGGATGTAAACATCATGGTCACAGAAATCAAATGAACAGCTCTTGATGTTTTTTCCAGACATAAATAGAAATGGCAGGTCGTCCTTATGTGCCCATAGTCCTTGAAGCTGACAGTGATGTTTACATTGTGTCTGCAGCGAGACGAGGCGGTGCGGCAGAGCAGGGGGCTGTCCCAGGAGCTGCTGGAGCTGAGGGGAGAGCTGGGTGAGTACAGCGTCACAAGGCCATCCTCACCCACACGATTTATGGACTAAAATATGGTTTTAGATAGATTCTGTGGAAGAGAACTACACCACTACACAATTCTACGCTGCAATTCTACATCCTTACCCAATATAACAATTACATGCATACTCTAGATAAGCAATGCACTGGTCTATTTTTGCTGCCTCTTATCCAGGACTCCGTTGGAAAATAGGTTCTTAATCTCAATGGAACTTTCCTGGCTAATAAGAATTTTATCTTACTGTTTATCTGCACATTCATTCTATTGCTACAATGATAATACAATTTATTTATATTGCAACTTTACATTTCTACAAAACCTCAAAGTGTTTCAGATTAAAATACAATACAGCAAATAAAATAAAAAGGGCCGTTCACACTTGTTGGTCGGGTTCGCTTAATTCTTTTCCCCAAGTGGACCAGAGAATGTGTGATCGTGCCCTAAATCAATACTAACACTAACAAATTAGCCAGCCCTTAGCCATCCGTAAACTCTGGTCAATTATTATTTCCCTACATGTGGGAGAAATACCTCTGAACTGACCAGCTTACCTCAGACCATATGAAAGTTAAAATGTCAGTCCAGAAAATATTGACCTAAGGCTCTTTGCCCTTGACGCGTTGGCATTTCCCGGCACTCTTCTAGTTCCTGCTCTTGAGCTGACCCAAAGGTTTAAAACTTCACCCTCTTTGTGAGACCAGACTGCTTGTAAAACTTACAAGCAAAGAAACGATGATTCCTCAAATCTCATTTCCTGTCCGTCTTCGGCTCTTTTTGTGACGTTGAAATATACAGTATGGGGAAACTAACACATTTGTAAATCCTTTGCAAAGCTCTGAATGCAAATATTATCCCTCTTTTGAAGTAAACATTTTCTATACATGATGGTATTTGCTTCACAGCAGGTTGACTTGTGTATTGAGCCTGGATTTAAGCACAAAGCCTCATATGACCAGATCTTCAGCACATGGTCAAGGAATGCAGAGTGAACTGTGGCCAAAGTCTGGTCCACAGCTCATGTTAAATATGACGGACCAGATTGGACTTAAGGCCGTGTTTTATAAGTTTAGGATTTATTCTATGTTCTGTAAAGTTCTGTTAATGTTGATATTTAGTAAAGCTATAGAGAGACGACAGGTGGATTCTGTTTGTGACCAGACTGACCACAGCTATTTGCTTGAATTGTATTGAGGTATTTTCATTGTCCAGGACTTCATTAGTTCTGGTTCTGATTTTGCTTGAATCTTCTTATGCTTATATTAGTTCTGCGGTTTTACAAAAGAAATCACTGAAGGATCTCGAGGTGAATTGTGTCTGATGATGTTTGTGTGGTGGTCTAAAACGGGACTCTGCTCATGGACTTTGTCACCGCTACTCACTTCACTGCTCAGATAAACACGAGTGATGGAGAGAAGGGGCCACGAGACTCGAGTGTGAGCAGAATGAAATGTTAAGTTTTACAACGGCATTGAGGACATCCTGCCCAATGCTCAATGTTTTTTCCATTTGCATCCTGAAGAAGGCCAAGCTAGGCTGAAATGCGTTGGTGTGTATTTTATTTATATTTTCTCATGGATATAATTTAAATAAAGGCTTTTTTAACTCTCTAAACTATTGACCACGAGTGCCTTGGATTTTTTTAGACATGATCTGCATTATTAGACTTAACCTAGAAAGTCAAAACTCCTTTTTTTTGCTCAATATATGTTGTTGTTGTTCCCAAACTTCAAGAACCAGTTAATTTAAATAAGAAATATGAGTGAGAAGAGTTTTTGTCCAAAACTTCAGTTCCAACCCATCTGCTGTACCTGTTTAAGTTTTTTAATATTATTATTTTATGTTGTGCTGATGTAGGTTTTGATAATCACAATATGCCGAAATTGAGATTACAATTTTGTTGATATTTTTGATTTTTGCCAGACCATGACCCATCACTCACATACACAAAATATCTTGTGTTCTTTGTTTTGTTTACTGGTTAGAATTAAAACCAAGCCTAATCCTGATCTAATTAATTCCATGTTGTCATAGTTTACTTGTTTATTTCTGGAATAGTTGTGTCATGAAGCTAAGTCCAATCCAGTAATGGTTTGGCAAGAGTAATTTTGAAGATGAAAGTCGATGATTCTGTTCAAAACAATGTTAATGGTTTGAATTAATGAATTTGGTGTGTGCCAAGATGAGTTTATCCAATCCTGAGACCAAGCCCTCTTCCAAATATCCAGGGTCACTTGTGTTGTGGTTTCATCCACATATCCGGTTCATATCTTTATTGGTAGTAAAAAGAAATGATCCAGCTCTGCGCACAACCCCCTGAATAATCTGCCCTTTTGAAAATTCAGTTCTGAAAATCCCTGCTGTAATTGTATTCAAGTCCTTTCCTTGTCCTTTTGCAGTAAACACCGTGAACAGGTCTCAGTGCCTGGTTCAGGAGAAGGAGTGTCTGAAGGCGTCGCTGCAGGAGGCTCTGGAGCAGCTTCAGACTCAGCACCAGAGGGACCTGGAAGATCTGGAACAGAGACTGAGAGAAACTTATGAGCAAGAGAGGAGGGCGAGCGAGCAGAGGAGCAGAGAGGAGAGAGAGAGGAGCACACACTCTCTGCAGCAACAGGTCTGGGCTCGCACTTCCAAAGCAGTATTGGACAAAATATCTAATTATATATTATCATAAATATAGTCTAATAGAAGACGCTCTCTATCTACTTTTAGAACCTAGTGCCTGAGGGTTGTATATACAGTATTTACCGATGGAGAAGTAAAGTAGAGATGTTGCATAGGACAAAACATCTGCACTATTGATGAATCAGTGTTCTGAGAGATGGGAACAAGTTGTGTTTTTTAAAAGAGTAGTTCATCTGTTTGTAGTTTGACTTCAAATTAGGAACTAAATGAATCCCAGTCTTAAATTGCATGAACCAGTGGTCAAAATTCCCTTTGACCACTGGTCTGAGGCCTAGTTTAGGTTTATGTGGCCCACAATATTGAGTCATACTACAAATTATCACTTCTTTGGTATCTGCTTACACTTGAACCAATTATGACTATTATCTTTGTCCTAAAGAAACAATGTTTAGTCAGTGCTTCAGTCTGTGTGAATAAATACACCCGGTTCTGCTTTAATGACAACCAACTCATAGAATGAATGTTTGTTTATTGATATGGTAAATGACAGCCTTTTGTTATAGCTTCAAGAGACCAATGTTGAACTAATTGCTATTTGACTAGTTAATATTTGCTCAAATATCAAACCCAGTTCTTCTGCTTGGCTGGTTTCAGTTGGAGGAGCTCAAAGCGTCGCACGAAGCCCTGAGGCTGGACCTGGAGCAGAGCCACGACCAGCAGCTGCTCAGTCTGAGGCAGCAGCACCAGATCTCACTGCAGGGTAATGAAACCTGAGTGTTACTTTTATCTTTATTTACTAGTGTCTTTGAAGGATGTCATTCATTTAGAAACAATATTTTTAACCCACAGAACTCATCACCAGCCAAACTGAGGAGCTGCAGTCTCTCAACAAAACACTGAAAGATGCAGAAATGGTTTTAAATGTAAGAAAAGGCATCATTCACAGCTTTTTCAGTAAGACGATTAGTTTGCTCCAACTTTCCGCCAATGGCCCGAACCTCTCATAGCAGCCAATCAGGATCCAGGCCCCGCCCCCCTCACGTTATTAGCAAGCCTAATTCAGACAGAAGGCTCCGGATTGATCAGTTATTATGGCTCATATCTTGATTTGCAATAATTATGTTGAAATAAAATTACCAACATTTTGCCCATGAAAACACTATTAGATTGATGTATTTTATTATTCCCAAAGGTAATTAAAATTACTTATTTATTTTACATTACATTATTGATTAAACATTTTTGTGTGTTCTAGAACTGTACAATATAAAAGAGCAAAGATTGTCCTGTACTCGCAACTTTCTTACTTTCTATTCCTTTTAAAATATGGACTAAGATTACAAATATCTGCCACTTTGCAAAAAAAAAAATAGGTTAAAGATAATTACCATATTATTATTATTATTATTTAGTTGGCTTAGTTATCATTGCAATCTCAAAACATAAAATCCCTCCCATGGACACAAATATTGAATACATGTAATGATGCAAGTTGTGTGTTTTTATCTCAGGAGAAGATCCAGGAGCTGACTCGTGAGAACAAGGCTCTGATGGAGAAACTCGCAGAGGAAGAAAACAGGAGGCGGGAGATGCAGGTAAACACTGAAGGAACAGTCCTGAAATATAAAACATGCCTCTACACAACACAAGAGGTGAATTATTGTTTTGGCAACTCGCTCTTGATGCTGTGAGAGCAGAAAACACATGACCAGACGCATGCTCTGAGCAAAACAGATGGAGAAACTGAGATACAGAAAGAAGCATTCTCAAACTAAATGATTCTCTTTGTGAGGTTGTTTACCTTTTAGACTGAGGTTTTTAATTCCCCCAGGTCAAACTCATGTTAATAATTGAACTCTTGATTTTTAGATAGATTGATAGTTTATTGATCCCCTGTAGGAGAAATTCAGGTGTCCAGCAGCAGAAGACTCCTCCAGGTTTGTTGTACTGTCTGACAGCAGAAGGAACAAAGGATTTCTTGAAACGTTCCGTTCGACAGCGCAGTGATATAAGTTTTGAACCCACGATTTATTTTTTGTCCATCACCGATCATTCAGGTTTACTTAAAACCAAATGTATTTTTGTACCGCCCAAAATCACAACAACGGGAAAATGAGTGGGAATCACAGAATCGTCATTTTTGCCAACAGCAGATTAGAAACTGGCACATAAATACAACTCAAAAGTAAGTAAGTAAGTAAGTAAGTTTTTATTTATATACCGCCTTTTCACTGCAGATCTGAGTCTCAAAGCGGTTTACAATTGTTAATTATGGGCATTTGTCTCTCACTCCACACAGAGATGGGAGCGGGGCCAGTACAGGAGGCACATGCCAGAACTATTGGACATATTTTTAGTGGTAGGGGAAACCGGAGTACCCGGAGGAAACCTACGCAGACACGGGGAGAACATGCAAACTCCACTCAGAAAGGCCCTGGTCCGACCGGGATTCGAACCCAGGACCTTCTTGCTGAGAGGCGAGAGTGCTATCCACTCAGCCACCGTGCCGCCCTAAAAAACTCATAGTCCCGGATCCTCCCCTGTTTTTAGACCCTCCTGCTTTCTAGCTGTGATTTAAGAAGGGAAAAGGTGAAGTTATTACACTATTCGTCCAATATTTGTGTATCCAACCACATAACAACTTTGTATTATGAAAGGTTTAGCTGGTTTCAAATCCAGGAAATGACTCGACATTTCGCAGAATTCTGAATTTCTGCTTCAAGGATCAATAAATGTCTCTTTCGTTGGGTCATAGTGAGTGAGCTTCCTCTTTTGAAATGCTGTAGAGGTAGGGAATAAGCCTCTTTTCTACAACCCAATACTATGAATCTTGGATTATTATGCATCGTTCTGGTCTGATGGAACTAAACTAGAATGCTTTGCCGGTTGACTTTTCCACACTTGTCGTAATCAGACTGTATGGTTTCTCCAGAAGGACTCCCACACTGTGTATCTGGAGCAGGAGCTGGAGAGCCTCAAAGTCGTGCTGGACCTCAAAAACCAACAGCTGCATCAACAAGAGAAGAAAATCATGGAGGTGGACAAACTGGTGAGAATAAAAAAACGATATCACAGATGAATGGGACACGGTGATGAACAGTTTGCTCTGTGCTTAATCCAGACGGAGAGAAATTTGAAGCTGGGAGAAAGTCTGTGCAAAGTCCAGCAGGAGAATGAGGATCTGAAGGCTCGGATGGACAGACACGCTGCTTTATCGAGGTAAAGGATAAAGCTATATGTCTAGATTATGTCTATGCATTTTTGTCTGTTTTAGTTGAAATTCTCAAATCCCCATTCGTCACAACATTCATATTTTGAGTCTTTCATTTACTGTTTGGCTCTGATAACATGGTAAAAGTCATGATTATTAAACCATAAAACTGTTCTCAAAGAAGGGGGTGGGAGACCTGAAATCGGGGGGCACAATTTTAAAAACGTACACAAATAACATATAAATAATGCATTTTTATTTATATTTATACTGCATAACTGTAATATGTTGAGACTATATTTTTTTTTTTTTTAATTCTCTTCTGAAATCAGAGCATAGTTAGAAATCTCCGGTAGAAAACTTTAAGAACCCCTGAGGTAACCACGGTAACCAAATAAAGGTCACATTACTATAAAATACATGTAGAATCGCTTATTTCACTCTTGAAGAAGCGACCTCTGCTTTTCCAAAACCTGAGATGGAATGATCCGTGGAACTCGTGAAATGACATGAAAGAGTTTTGCAGCAACGCGTCTGTATTATCGGTAAAAATGTAAAAAAAAAAAAAAAAAAAAAAAGTTAAATTTAGTAGTCGTTTATTTCTGCCATTATGTACATTAGATCACAGGTCACATGTTTTCAAAGTTTGTATATACATTTTACAATAAGAAAAGAAATTACCAAATGTGTTAAGGATTTTAGTGCTAAATGCCATAATTTACATAAAGGAAAGGTTCTGCTTTCACCTCACTTTGGAACTCATCAAAACAAACTCTTATGACGCTAATGGTTCATTGAGAGTTTTGACCCAGTACAAAACCACATCCGGTACTGCAGTTTCCGATGTTGAACCAAGACAAAACATGTGGTTTCCTCGGCCTCCTACGCTCTAAGGACAAAAATAAATGAATGGATAAAACATTGTGATATGTTCTATCCAGTAAGATTGTCACTATCTGTATTACCCACACTTTTCCCTGAAATGTTGTTGTATGAAAAGCATTAGAAAACAAAGCTGGATGACTTAAAGACTGGAAACGGCTTCTGCCACTGTGCATTATTTGGATTCAAAAGTGCCCTGTTATTATAAAACAAAAAAATGTAAGATGAAACTTGAAATTATTTAAAAGTTTGATTTCAAAACATGTTACAAGTATAGTCTCTTCTACGCACTTTGGGGATATGTTAATCACATACGTCTGAACTGTGGGGGAGAAGGGAAAACGTTTATGATTTTAGTGGTTCTTTACAATCAGATAATGTTCCAATTAAAAACTCAGCTCTTCTTTCCGGTGGCAGCATAGAGAGTTACAGGCAGAACGCATTGTTTACCCTTCATGCTTGTTTTAGAATATGAACATAATTAGTAGAAAATATTGGGTGATGAGTAAAGTAAATGGTATAGTTTTTAATAGCCACAAACAATGCATTTTATTTCTTTTTAACACATCTCGCCCCACAGACAGTTATCCACAGAACAGGCCCAGCTCCAGGAGTCGCTGCAGAAGGAGTCGAAAATGAACAAGCGTCTGTCCATGGAGAACGAGGAGCTGGTCTGGAAGCTCCACAACGGGGACCTGAGCAGCCCCCGCAGGTCCAGCCCCGGCGGCCGCTCGCCCTCTCCCCTCTTCAGCATCCACTCCCCTCGCTCGCCCTCGCTCTTCTCCAGCCCCCCAGTGTCGCCCAGATAACACAGGACCACCCGCTGTCTGTGTGGGTGCTATAGACTATATATATGTGGGATGGAACTGAAACGCACTGGAGCACTTAAACAAGTTTGCCTTTCACTTCTGATACTTGGATCGGCGAAACTCAGGAGACGTTACTGCTTTGTTTTTACGATTGTCTGCACTGCAAAAAGTGATTAAAACTCAGGATACAGTTAGCCAAATTTGAGCAATTTCTGACTAATTTGAAGACATTTTGACTGCCGTAAGATTTGCCAATGGGGCGATACAAGAAATATCTTCCTTCAAATATAAAGCAACGGTTCTTGAAATGAGACTAAATGGCTTTGTCCCTTTGGCAAATCTGGTTTTAAGACTGTCAGAATGTACTCAGATTATGCAGAGTACTCAATTCAAGCAATTCTTACCTCAGATTTGATCATTTTTTGCAGTGTGCATTGCAGGACATGGCGTCAATATTGAGAGCTGTGCATAAAACTTTACACAAGACACTGCTACTGATACAGCCGCTTCTGTTTGAAAAGCTGAGTTAAGATTGAGACTCCTGTGGTCTTCAGACGGGGACTTTTGCCTCTGGGGGCAGCCTGGACACAGCAGCTACTACCTTCACTCATAAAACTTTAACAATTTGCACTTCATTTTCCTCCGGTCAGGAATTTTCTGTCGGGTGTAACGTTGCTATATTACTCCAACGCTACAGTTGTGCTCATAAGTTTCCATACCCATAATGTTCTGTTTCACTGCCGTTTCTCAGAATGAATGGTTTACATAAGGTTCATTATTTTGGTGATTTTGGACTCACATTGGCACAAACGTGGTTGAATGGCTTATGGAAGGATTTTAAATTGCGTCACCCAATCACTGGCCATTTCTGTGTTCTTAAAACGGCAAATGAATCGTAAATTGTGGCTGGATATGAAAATGCATGAGCACAACAAACTCCATCAATATAAAACATTTACATCCAAACTCATCTCAAACTGAGCCGCATTGTACAAAACAGAGCGATCCTTTTGAACCACACACTACTCATTGATGGACAAATGCTTACTAAACCAAAAAGTGAAATAATATCTTCATTTTTTAACTGTTTGCTTAATATTGGCTGCCTTAAGTTAGTATAACAAAGCCATACAACAGTCTCACTCTTGGCTCTCCGCTGCCTCCAGAAAGCCATACTCTGATCCCTGTTGTCTTCATCACTTCTGTAGAAAGTGGTCTTTACATCTATGGGCTGAAATATAACTTTTTGTTCACGTTGACCCAAGGGACCAATCAAATATTGTATACTTTTTTTTGTGTGAAATGCAGCTTTAAACTGGGTCCGTTCACGTTTTTTGGTCACGTGTGTTATGGGCTTTTTTTGTGTTTGAAAACATTAATTTAATAAAGTCTTGTACAGAAATTACAAAAAATTACAAGTGCGTGGACATTTTTTCTTTTAATAATTTCTGACTTGTCTTTAATTTTGGCTTATTATTGGTTGTTTGCAATAAAAGTTATGTAACTTAATTTTGTTTCAAAAATCTATTCAACAAATCACGAATAGTTACTAGAAATAAACATGGCTCAAACTTGTACAGCCCAAAATCACAAGTTATTTTTAGTATCTTGTAATTCCTTGACATACAGATTATTTTTATATATTGATAAAATATTCTTAATTTTGATTTGTAAGAAATGAACAACACAAAAAGAATAGACTGGGACTAAAGGCTAAAAACCACATCTACACAAAGACTAAATCCTGAAGCTGAACTAAATCAGGACTCGACCAAATATGAGCTTATGATTCATTTAAATGGTTCTAGTCCCGAATAGATTTGTCATTATTATATGTTGTGATTTGATCAGATAAAATATACAGAAGAGATGCAAGTATTTAAATGAATCTATAAAAAGCTTTTCCTACAGGTTTGACGTCTGTGTGTTCTGTCTTCACACTGATGTAGCTCCATGTGCAGGATTTAACACCGTGTCACCCTCGTTACAAATATGCAAGATAAAAGTTCAAAGGTTATGGCAAAAGACTCATAACTTTTCGGTTTAATGCATTTACCCAAGAACCAAATATGAAGAAAATTAAGAAATTATGCAACATTACCACATTTGGTTGTTGAATGCAAATGTTTATCCCTCCCCATTGATAAGAATACAGCACAGGTATTTTAATGAATTTATGTCTATCTGGAATCTTGGTTCTCCAGGGTTAATGTTTAGATTTGGTAAAAAGTGAGGATATGTGAGTCTCAGTGATCTGATGTCTAGGGGTAACTCAGATAGGGTCATTTTTTAGAAAACTATGAAGGGAACCATTATTTATATTTTTATATATATATATATATATATATATATATTTTTTTTATATATATATATATATATTTTATATATATATATATATATATTTTTTTTTTTATATATATATATATATTTTATATATATATATATATATATTTTATATATATATATATATATATTTTATATATATATATATATATATATTTTATATATATATATATATATATTTATATATATATATATATATATATATTTTATATATATATATATATATATATATATATTTATATATATATATATATATATATATATTTATATATATATATATATATATATATTTTATATATATATATATATATATATTTTATATATATATATATATATATATATATTTATATATATATATATATATATATATATATATATTTTATATATATATATATATATATATATATATATTTTATATATATATATATATATATATATATATATATATTTTATATATATATATATATATATATATATTTTATATATATATATATATATATATATATATTTTATATATATATATATATATATATATATACTACCGTTTACTACTATTATAAACTGTGTGGAAATAAAACATGGCATTAGCTATTGGACAGTTATTGTATTCATTGTATTCTGAATAAACCTGGATTTGTTCGCATACAAAAACATTTTTCCGTCTCATGGTTGAAGTCATCTGGAATCCCTTTTTGGTTGTATAAAATGTCAAGCAAAACAAATTACAAAAATTCCACTGTAAAAAGTGATAAAATGAGAATTGCTTAAATTTTGTGTTTTAATCTTATTTAGTGTACATTCTGACTCAGATTAAGATTATATGGATTCGTCTCATTGGCAAATCTTGTTTTAAGGCAGTCGAGAGAGCAATTTTTGCCAAATGTGACCAATTTTTGACTTCTTTTTCATCACTTTTTGCAGTGGAATGACTACATGACATTCTTCATGTACAGATCTGCTCCAGCGTGGCTCCGCCTGAGAGAATATTCACGTCCTCAGCATTTCTCTGGAAAACATTTGAACAAGTGCAGAAACAGAGCGGTGTATTGTAGACTTTGGGATCACATTCCTCATCTGGAGATCGTTAGAGTATAGAACCAACACTGAGCAAAGCAGATGTCGGATTTTCACGTTTATTTAAAAATGGACACGGTCTGGTGCAAAAGTGAAAGGACGTCACTAAACACTAAACTTCAACCATTTACAGATTTAGTCAGAAAGAGCATAATGGCACTTTTTCACACATTCAAACAGTCTGCGGTTGACAATACACATTTACAAGACCGATATTTTACGATTGTGCTTCTCAACCTGGGGCATGCGAGCGCTTACGAGGGAGTATACTAAATAATTTCAGATTAAACTGTTATTTGACTAAAACAGTCAATGTTATATCCCTGAGAGCTTGTGGGACGCTTTCGACCATTATAACAATAATAATAATAATAATAAAATAATTGAGTATGTGTGAAAAGTCTGGATGTAGTTTTGGTTCAAATCTATTTTAATGTCCAAGATTCCCAGAACTCTATCTTCTTCTTTAAAGTGATTCTTCAATAATACAAATTTTCGATTCACTTCAAGCTGGGGTACCTAACTTTTAAACCACAGAAATTTACTATATGTAGTAAAATCAAAATCTACTTCCTATAGCTCCGGTTCAATCAATAGTTTTCACATGCATCATAGTTTTAGATCAGCTTTTTCAGACAGAAAAATTAAAAAGGGAAGACCCCCCTCACTCAGCCAATCAGCTCAAATGTGGCTTTTTCTTACATGTATGCGAAAGATAATATGTTTTCTCGTAAGATACAGACAGCATGTTGAGGTTTGATTTTTGTTTCTTCCTGTTGGGACAAACTTGTATTATTTAGGATTGATAAAAGTTAGGTTCCCCAGCTTTAAGCACACAGGATCCAGTCTATCCAGCGTGAACGTCGGTGGCCACAGCGGTCTCTCCGTACTTGTTCTTGGCTTTGCAGATGTAGCTGCCGTAGTCCCTGGAGCTCAGGTCCTTGATGCTGAGGACGCTCTGAGAGACACGTGTGGTGTGGCCCAGGCCCCGCTTCACCAGACGCCAGTGCGAGTGCGTCTGGACGGGGCGAGAAGGCTGGAAAAGAAAAGGACAAAGTGACAAATATAAAAAAAGTTCATTTATTCTTCTTGAGACAAAGAGACATGCAGGTATTCGCACTCACAATGAGTTTATATAAATCTGTCAAAAGTTGATTCTACTTGGACACAGAAAAAACATACATGGAGCTGAGGACCACTAGCATTTATATTTCACACTTAGTTTTTTTGCCATTTGCAGTAAAACCACATTGGAATATATGTGCAAAAGTCTCCAGTGTGCCCCAGATAAATACATATATAAAACAAGCTAAAAAGAAGCTGGAACAGGGCTTTTCCAGGGGACAGAGGAGTCACTGATTATTCTAAGAGACTGGTGTCAGGATTCATAAAGAACCTCCAGACCAGACAGCTCACAGTCCTCTTTCAGAGCGGAGCACCTTGTTTAGAGCTCTCCTTTCTTTGTGATGTCACCAAACCAGACACAGAACCAACAAGCAAACTTTCAATGGTGCAGCGATAAAAGTCAAGTTTGAGGTAAATTCTCTTTAAGTTTCCGGAGAAAGAAGAGACGCGGACGAGCTTCGTTAACAACCTAATTAAGATTTTTGTAACTAACAGAGCACAGCTTTTAGTTTTGGTAGTTACTCAGCATATGTACGTTTTTAGTTCAAACGTATTATCATTATTAGTTTTTTATACTTCCGGGTTGGGATGGATCCAGTTGAAATCTATAGGGACCTCGGGTTCTCCCAGGACGGTGCAGGTCACGTTCATCGAGTCGCCGTCCGCCACAGAATCTGGAGATGTTTGAAGACTGACGAAAGGAGCGCCGCTGGGAACTGGAAAGAAAAAAACAGAATATACTGTTGTCTTCATATTTCTATACTTTTATAAATAACACCATATCTACAGCAGGACCAAATCATGACTAAAGCAGGATATCTAGACCAGGACTAAACCAGTACTAAACCAGGACTAGACCAGGACTAAATCAGTAATAAAGCAGGTCTAAACCAAGACTAAAGCAGACCCATCCCTCGCACCCTCGACGTAGAGCAGCTGGAACTTGGTGGAGATCTGTGGGGCCCCTCTGCTCTGGGCTCTGCAGTAGAAGACCCCCTGCAGCTCTGGTCCAGGACTCTGCAGGACGAAGCCTCTCGTGGGGTCGAAGGTCACGTCGGTCCCGTTAGTGGAGACCTCCTCTGGGGGCACCTCCCTGTGCAGCGACACCCGGGCCTGGAGGAGGCAGAGGACGAGACACCGTCAAGGGCAAACAACTTGAAGACCAGTAAGTGAGAAATCAAACCAGAAATATACATTTATTTGCCCACTCATATAGTTTGGACACATATTTCAAAACTTTATTCAGTGCCAGAAAAAATAAACAAGACCAGCTTAAATATATTTCCAGCTGCGTACAGGGTTTTTTAGTGCAAAAAACTAGGTGATTAAAGTAATTAACCGCCAATAGAATTTCATTGGCTTATATTTACAATAATACCAAATACTATAAAAGCAGTTCATAGATTAACTGTCATGTCATTTACAAGGAGCATAATCACTGAAAGTTGTTTCTCTTATTGTCAGTTTTGCACAAGGCCCGGTGAGAAGGTCCAGCACCTGTGGGTCGGTGACTCTGCAGGGCACCACAGCAGAGCGGTCCGGACGCAGGTACACCAGCTCGAAGTGGATCAGGGAGGGAACAAACAGGTTGTCTTTGTCTGCGAAGGGAAAATAATAAATAAGGAGCCATGATGGAAGTGCATATCACAGGTTGATTCTCTGATCTGCGTTGACAAATCAACAACTTTGTACAGTCCTCTGAGACTGCTGTTGTGATTTAGGGTTATACACAAATAAATGTAAGGCAATTTTACTTCCTGATTAACTAACAACATTGACATAACAATCGAGATCCCACTTTGGAGACCAGGTGAAGACTTTTATAATGAAATGTGAAAATGAAAAGTTTTTAATAAATACAATAAGAAAAAATAATAGTATTATAATTAGTATTTTTCTCACCGGAGAAGAAGATGTAGGTAGAGTAGTTCCTGTCAATGTCTACGGAGCACTCTCTTCCGTCACAGAGATTGACCCAGCAGCTGTAGAGCCCAGTGTCAGCAGCAGAGGGCGCTGTCAGGACCAGCTGTCCGTATTTATCGATCTGATTTGTGCTGCAACAAATATCCACCATAAATGACAAGAGAAAGACAATAATCATACTAACAAAAAGACATAAATGTTAAAACTAGTCCAATTGTTTTCAGTATGTCAGAAAGTCAACACACTGAGGTTATTCTGTTAATCAAGAATTATTTGAATATGTTGCGGTACACATTTACTACACATAGATTTAAAGCTAGGATACCTAACTTTGAACTAATGTGCAACAACATAAACAAGTTCCCCACTCTCTAACACTATAATATTTTTGGTTTTTCAGACACACAAGTGAAAAAGAAAGGACCACCCACACTCAGGCAATCAGCTCTCGGCCCAAAGAGTCAAATAGTGACTCACAGGGCTCTTTCTCACATATATGCAATAGATAACTTTTTTGGTGTAGAATTAAGACAGCATGTTGTCGTCTGATTTGCTCACGACATTTTATTTTTACAAGGGAAAAGTTAGATACTTAGAAACTGTGTGGTGAGCAGAAGGTCCAATGAGACTCTGCTTTGCTTCCATCAGTCTGCCCCATGGCCGCTGTGGCTGCAGTAGTAGTTTACTGTCACATGTGAAGAGGATGAATAATGCTTAAAATCTGTGTGATGAAGATGTTTCTAATGGTGGAAATGGGTATCTCTGTAGTAGAGTATTTGAGTATCTGGAGTATTTGAATAATCGTGAGGATAGGGGACAAGTGAGTATTCTGACCATTGACGCCACAACTACAAAACAAACTGGGAAACTCAAAAAAGAATCATTCAAAATTAAACATAGAGATTGTGGCAAGAGAACACTAAAACAAGAATAACAGTGAACCCTCCAGGCGCCACGGTTGACCTAAGTCGACAAGATGCGGAAATGTTTAAAACGGCAGACTGTGGCAGGGCTGGACTGGGACAAAAAAACGGCCCGGGCATTTTTTCCTTTTTAGCGGCCCAGGCAACTCAAAAGGTTCAAGGAGCCCTATTTGACAAAAAAACCAAAAAAAAAAACAGCGTTGTATAAGGCTTATATGAAGGTACAGGGGCTGAAGCTGTATTAGCTACATAAGCTATATTAGCTATATTAGACTAATATCTAAATGACAAAGTAAAGGCTAAACACATAAAAACCATTCATGATTATCAAATGTGTATTTTCACTGCAGCGTGTCCTGGAGAGAATGACACACCACGTGACAACTCTGCTTTAAGTTTAACCTTCTTGCAATTGTACAAATACAGTAAATAAATCTGTTTTTGGCTCCGAGTTCACCTGCATCACTGTCTGTTCATATCGATCACAGGCTGAAGTTTGCTGGAGCTGAATGTCCTTAATGGCGTTTTCTTTCACCGTCTTTGCGAAGGTTTTTGAAGTCTGAAAATAGGTGCTCTGACTTTATGATGAATGAATCTTTCAGTGAACGGTGTTTAAAGCTTCATTGTTCCTCCTGTTGCAACAAAACTTTTCATTAAATCGCAAACATAAAGCAGTCCTTCCTCATTGACTGAAAGCAAATGTTCATTCTTATTCTTAGTGCAGTCTTATCGACTCTCTTTATCTTTGGGATCCATGCGCACACACAGTTAAAATTGAATATTACCCATACAAGTTTTTGCAGCATTGAAAAACGTTAAGAATGTTCTTCCTCCTCCAGAAACCACATTCAAACTAGAAATAAAATATAGCCCTCACACTCCATTTTCAGACATTTTTGAAAAGGCTCCAGGAGCCACTTTAGGGGCACTAAAGGTTGCCGACCCCTGGTTTATACAGTATGTGGAAGCAAATACTGTAGAGGATCAGGATATGTGCAGTTTCAACAAAAAATAAAGTGCAATAGTCTACATTAAACAGAGTAATAAACATTTCTCAGAGTGAGGGAGGTGGACACAGACAACACTATCATTTGTTACAGGGATGAGAATTGGTAAAAAAAAATTCTGAAATGCATATTGTCTGTCATTAGCTGGCTCTAAATCTGTTTAATCTGTTCACAACATTTTACTTTTGGGCTCAAAGATGAACTTTTAATGCGATGGAAAATTTAGGTACCCGAGCTTTATTTTAGAGGAGAGGGGAGACGCGGACTGTTTTCTGCAGCGGTGTATTTATTGGGTGCACAAATTACGAAAAGACATGCATGGTCCTGTGCGCGTTTATGGTCTTGGCTACGCGCTCACCGTGTTGTGTTGTGAGCGGTTCCTGCGTCCAGCTCAGAGCCGCTGGATGCGGGAACACTGCGGCCGCTGAGGTGGTGGAATCCCGTTCGAGTACATACAGCAGGAGCCCCGCGGACACGCGCGCTCCCCTCAAACATTTCTCAACGGATTTACACTTTTCACAAACATGTTTTTTGTATGTGGCAGACAGACCGGCCCAAATATGGGCATCGGCCCTTCGGGCATTGCCCGGTACGCCCGATGGCCAGTCCAGCCCTGGACTGTGGCAAACTGGGTCTGGGCTGCTCACATAGGGCCAGTGATGATTTGCCCTTTTTAACCTTTTCCCTGTGAGTTCCGTTTGTGTGTTCAGGTCCTAGTGATTTGCATGACTGTCAGTAAAGAAAAAAATAAATTTCATCAAAATTCTAAGATCCATGATTGCCACTGCCGTATGATGTCATAAAATGCAAATTAGATGAGTCAATTTAAGTAGCTCAGTTGGTAGAGCATTGGCCTTTGGGCCTGAAGGTCGTGGATTCGAGCCCACCATAAGACCTACTTCAAGACTCCCACTGATGACTGCTGTCGTTGTGTCCTTGGGCAAGACACTTAACCTAACTTTGCCTGAAGCCCCCACTGAAAGATCTCAGCTCCTGTGGACTCACCACCTGCAGGAGGATCAGTGAGGGGCTGGTGCTCTGTGGACTGGGTGCAGCTCTGACTGCCACCCCCCTGACCCAGAAATGGATTAAGGGGAAGAAAATGGATGGATGGACAAACTTTGGGCCATCCTTATTATTTCCTTTTTTACAGATAGCCTCCATCTCTTATCTGCAGATGAGAGATGGAGACTTCCTTATATGAAATGAAGTCGTCCAAATCGAACGTTAAAAGAATTACATGTAGCGCTTCAAGAGTTACATCTACGTCCCTGATTGGTTTGAACAAGGGCCAAAGCAGACCAAAGCAGCCCAAAGCAGACCTATCCCAGTCCTTTACCCTTCACCTGAGTCGGGAGTCGTTGAAAGTGTCCAGATACGAGGGATAAGTCCAGCCGATGTTTGCACCTTTGCAGCGGAGTTCCAGGGAGCGGCCAGAGGGGAGCACCGTGGTGTTTCCCAGCCGGAGGAAGTGGCCCTTGTCCAGGACCTGAGTGAGGAGCGACTGGCCTCTGACTCCAGGGTCTTTGGTTTTAGGAGGACGAGGTTTGACCCTTTTCCCCCCCTGTCTGACACGGCCGTCCCCCGGATCCTTCTTTCGTTTGGGCTGCTGCTGGGAAAAGCCTGGACACCAACAAAACACAGATATTTGAACAGGACTTTTGATTTAGAGACAGAGTTTGGTCTAAAGATCCAGTCTCGTTCCCACAGCTGAGGCAACACTGGAACAGGAAGCTAGATTCTTGGCAATACACTTCTAGAATTTGTAATTTTTTTCTCTCTATGCAGATTTTGGGATTAAAAGCAGTTTATTCTTTCAGGAGGAATCATTGGGTTACTTTGATGAGCCAGATTATTAGTAAATTAATTTATGTCAAACCTGCAGAACACAAATTCCCATATCTTGACACTAATGCAGGTTTGAAAACGCTTTTTGTTATGCCAACCCCTCTAATCCATTCAACACACAATAATACACAGAATGCACTAGAGTTAAGAGTCCTGGATCTATAGTCTGTCCGTCCATGATGATCCGGGACATTTACTAACATTTATGAACACTCTCAATGGACCAATGTGTCTGTCATTTTTGCATTTCCCGTGTTGAAACTGTTTAAATTATCTGATCTGTTGTCGGCAAATCTGTCTGTGACAACTGCTGTTGTGATTTTAGGCTCTACAAAAATAAATTACATTGCAGTAATTGACATATAACAGAAAACAGTTATGATTCTGTGCTGTATACATGCAGCAATATACAACAGCGGCACACACACACACACACATATATATATATATATATATATACACACACACACACACACCTAGTACATACCTTAGCTGCATACCTGGATCTGCAAAATCACTTTAAGACACATGAAAAAGATGTACGGAAAGTATTGGATTTTAGGTGTAACTACATGTGTTAAGGGAGTGGTTTTCTGTTCCTGTATAGAGAGAAAGACATTTAACTTTGCAACTTGTGAATCATCTCATAATATCTTAAACAAAGTGTGAGTCCAAGTTGCAAAATATATCAATTAAAAACATGATAAAACTTTCTGTATCCCCTGTCAGCAGTGACGGCCTATACTTTCACAAAACCCATTCACACACTGTGATTTGTTCTGTCATTCTATCCAGGGTTAAAAAGCAAAAACACCTTATTGAAACACAAAACAAACTTAGAGAAAGTGTTTTATCTGCAGATACACACCATATTGCAGCTGCATCAAAACCAGAGCGACACACAGAAGAAGGCAGGTCTTCATAGTTTGTTTTTATCCGGGTTTAGAGCTGCTCCTGCTGTTCCATTGTGTCAGAAGAGGAGAAAAAGGGGAAAATAACTGGACTGGACTGAGAGTTTACTCCCATCTGTAAAACTCTTGTGGGAAGCGCCCTCTGCTGGAGATGAGGGTGAACTGCAAATTCCAAAAGCAGGATCATATCGAGCGTTTTGCATCTCAGCTCAAAATGAGAAAATCTTAGATAAAACGCATATGACATTATTGTATGACAGTATTTACTCATTTATCCATCCACTTTCTCATGCATTATCCATTGCCGGGTCGTGGGAGCAGCGGTCAAAGCAGGGACTCAGAGACTTCCCTATCCACGCATTTCTCCACACATTTTTATTCTTAGATTTTTCTGCTTCTATGACACAGTAGTCTGCAAAGATAAACACCAGTTCATATACATCACCAGTAATCAAAATGTCAAGGGTCACTGTCAATGTTATTTGTGAGGTTACGTTAGGGGTTAAAGGTCAGGGTTAGGGTTATAGTTAGGTCTAGGGTTAAGAAAAGAGCACAGGATAAATGTGTAACAGTGATCCTGGACTTTTGATAACTTGGGGAAATCCGATCGTACAGGCAAGTGAGCGAGAATACAACAGAATATATTCAAATAAAAAAAACGAATACAATCTAAATCAGTAGACTCACCTTTCACATCATCTAAAAACGCAATAAAAAACTATTTGAACCATTTTTACATTTAAATCCATCTTGTTTTTTATACTGAGCTTGTTCTAGGAAATGCACGCACACACACACACCTACACACACACTGACACACGCACACACACACACACACACGCACTGGTTTAAGTTATCCTGTGGTACTTTTATGTCTATCTAGTTTTTTATTGTATATTTCGATACAACTGCACCTTTTTATTTTCCTTCAATTAAAAAAATAAAAATAGTACAACGCTACAACAATGTCTGTGTATCTCCACGAGAGGGCAGCATTTTCCCTTTTAAACACAACGCTGTTTAATCCTGTTCCACAAAAAGCTAAAATAAACGTGTACAATAACGTAATTAGTATTTAATAAGGATCATTTGGAGTATATTTATTTTAAGTAAGCAATTAAAAAAACGTTGAAAAGTCTCCATAGGACACAAGATACTTTTTATTCACACAGTTTTTGTATTGGTGTCTTAATCTGGATCACTACATGTCACTGTAGTTGCTGTAGGATTGGGCACTTTCTCTTTTGAAGGTACAAACATATGTATAAAGAATGAATGGGTGAAATTGGTCTAATGAGTAAACTATTTCTCTGTCATGATCCACCAACTTCTTATTTTCAAGTATTTTATTATTATTCTGCAAATAGCTTCTTACCGGATAAATAGGGTTGAGATAATAAAATAGACACATCCACATCACTTCATTTCTTTAATTTTATTCAAGAAAGAAAAACAAAAGTTATTTATAGTGGTGGAGAATAGAAGTAATAGTGGGGATCAAGCCTTTTCGGCTCAGGACCCAGGCTCAGGACCCAGGCTCAGGACCCAGGCTCAGGACCCAGGCTCAGGACCCAGGCTCAGGACCCAGGCTCAGGACCCAGGCTCAGGACCCAGGCTCAGGACCCAGGCTCAGGACCCAGGCTCAGGACCCAGGCTCAGGACCCAGGCTCAGGACCCAGGCTCAGGACCCAGGCTCAGGACCCAGGCTCAGGACCCAGGCTCAGGACCCAGGCTCAGGACCCAGGCTCAGGACCCAGGCTCAGGACCCAGGCTCAGGACCCAGGCTCAGGACCCAGGCTCAGGACCCAGGCTCAGGACCCAGGCTCAGGACCCAGGCTCAGGACCCAGGCTCAGGACCCAGGCTCAGGACCCAGGCTCAGGACCCAGGCTCAGGACCCAGGCTCAGGACCCAGGCTCAGGACCCAGGCTCAGGACCCAGGCTCAGGACCCAGGCTCAGGACCCAGGCTCAGGACCCAGGCTCAGGACCCAGGCTCAGGACCCAGGCTCAGGACCCAGGCTCAGGACCCAGGCTCAGGACCCAGGCTCAGGACCCAGGCTCAGGACCCAGGCTCAGGACCCAGGCTCAGGACCCAGGCTCAGGACCCAGGCTCAGGACCCAGGCTCAGGACCCAGGCTCAGGACCCAGGCTCAGGACCCAGGCTCAGGACCCAGGCTCAGGACCCAGGCTCAGGACCCAGGCTCAGGACCCAGGCTCAGGACCCAGGCTCAGGACCCAGGCTCAGGACCCAGGCTCAGGACCAGCCAGGACCAGCTCAGGACCCAGGCTCAGGACCCAGGCTCAGGACCCAGGCTCAGGACCCAGGCTCAGGACCCAGGCTCAGGACCCAGGCTCAGGACCCAGGCTCAGGACCCAGGCTCAGGACCCAGGCTCAGGACCCAGGCTCAGGACCCAGGCTCAGGACCCAGGCTCAGGACCCAGGCTCAGGACCCAGGCTCAGGACCCAGGCTCAGGACCCAGGCTCAGGACCCAGGCTCAGGACCCAGGCTCAGGACCCAGGCTCAGGACCCAGGCTCAGGACCCAGGCTCAGGACCCAGGCTCAGGACCCAGGCTCAGGACCCAGGCTCAGGACCATGTTTTCTCTGCGATGTTGTGTTTTGTGTGTTTTACGGCTGTATTCCTTGTATTTGTCAGTCTCAAAGCTGCTTTTATAATACATGTGACTTTGACGAGTTTCAAGTAAATAAATCAGATCAATGAAAGAAGTAAAAAAGTTTATTCAAAAATCAATTGAATAAGAGAATGGTTGTAGCAGCTGAAGCACAGTCTGTCTCTTCACCGAGGCGGAGCACGAGGCCACGAACGAGAATGTACAGTTCCAATAATCATTTCAAAGATTAAAGATGAAGATAAGACAGTCGCACAGTCCATTTCCAAAACCTACAGGATTTACAATACTTTTAAAGGGGCCATTTTCAGCATATTTTACATATTATGTGGCACCTATAGCTCACCACCCTCTTCAGAGTAGCTCCCCAAAGGATTTTGGAGTAAATATAAAAATAATGTTGATGGATTTTTGTATGAGTGTAACAACAACAACAACGAAAGTTAAAAATTGCACAAATTTGGTTCAATTTATCAGAGAACATTTTGACTGTCTTAAAACAAGATTTGCCAAAAAGTAATACTTTGTTTTTATCTGTGATGGAAATAAATTGGTTGTTCCATTGTTTTAAGAATTTCAAAATGTTTTCAAATCCAGATAAAAATTATTAAATCCATCGTAGCACAGCATCATGTCTGCAGCTCTCCAAGGGAAAAGGTTGGAGACCCCGGTTATATAGAATTGTCTAAAACGTGAACATCAACCACAATATTTCTACCAATATTCATCAAAGGGGAATAAGAAAATGGACAAATATCTCAATTTTTAAACTCTTTTTTGATGCCCTCGCCAAACGTCCCAACCATAATTCACACACACATATTTATTCAGTGAAAGCAGTAACAGGCCTCGGACCCTTCGAGCGGCACAAAGAGAAAACAAACACATATAGTACTTTATCTGTTCTGTTCAAGTGCCGATAAAAAAATATAATAATGATAATACGAATAATAAGAAGGACAAATCCAGGTCGGATTTTTACACTTTTTTAGTCCATTTGCAAAATCAGTTCTTTGCCGTTTGAAAATTATTTGAATGATCAACAATTTTCCCCTTACCAAGAAGTTTTGTATAAACCCAGATCTATTTTAAATCCATACAAATAAAGTTTTACGCTAAATCTTTCAAATGATCTCCCAATGTTGAATTTTCAAATGTTTCAAATCTGTTTTTGCAAATTTAGATCAAGAATGTGATTTCACAGACGGATACTGACTGGGTCTTTTGATTCAGGAGTATACCCTGTAGGCCTGACGCCATAATTACTACCAAGTGAAACAACATTTTCAATATCTATCTTTTTTTTACAATGATGAGAAGACGGTTGCTATTTTATTTGTTATACGCACATTTTGAGCTAAATGAAAATCACTTTTATGACTCATTGTTGTTTGTGCAAAATCTATGTGAGCTTTTAACCACAACATTGTCGTGTCATCGAAAAACGGCTTGGAGCTATAGTTTTATCTCCATCCACGCTAATATCAGGACCTTCTGGTAACTCCGCCCCCTCTGTCTAAAAGCTTGTCTCAGTCCTGTGAGAGTATGATGTCATTCTACCGCCATGACATCACACTCAGAGCAGTAAAAGTAGTGTGCATCAATCACTTTTGGCAATTTCTCAAGAGAAACCACGGCCTTCTCACTCCTCCCTCTGGTGGTAGCATTGGGAATTACAGGCAGCTTTTTTCTTTATTTTATTTTTTTACCTACATATTGAGTCACCATCTACCGCCTACTTAAGATATTATTTCACATTCTATAACGTGAAATGACAAAGTAAATAGTCACATTTAATAGACAAAAATAAAGCATACAAGTTCTTCCTTAAAGCGAGGGCCCCTAAATAACAAAAATATAATATAGTTTAAAATTTTACATTTACCAAAAAAAGACTATTGGACCTATTTTTCAGTAGGTCAGCTGGTCCAGTCCCTTCACCTGTATCAAGGGTGCATCGAGTATCGGGAAAAATATTGAGTTTGGAATGAAAAAACCGTAACAATTGCATCCTTAAGGTGGAATGAAAAAGAAATAACTCAAGCTCTGTACTATCCAATACAAACATATGAAAAATACAATCTCTAAGTCTATTCACAAGTCTTTAAAGAAGCTCTAGGGAAGTTCCTTTTCTGCCTGAACTGTATCTGTCCCAACGGAGACGCTGCTGACGCCAGACGCCAGGTCAGATTTGCGGAAAGGAGCTCTCCTTTCCGTCTACAGCAACAGCGCAGAATCAAGCAGAAAACAAACTTAGACCGTGCTTCTTTATGTATAAAAGAGGGATATACTTGTTTATACTTTTAGTCCTTTGTGGTATTCTTCTTTCCAGTGTCTTACCTGTCCATTTAGCTCCGACTCCAAAAGCACATGTGACGTCACCTCATCACGTGACCGCCCTCGACCAATACTGACGCTGGTTTTCCAAGAATGAATGTGCTTTGTTTTGGTGTATTTACAAAAATGCAGCAAAACGACAAGCTGCTTTTTTCTTCAAGATTCAAGTCTGGAGAATAAAGCGTGGCTAAAACTCGCTGGTTTTCTCCGGGCGGATGAAGCACTCTTGGTCTTTTGTGATGCTATCCGCCGGTTTGCTGCACGGCGTCTTGCTGTCTGTGTTTGGTTTCTGAGACGGCTGTAGGTGGCGCTGGTACTCAACGCTGTGCCACATGCCGTACGCAAAGTAGATCACAAAACCTGGAAAAGAAAAAAATATGCTATTTGGGTGCTGGTGTTTTAGAAATCCTTATTGAAAAAATATTATGCATTAACAAATAGTAGGACATTTACAATTATAATTAGAATATTCACTGTCAATTCATGTTTTTAAATGTGAAATGATATCTGCAATAAAATATACTGTAAATTAGTATAAAAAAATGGGTAAAAAATAATAATAAAATTTGTGAAAAAGGCATAAAAAAGAAACACTGTCAACCTGCCCTATCCCTAAGCCACCACTAGAGGGAGTGGTAGATTTTTTTTTTATTTTTTTTTTCAAAATTACCAGCAGCAGACACAGCCTCGTGATTGTAAAGAACATCATTTCAATTCCGAAATTGCCTTATGCGTCATAGTGAAACAATGGCATTACTCTATCACAGGACCGAGGCAGGAGCTTTACCTCTGCACTACACAATGTAAATATCTGTATAGTTCTTTCGTACCGACGGCCATCCACACAGAGAAACGAATCCACGTGTCTCCGCTGAGTTGAACCATGAGATAAATGTTGACGAAGATGCTGAGGATGGGCAGGAAGGGCAGCAGAGGCACCTGAGGAGAAGACATGCTTAGAACAGATTCAGATTCAGTTCATTTGCCATTTGCAGTAAAACTACATTGGAATACATGTGCGAGAGTCCCCCAGTGTGCACCAGACAAGTATATAAAATAAAACAAGATTTAAAAAAAGTACATGAAACAAATTGTCACAGTTAAACAATCAACAAAAACAAAAATGGTCTTGCACTTCCATAAAGAGTGCAAGATTATTATAGTGCATTGTTTAAACTGATAACAGCTGTTAGCATATCTAGATGTCTTGCATTTCAGTGAACAATATCATCTGCCAGAGAGAAGAAGCTGGAACATTTTATGTAGTGGAAAGGAGGAAGAACCCAAAATTCATTACTGCAAAAATAATATGATTTAAAGAACAAGAATCCAAAAATCAAAACAGTAAAAACATAGAAACTGAAGACGAAGACAAGAATCACCGAACAAACATTCAATGGACTGACAACAAGAGGGAAAGAGCACAGGGACTTTAACTGGGAGACAACGGTGAAACACATCAGGGCGGGGCACGCAATCTACAGAACAGGAAGTCAGGCTAAAAGACACTGGAGAACAGATATTTACAAAATAAAACAGGAACTAAAAATGACAACCATGACAGAACTTGGCTTTTCCAGGGGCCAGAAGATTCATTGATTATTCCAGGCATGTCCAAACTCAGGCCCGCAGGCCAAATGTAAGTGGCCTTCTGCCTCGCTAACACAACATAGTCTTTGAGATCATAAACACAAGCTCACTCTGTCATCCAGCCAACTTCAGTCAATACAGACATACTTACATACATACATTCCTCGCTAGACCGTTCTATCATCCAGGCGTGTCACAAATATGATATACAGTAAATGGCGTTAATGTGACATGGTAAACATTTGTCATTCAGCCAACTTCAGCTTTGTTAAAAGGTGAATCAATAAGGACGTGCCATACCTGATTTTAAAGCCCAGAACTGCCCGAATCCAGTCAAAAATAGTTTTATCGGGTTCGCCGGCCCTTGGACAAGTCTGGTGAACTAAAGTGGCCCTCTCACTCACAAGTTTGGACACCCCTGGATTATTCTTAAAGCTCGGTTTTAGAGTCAGGATTCATAAAGAACCTTTTGTTTGGATCTCTCCTTTCTTTTGTCTTTGGTAACAGACATATGCAGGATGACTGAAGTTTTACCGCATTGCCGTACCATGAATGAGACTTTCTTGGTGGTCTGAGGCTGCCTGCAGATCATGAAGACGCAGATGCTGAAGAGCAGGAGACAGACGCCCAGAACGACCAGGACCCAAACCACCAGACACACGATGTCTCTGACGTGATACGTGGTCAGGTAACTCATGACACACACCAGCATCACTGCAGCCGAGGACAGAGAGAGGAGTTAGACACGGGTTTGTGGGCCACGTTTATTTCATTATGACCAAACCTTTAGATTTATGGACAAGGCAAACACACATGCATTGTTGTAAATGTTCAGATGTGACATGGACCCAACTTGTTGAAATTTGATCTGGGGCAATGTACAATAAATGTTAGTCTTATAAAAACCAGAAAAAAATGCTAGTTTCCATCTGTATTTTCAGGACAGGTTGATAATATTAATTGCAATAAGATGCCTGATTGAGAGCCCATTTACACAATAACAATCAGCTTTCAGCCTAATTCAATTTAAAATACAATGACAACATAACACACACACACACACACTCACACACACACACACAAACACACACACACGTCCACGCAGACACACAATTTGATTCCAATTACGTCTTCTGTATCTTCTCTATTTCATTTTAATTAATCCTTTGGCCAATGGTATCAAAATAATTTCTACACTCTCTCAGTCCTTCTCTCACTTTCAGAAAGAATAGTCAGAGTAGTTCACAACATTTATATTCTGTCGGGGGGAAATAGCGTATTGATAATTTATTTATGTATGTTAGGTACCACAGCTACCAAGACCCTCCATCTTCCTGTTATGAAACTGTTAGACAATTTCTCTGTGCATGATATTTCAATTTGCACCAATCATAAGGGGCACTATGCATTTTTGCACGTAAGAAAAAGCTTTGTGTCTCTTTGTGGTCTCTTAAAGCAACAACTTCTGTTTGATTTTTGCACAAAACTAAGTAACTATCCAGTTCTCAAGACAAGGAGAAAACACAATGACTAACCCAGAAGTCCCACCGTCATGTTGACCACAGAGGACGACTGCTCGGTGGGGGAGGAGGGGGGTTGCAGCACAGCCTGGAGGCTAGACCCCGCCCCCTTCAACATGTTCAGGTGTGACTCGGACTCCGTGAGATCGGACTCAGACAGGAAGTCCCTCTCTCCCTGAGGCGACCGGCGCTCCAGGACCCCATCCGGCTGGTACCTGAAGCAGACGGTGGAAGGAACATCGAACCAACAACTGAACCAAGTGCACACACACATACAGTACATCATTACACACACACACACACCTTTCCAGAGGTGTGGACTCGAGTCATGTGACTTGGACTCGAGTCAGACTCGAGTCATGATTTTGATGACTTTAGACTCGACTTGACCAAATATAAAAAGACTTGCAACTCGACTTGGACTTTAACATCAATGACTCTGACTTTCACTTGGACTTGCGCCAATTGACTTGTAAAGACTTGCGTAACCCGGGCCATTTTTACCTTTCTCCGCATCTCTCTTTCTATCTATGCCGTCTCTGAAGAAACAAAGCCTCGCGGTAGTTGTAGCGCTCGCGAGAGAGTTCGAACGTGAGTTCCCCTCAGTTCGCGCGGCAACACTTCCCTAAACAAGCGCACTGCATTCACCGGTGGGTGTGTTGTCTAGGGGAGCTGGAAATGAGCGAGCTGCAGGTATTTATCGCGACCTAACGTCATATTTTGGTCTACAAACCGTAATTGATATGCTTTCACTACAGGCGCCTCATACAATTGAATCGACGCAGTTGTCACACTGTGTGCCGTGTTTTAAAGAGGAACTGGTGAGTCAAACTAGCGCTAGCCTGCGCTGCTCTGTTTGCTCGTTCTTATATTTTTCTGTGTGGGCGCCGAGGCCTATTATTATGAGTATGTTTTTGCTGTGCTCCTCCTGCTAAAGTTTGCATACATTAGATAGTTGTTTTGATTATGTGCACTAAGCTAGATTAATATTTGCACTATTGTTTATGGTGCATTGATATGAGAATCAGTGCTTTGACTGATTGAATTAATTTATATTTTTATTATATGTAATATTTTATTATGTAATGATATATTGGTAATTATGAGATATTACTAATGCTGGTCCAGTTCATACAGGCCAGGTTCCTTCCCCTCCATTGGTCATTGGTCCCTTCAGTCCTTTGCCCCCCCCCCCCCCCCTTTTTTTTTGATGGCGAGCTGCCCCAGGTCCAAAGCCTAGACCCCTCATACTACCCCTAGGACATTTGGAACAATAACCACTACGGACATTAAACTGATTATATAGATACAGGTCCTAGCCCAATACTCATATTCATATATGCTGCACTTGCTACTTCCGATTAAAAACCCCAAAGATAAAAAGTATGTTGACACGGACTGCTCTGATTTTATGTGTGGTCTGTGCATGTGTAACTGAGCCTGCATCTGGCACAACATCCAATTAGATCACGTAGATAGTTTTGATTTACCAGCAGCCAATGACATGGAACAAACTGTTAGTCCATGGGTCAGAGACCAACGAGAATGCACCAGCAAAATGATTCCTAACATTATTTTGTTTGCCTACAAAAGTACGTGGAGACCAACAAGAAACAAATTGCGGTCAAAAAGACTCGAGAGGACTCAAAAGTCAAACCGTAGGACTTGGGACTGACTTGAGATTTGTTGGCCTTTGACTTGGACTCGACTCGGGACTTGCCTGTCTTGACTCGGGACTTGAGGGCAATGAATTGAGACTGACTTGTGACTTGCTAAACAATGACTTTGTCCCACCTCTGCACCTTTCCACATGGTTTTTAATCATTCTACTGATCCCAGAAGATCCCAGATTAGTGCATTTGGTGCATATTCTAAACATCTATACCAATAAAATTAGTGCCTTGGATTCTGTTGTGTGTCTAATTATCTCACATATGTGTTATATTGTGTTGGATCACATGTTATATTGGCGTACACACATTTACTCACGCACTTCATTCAGTCGGTCCATTCTTAATAGTGATGTCATCAAAACAGCTCAAAGACCGTTCAATGTCTTAACTTTTCATCATCGCAACAACAAACTGTAAACTTTTACTCAGAAAGATCAGTGCAGTTTTTGCTGGAAAGACACTTACTCGTCTCCACCTGGTTTTTCATGTTTTTTTACAAACCCTGTACCATGCAGCGCTGCTGACTATTTTGAAACTTGATGAACTTGTATCAAATATATCTCACCCAGTGTGCGTCTGAATGGATACAAAGATTGAATGGTAAAGTTTAAGGTTGCCACATGAGTTTAGTTGCAAAACCAGAAAAGTACCATTGGGATAATATTGAAAAACCTTACAATTTGGCCTTTACCGAGCAGTTTTTGAAAAGACAGACATACAACCCTCACCCTATCTTGAACAAATTATCTAAAATATACTGCTAATAGCAAAATATAATGAAGATTCTTGCTGGATTTACACTTTTGTACAAATTCTAAAAACGGAGATATCTGTTTTCGCAAAGGAACTCTTCAAATGTAGATTTTAAGGTTACTTCCAGAAGAGTGACATGACAACGGCGAGGAAATGAGCCCTACTTCTTTTCTTTTCCTTTTCTGTTGTATTCATTTGGATTTGGATGGGGCAGTGTGGATTAACGAACAACATGAACAGTAAACACACCAGATTGTAGCTTTTAGTCGCTGATATCCATCTGTAGTCCCACAGACACACTCACAAACAGACAATCATTCACCAATTGTACACTTTTTTTTAGTGGTAGGGGAACCTGGAGCACCTGGAGGAAACCTATGCAGACCCAGAACAAGCAAACTCCACCCAGGACCACTGTTCTTGTCGTAGTAGTTTTTTCAATAACACAAAACAACCAGAATTAACGTATAAGACTTGATAATGTGACGTTTTTTGGGTTCTTTGTCTAATTACTGCACATCATGCGAACGGCGGCTGCTCTTTTGCCTCAAATTGGTGTATTTTGGAAACAGGAAGCACTTTCTCTCTACCTCCAAAACATGTTTACTATCCCCATCTGCCGTAAATAGAGCTCAGAGCCATTAGAGGCGTTGAGCAAAGGTCCGGAGTTTAGCGCGTGTGGAAACTTCAGCAAACAGGTCTCAATCACTCAACCAGATTTAGCGACGCACAAAAGGCGCATTCAACACTATTACATCAGCGGCATAACGCAATACAAGCCATGCACGGCGAGGACTTTTCCAACACAACAAACACATGGGGCTCTACACTGGCTGCTGCTGCTGCTTTTATTTATGTAACCCCTAAAGCTACTTTGCATTTGACAATCTAGCCTCTGTTAGCTTTGTTAGCCACTGTTAGCCACTGTTAGCCACTGTTAGCCTCTGTTAGCCTCTGTTAGCCACACATCCGGATGCAATAGTTTCTCACAGTCACTAATGTGTCATGGTGTAGATCTTTTTATGATTTGATACTTTGATTTATTGTGTGATATTGGTGGCCCTGTGACTTCCCTTTCCCGTTTTTCCATGTATTTTTTAATTGAGATTTTTTTCAATGTATTACGACATACAGCTTCAGTTAAACAAGTTTATAGTTCAGTACTACATTGTGATTTTAATTTAAATAAAGAAAACAAACATAAAACAAACGCACAGATTAAAGAACGTAATCATATCTACAGAGCGCAAATAAGTTAAAATAAAAGTTTTTTTCAGGTCGGCTGTGTTGATTTCCCACCCCTCCCTCATGCACTTCATCTGTGCCTCTGTTTGTCTACTCTTGTCCAGTGTCTTTCCACATGTTTTGTTCTTGTTTATAGTATTGATTTTTGTGTTTTAGTATTATCCTGGATATGGTTTTATTTCCCTCTAAGTTACACATTCAATTGCAGTCCTGGATTTTGTTTCCTTCTTTCATTTTTCACGTCATAATGGATGATCAGCCTCATCAGGGATGGCTGATTTAGTCTTAAAATATCTTTCGTTTTTCCTCTCAATATTAAATATCAAATAATACAAGTGTCAAATCCATTAATTCTTTCCCAAATATGCGTTGGAATTTGTTTCATTTATTCTTGTATAGCCCTAAATCACAACAGTAGTTATCGCAGAGGACTTAGAAGTGTCTTTAAGTGTCCAAAACCCATACAAACCAATGCATTATCATAATTTTACTATTATTTATATGTAAAATTATGTATAATTTTTATAATTATTGATATGATTTGTGGCTTAAGATGTCTGTATGAGAATGACAAGCCCTACTCCAGCTTGAGGCGTGTAATGACAGTTTTTAGAGTAATTACATTAAAACCAGCCGCAGCAAATACACGGACGTCAAAGGCCTTTGATCAATGCAGAGACGACCTTCTGACGCCATGCTGAGCTTTGTGAAGGTCTCTGCTGTCTGTCACACCCTTGTGTCTTTCGCATCTTGCATCTGTATGCCTGCATTTCTACCATTGTCTGTCTGTTCGCACCCCCATGCCACTGTGTCTGATTGCCTCACCACGGGGATGGCGCCTCCCTATGCGCCTCCTGCACCGGTGGCCCCCTCCCATCTGTTGTGGGCGTGACTGTCTTTATGTGTTGTCTATGTAAACAGGAAGCTGAGCTCTGCGCGGCAGAGCTGGGGTATGCTGCCTTTGTATATGTTAGCTCTCCGCACGTGTGTACAATAAACTTACGCTCCTGATTAAGACAAATACTTTTGGGCTTTCTCCTTGCTTTGGGGTATGTAATTCTACAACAGGCGCTGGGACCATATGTGAGAAAAAGACTTTTCCTGTTGTCTTTTATAATTACAGAACAGTCTGAATGAGTGCTGACCTGAGGATGAGGACGCAGACCGCCACCAGAGAGTAGGCCAGCAGCGTCCCGATGGACATCATATCCACGAGCGCTTTGAGGTCGAACAGGAACGCCATGATCGCTACGGCAACCAAAGAGATCACAATGAAATAAAAATAATGATACATGAGATTTTAACAGATCTGGGTTCAGCTTTTGAATCAATGCCCAAACAATGTAAACAACAAAATAATTCTGTCCCAGGGTCAGACTTTATGAAACTGGCGAGTTCAAATGAAGGACAAAACTGTGAATAAACTAAATACCCAAACACAATACGCACAATATATGACAAATATTTGAAGTATGCGTAGTGTTTATGAACTGTTATCACTTATTGGTCGCAGAAAGACAAATATTGGACGAATTGGGTTGAATTTCTGGTATTTTAACTGCGCCTCTCTAGGGAAGCTGAGTGAGAAATGATTTAAAGTTAAGTTAAATTGTATGTTTTTATTGACAAACAAATAGCTGTTATTAACCATGTGGGCAAAGCTTACATTACACACTATAATAACAACTTAATAGGACTTTTATCTCTAAGAATGTGGCGTTAAAAAAAGCCTTGTGTGCTTTTTCAAACTGAGAGTGTGCAAATACAGAGACCCACGCTGACATGAACGATTGCGTAACCTTGATTTTTTAACACTTTTTAAACAGAGAATCTCCACCTTCATGCAGACATTACTAAAACCACACAAAAATACAATACATGCATTTTTTTCACCAATATCACCCAGATAAAAAAACATCAAAGCATTTATCCTACTCATGTCCAGAAGTATGGAATTATAGCCAACAAAACACCGGTTTTAACGAGTCTATAATACTTTAAATTAATGTGTATTTATTTTTTTATTTTTTGGCTACAACAACAAATATTTAGTCGAATTGAGAAAACTGGTGCTTGTAGTCAAAGCTAATTCACGGCACTTTTGACACATAGTAGGAAAAATGTTAAAACATGACAAGCACAATATTAGACACAACCGAGAAATGAATGGAGAATATAAATTAAAGTGAGTGCATTGTTGCTGCTGGAACATCCAAGATTTTGTTTTCTTTTTGAACATACCGAGCTTTGTCTCAGATTAGAAATGGACAAGTGGCATGTTCCATAGCTGGGCACCTCTCATAATTAATACATTCAATTAATTCATAAAATCATCATAGTTTTTTGCCAGGTTGGTGAGGTTTTATAGTGCATCTGACGGGTTTCATTACAACACCATAGACGACTTTTCTTGGTGGGACAGAACCCTTTACCAGGTCAACATTTACTAGAATTTTATCCCAGTTTAATGACAATCTATGACAAAAAAAAAATTAAGAAAATGACAAAAAATTAAGAAATTGTAAAAAAAAATTTAAGAAATTGTCAAAAGAATTAAGAAATTGTCAACAATGTTTTAGAAATTGTCATTTTTTTTTAGAAATTGTCAAAAAAAATTAAGACAATTACAACAAAATAAAGAAATTGTCAAAAAAATAAGAAATTGTCAAACAACTTCTGAAATTGTCAAAAAATATGCAGGAAGTAATGCTGTATTTTACAATGGAATGTCCCCACCTGTGATGTCATCAAATTTGCTAAGACAGCCCCCAAGGAAACTGTTGGGTGCTGGCTTTAATTCTATATTTCTTCTTTTCATGACATGGGGCTGCACACTTTCCTTTAACTGGCGATGTTTGTCACAACAGAAGGAGTTTTGTAAAAGTAAAATGTTGTGAACAATTAAGAACACAACATTCTGTCTTCATCTTTTACATACTTGTGAGAAAGAGTCACAATTTGACGCTTTGGGCTGAGAGCTGATTGGCTAAGTGAGGGTGGTCCTCTCTTTTTCACATTTCTGTCCAAAAAAAGGCAGATCTAAAGAGGCCAAAAAATACATTCATGTGAAAACTAATTATAGAAAAAAAAACTATTAAAAGCAGGGAACTAAAATGTTTTGTTTTTTGCTATTTTTTGTGCTCCATCTTAACATGAGACATAACACAGGCCAACATTGTAAAAAACATACACTTGGACACACAGCATGCAAGCACCACCAAAACACCACATCAATACCATCACCAACAAATCCACAATTCAGGCGCCCGAGAGCCCTGAGCTTACCGGCGGTGGTACCGGCCATCATGGTGGCGGCTACGGGCGACTGGCGCTTACTGACTTTGGACATAAATTTGAACAGAATACCGTCCCGCGCCATGGCAAAGAGTATACGGGGCAGGGGGAACATGGACCCCAGAAGGCTAGAGGAGAAAGTGTTGTGTTAACATTGCACAAACATACAGTGGGTAAATAATCCTGGCTCGGATAAGCAGGTTTAAACAACTCAGGGTGGAAATGCTTAGGGTTTGAAGTGGCTTTTTAATTGAGATATGATTTATACGGCAATGGCAAATCCAGTTAGAGTTGTTTTTCTGTCCTATAGCTGGATTGAATAGACTTGTGGAATTATTGCTCAGCTACTTTCTGTCACTGGCCTGAGGTTACTGGCATGTTTGGGCGTTTTGACGGCACTGTGAACCGCAATGTTGTGCTGTTTTTCTTTGACTAGCGTTTTATGCAATCCTCCAATATGATACAAAGTTATTATTGAATAACAGAAATACAGAAGTAATGCAGACACGTTACTAACTCTTGTGACAAATTTGAGGAGGTGAAGGTATGGTATAATAAAGGCAAATACATGTAGTTATTGTGAATTGTAGACATGTCCCGATGGAAACTGGACAAAAACTGAAGTAGAGAGCTTAAATTCAGAGAGAGAGAGTTTCTTCAAAAAGTCTCTCATCTCAAAGTAACATTGAGCTGCCCATCTGTGCATTTCACATGGGATTGGCCACACTGGAACAGTCTACATAGAGGGACTTTGAGGTTTCCTAAAAGTGTAGATTCTAAGCTTTTCAGAAAGGTATAGCGTGTTGAAATCTGATAATATTTGAAGAAGTGGTGGTCATTTAAAAGTGAAGTCACCAGAAATCACAAAGCTGAGAAAAACAGCCTTATTGTCAAAGATACTATGGTGTTTGCTGTCTATTGCACACACTGGGTATTTTTGCTCAAACATTCCACTGTGGTTTTTAACTGCAAAGGGCAAATACACCGGCAATAGACTGCAGCAAAGAAAATATATAGTTAATACTGAAAGACAGATTGCACCTTCCAGCTGTTATTGAACAACAAGTGTGTGTGACGTAACGCAGCAGGTGTAGACACATCTTTACCCTGAGTTTAGTTAGAACCTGCTTTACAAAACATGGCACAAAACTGGAAATACATCCATGAATCAGCCTGTAAATACCGTAAGACATGAAGTGTTATTATGTTGTGGGTGCACTGCAAGAAGTGATGAAAAATAAGTCAAAAATAGCTCAAATGTGAAAAAAAATGGTGTAAAATTTAACACATTTTGACTGAAGATTTGCCAATGGGACACAACAAATATACCTCACCTCTATCTCTACCACTTGGTTCTAGACACTTTTACATCAATCTGCAGTTCAAGCATTTGGCAAAGGCCTATATTTAAAAAAAACTAGGGGGTTTAAAAAGAACAAAATCAAAAATGAGTTGTGTCTTAGAAATAATAGAAAAGAAATACATGAATATTAAAGGGTTAAAAATATACAACAGATGTCTCCCTTGGAATGAAATAAGACTAAACAGCTTTGTCCCATTGGCACAACGTCAAAATATCGTCATTATGGGGGAAAGAGTTAAAGACAGTCAGAACGTACTCAAATTAGGATAAAAAAAACACTTGATTTAAGCAATTATTACATTATATTTTGTCACTTTTTGCAGTGCAGCGGTTTTAGCTCCAGGCTTAAGCAGAAGTCCCCCGCTCTCACCTGCGACCACACCGGAGCTCATTGTGGCGATTAGTGGCGTCTTCGTTTTGGGATTGATTCGCGCTAAGACTTTGAAAAGCACCCCGTCCTGAGCCATGGCATAGATTACACGCGGCATTGGGAAAATGGAGCCCAGCAGACTGCAGCGACACACACATGCACAGGCCCAAACACATTACAACCAACACACACCAGCAACACAACTGTCAGTGCGCGTTTCTAGCTTGGTTCGAATTGTCAATTTATTTTTAGTATCAAACTCATTATAGTCTGGGGTCACATTTTTAGATTGTTTTCTTACTTGTTTATTTTGCTCAAGTCATTTTGCTATTTTTTTTAAAACTTAATTCTTGCTTCTTCATTTCACGAAAGATTGATATTTTGGATTTGCTTCCTGTTTTTGCTGTAGATAAGAGATTTTATTTTATTTTATTTTAGTATAGACGGATTGTTCATTTGTCTTGTGCTGTCTGCTCCTCATTCCTACTGTTGTGTAACCGGTGATGCAACACTGAAACTTCCCCGCCGTGGGACGAATAAAGAATTTCTTACTCTTATTCTTAATCTAGAATGAGATGGATATTAAAGGGGATGTCAGAAACTTAACTCAGAAATATACCTGACTGTACTGTACTCTTGATTTTTATCATTGTCATGTTTAATTTATATTTTATTTGTTAATATTATTATTTTTCTCTTCTTCGTTTCTTGTCTTGTCTATTTTTCTGTTATTCTGCTCTGCTGTCTAGCTTGTTTATTTATGTGAATTTGAACTGACGACCCCCCCTAAACAAGATGGTTCATCTCAAGGAGCTTTTCCTCTCACTGATAATTGTAAAGAAACTGAATAAATAAATCATGTAGAAGAATGTGTAAACAGGTTTACATCCTTGCTAACCATGGGATATAATTTTTTTGTTGTGTCTGTGTTGATCTGGACCATGAATCTGCAATAATAAAGTCACCTATAATTGACTTTAAAATGAGGTATAACATGCCATAGTAGCCTAATATTTCCCCTTTGTGGCAGTTTCTATACTGAGCCATACATGTGTCGGTAAATAACTATTGTTTTGTTATTATGCAAACAACAAAAACATGTTGAGCTGTTCTCTGCTGTTTGAGGTATTGTAGAATCCTGCAGTGATTGTCGAGGAGGAGGAGGAGGAGGAGGAGGAGGAAAGTTGCTGAGGGAATATTTTGAAGCTGAAAGTTGCTGCTGCTCTGTGCAAAAGAAACACGCTCTCTGTGTTATTGCATAAGAGTTTAAAAGCTGCCAAAGGGTGCGACCTGGAGCCACAATCTGCAGCTGTGATAAACACGGCAGAACCTGAACCAGGACACTTTGAGCCGTTATGGGCCCTGAGCGCTAACGAAGAAATACCATATATGTTCCTAAATATGCTATGTACCAGTCGGTTTCTTCTCTACATTTTGACTCTATAGATATTTGTTGTTGGAGCGAGCTTTAAAAGTCTTGCTCGACATAAAGGAGACATATCTATGGCAAAATCATCTTGCGCTTTTTAACCTTATTGTGACATTTTTCTTAATCGAAAACAGGCCTGGAGTTGTTTTTATTAGCTTCGTTCACCCAAATATCAGGAACTTTTGGCTCAAACATGTTGCTCAGCCCATCAATCCATCCAGCCATTTTCTTCCGCTTCATCCAATGCCGTGTCGCGGGGGCATCAGTCTGTGCAGAGATGGCCCCAGACTTCCCTCTCCACACACACTTGCTCCAGCTCATGCGGGGGGAATCCTGAGAGGTTCCCAGGCCAGCTGAGAGACATAGTCCCTCCAATGTGTGCTGGATCTTCCCCGGGGTCTCCTCTGGTCGTTACCCCTCCCCTTCGGTCTGAATACGCCTGTCTCAAACATGGGCCTATGACGAATCCCTATTTTGTCACGTTCAGAGCCATTTTTGAAAACAAAAGGATTGCTTCCAAAGTTTGGTCATTTCTTCATATAACTTATAGCTACTTTAAAACAGTATATTATTTCTATTTGAAGCACAATGTGTTTGATGTTGACAAAAAAACTGATTATTTTTTCCTTAATATATTCATCTAAAAAATATAAAATCTATATTAATCTAAAAAAAAATTAACTTAAATTTAGTATTTAAAAAACAAACAAACAAACAAACAACAACAAAAAATTGCTCCTGTGGACTCTCGACCTGCAGGAGGATCAGTGAGGGGCTGTGTACTGGGTGCAGCTCTGACTGCCACCCCCCGACCCAGACATGGATTAAGGGGAAGAAAATGGATGGATGGATACGTATAAAATCGTTTGCGTCAGCCTTAAAAAGCAAGTATAAAATCTCTTACTTTAACATAATAAAGAAGCAAGTCTAAAATCTTAATGAAGAAGAATTAAGTATAAAATCTCGAGTCATACTTTTCACTGTTTTATCCCTATATTGATTTTAATATTATTGATATTGATATTGCTGACACATTGAAGGTTTATTTCTTTTAAACATTCAAGAGAGAAACGCACATGACAGTTTTCACATTCCTAAATCATCTGAACAGTATTAAGATTGGGCATGCAAATAGAGGGAAACTAAGTCCACATCACGCTATAAGCATCTTATTGAGCTAAATCAATCAATACAACTGAGAAACACAACTTCAGAGCTTACACTGAGTTAAAGATTACTGCTATTACTACTACTACTACTACTACTACGACTACTATTACTTTTGTTGTTTTGTACTGAGTGTAATTTGTATGTATTGTTATGGCCGGGACTTGGATGTGTGTGTATGTTCTGTTATTGAGAAAAAGAAATGGGGTAACTGACTGATAAGCAAACATTACATGAAACAGCTTTTTCATGTCATTGTTGCCAGATTCGAAACCGTTTCCAAGTGAACGGGCCGAAAACAGCCTTTTCCCTTCTCTTCTCAACAAATGTATTACAACATGTGTCCAATTGTTTTCATTTGTGTATTATGAATCAGGGAGATCCACATGTTTAGAATGGAGCAGGAAGAAAATAATGGGTGTTTCATTTAATGGGATTACTGATGGATTACAAAACAACTTTGTAAAGGTAACTTTCACAATCCAACAGAGTCAAAAATTGTACACCAATGTCAAATCAGTGCATTCCTACACAAAATATAACTGTACAACATTTAGATTATTAATATCGTTTATAAATTCTGTGTATGGAACGCTTATACCCGGACTCTCTGATTATTATCCTGGGGGATTTTAATAAGGGAAACTTGAGCCAGGAATTACCCAAATACAGACAGTTTATCAAATGCCCGACCAGAGAGGAGAACACTCTGGATCACTGTTACACCACCGTGCGCGGAGCTTTTCGCGCTGTTCCCAAGCCAGCCCTCGGCTTCTCAGATCACTCCATGATACATCTGGTTCCTGCTTACAGACAGAGACTAAAGCTCTCGAAACCTGCAGTGAGGAGCTCCAAAGTGTGGTCTGATGAAGCTGTGGAAGAGCTGCGCGCATGCATGGAATCTACAGACTGGGACCTTTTCAGAGCTGCCACAGACAGCTTGGATGAATATACGGACACTGTGACGTCATACATCCACTTCTGTGAGGATAGCATCATTCCAACAAGGACCAGGGTCATCTATAACAATGACAAACCCTGGTTCACTGCTAAACTCCGGCAGCTCAGGAAAGCAAAGGAGTCTGCTTTCAGGGAGGGGGACCGCAGCGGCTACAAAGCAGCTAAATATCAGTTCAGGAAAGAACTGAAAGCAGCCAAGTCCCGGCACAGAGAACGACTACAGGAGCAGTTTGGTAACAACGATACTGCTTCTGTCTGGAGGGGCCTACGGGAGATCACCAACTACAAACCCAAAGCCCCCCCCTGTGCTGATGACCACAAGCTAGCTGACGATCTGAACTTATTTTTCAGTCGCTTTGATGCTGCCCCTGACACCTCTCCCTCCCCCACCCCCCACTACTCTAACGACCCACCCATCAGCCCTGCCCCCAGCCTAACAATAGCCGCTAAAGAGATTAAACAACTCTTCCTGAGGCTGCACCCCCGCAAAGCTCCTGGCCCGGACCACGTGTCTCCGGCCACTCTGAGACACTGCGCCAGTGAGCTTACTCCTGTGTTCACGGACATTTTCAACTCCTCTCTGCAGTCCTGCCATGTCCCGGCCTGCTTCAAATCCTCCATCATTGTCCCCGTCCCGAAGAAGCCCAGGATCACAGGACTCAATGACTACAGACCTGTAGCACTTACGTCTGTCGTCATGAAGTCATTTGAACGCCTGGTTCTCTCCCATCTCAAGTCCCTCACCTCCCCCCTCCTGGACCCCCTGCAGTTCGCCTACAGAGCCAACAGATCTGTAGACGACGCCATTAACCTGGCCCTCCACCACATCCTACAGCACCTGGACTCCCCGGGGACCTACGCCAGGGTCCTGTTCGTGGACTTCAGCTCTGCCTTCAACACAATCCTGCCATCCCTGCTCCAGGACAAGCTCTCCCAGCTCAACGTGCCCGATTCCACCTGCAGGTGGATCACTGACTTCCTGACGGACAGGAAGCAGCGAGTGCGTCTGGGGAAGAATGTCTCGGACTCTCGGATTATAAATACAGGAGCCCCACAGGGCTGTGTTCTTTCTCCCCTGCTCTTCTCCCTGTACACCAACCACTGCACCTCCAGCCACGACTCCGTGAAGCTGATCAAGTTCGCGGACGACACCACCCTCATTGGACTCATCTCCAACAACGATGAGTCCGCCTACAGGAGGGAGGTGGACCGGCTGGTGTCCTGGTGCAGTGGTAACAACCTGGAGCTGAACGCCCAGAAGACAGTGGAGATGATTGTGGACTTCAGGAAGAGCACTGTCCCCCCGCCCCCACCCTCCGTGATGGACTCCCCCATCACCTCTGTGGAGTCCTTCCGTTTCCTGGGCACCACCATCACCCAGGACCTCAAGTGGGAGCCGACCATCAGCTCCCTCATCAAGAAGGCCCAGCAGAGGATGTACTTCCTGCGGCAGCTCAGGAAAGCCAAGCTGCCTGCACAGATGTTGGTGCAGTTCTACACGGCCATCATCGAGTCCATCCTCACCTCCTCCATCACCGTGTGGTTCGCTGGAGCCACAGTCAGGGACCAGTGGCGGCTGGTGGAATTTTCTACTGGGGGGGCTATGAATATGATGACTAGATATAAATGCACCACAGAATTTGACACAGTCTATTATTTTTGATAGGATGTGCCTATTCTTGTCAACCTCCTCATTGTGCTTTCTGATCCCTACCCTGTAGCTTTCATCCAGCTGGGATGAAATATTTATCTTCCCAAACATAGCTAATTTGAGGGCATTTTGCATGTGGATACCAGTCTGCTCATGCTTCTTTGCCTTTTCTAAAAAGTGCTTCAGATCAGTCATGTCATACCTGTCTTGATCCATGCTGGGTCAGATCCTGATGTTTGAAACAAGAGGCATGGAAAGCAAAATAAAGCATTAGCCTCGCTACATGCTGCTAGCCAAGATTTGGCGCTGAACCAGGTCCTGGACTGCTGACTAATGGTAATATTTGGCTGATCAGGTCCAAGCTCTTTAACCTCAACCTTCTCCTGGTATGATCTTCTCTCAAACGGTATTGTTTTGAGTGATCTAACTGAATTATTATTTTTCTCGTTCTCCATTTTGCGTCTCTTTACGTTCGTCTCAAACTCCCACAGCTTGACCTGTCAATCACTGTAAACGGACGTCACAGACAGTGACAGTACAGGTCGCGGGCGATCCCGCCCCCTCAGGGCGCACTTCTCCTGCGCCCCCAAATCGTCTTATCTCTTGCATTGAAGAGGAGCTACTGCGCATGTACAACTTTTAACGAGAGTCCATAGACGGCTCAGGGCGCAATCTTTTGCGCCCTGAGGCGGAAATACGTCCTCAGTCCGACACAGACAACGCTGATGAGCTTAATCAATCCAACTCAGCATAAACTATAAAGTATTTCTTCCACATCTGAAATAAAACACACATACATTTCGAAATATTTTAATGTTATTATTTTTTTTAACGTTTTATTCAAGGTAACATGGCAAGTTGTGAGTGGTGGGGCGGCGCCCTAGCGCCCTCTATTGGCCGGCCGCCACTGTCAGGGACAAACAGAGACTACAGCGCATTGTGCGCTCTGCAGAGGAAGTGATCGGCCGCAGCCTTCCATCGCTGCAGGACCTGTACGTCGCCCGAGCTCGAGGCCGGGCTGGTCGTATCACAGCCGACCCCTCTCACCCTGCACATGGACTATTCCAACCACTCCCCTCAGGCAGGAGGCTGCGGTCCATCAGGACTAGAACCTCCCGCCACAAGAACAGTTTCTTCCCCTCTGCTGTTGGACTCTTGAACACTTCTTAACCTGTCCCCCCGCCCTTTATAAAGTCACTTTACTGCCCATCATACGTCACTTTACTTCACTGTACTGCTGTCACCTTACATTGTGTGCACCATGTGCACTTGTATATTGTAAATAGTAACTGTAACTCTATTTTAAATTTAAATTTATTCTTTAGAAGTGTTTTTTATTCTTATTTTTATTATCTCTTTTTGACTGTTGCACTGAGCCAAAGCAATTTCCAAGTCTGTGACCTCCCGTTACTTACGTTGGCAATAAAAATGATTCTGATTCTGATTCTGATTCTGATTCTAAATTCATATATTTCTGTTGTTCATTCTCGAATGTGAAACCAATACAGTGTACAGTATGATACATATGCCTTTGTTTGTTCTCATTCTAAGGATTATAGCTTCAAGCTTTCAAAATGTATTTATTTGTGGTTTTAAAAGCTTCGAGCCATAATTATCAGCACTAACAATGTGTGTACGGAGTCTGCTATATATTAGTTTCATATCGTAACAAATAAACATTACTTACTTACTTACTTAAGTAGAATTTCAGACAATTTTCCAATTTTAACTGTAGTGTCCAGTTGTGTGGTTTGAAAGTTAGGTACCCCAGCTTTAATTCTAGTGATGCTGCACATGGGTTTGTGCGTTAGATGGTTTGAAATATGTGGTTTTACGCAAACGAAAAGTTCTGAAGAGAGTTTGTGTTTCCCATTTGTGAATTGATCCCAATCACCGCTGCATGTTTTATCTATTACTCTACTACTCTATTACAATTACTGTACAAATAAAAGTACATTTACCCATCCCAGGAGTCGGCCGCTCTTACCTGGTGGACAGAGCGCAGAGGGAGCCCACGGCCACCACGTACTTGGCAGGGGACCAGCCCACGTACTCGAAGGCCATGGGGAGGGGGCTCTTCTCGTCCAGCAGGAAGTACGGCATCATGAGAGTGAGCGCCGCGGAGACGCCAAAGTACGCCAGGAAGCACACGGTCAGAGACACCACGATGCCGATGGGGATGGCCCTCTGCGGGTTCTTCACCTCTTCACCTGCAGGAAATATGGGATCTCTCACTTATGTGTATGAACTGTCTATACACACACAACTAATCACAGCAGAGACGGGGACTCCAGCATTTATTAGGCCTTTTTTAAACGGATTGGCCATAGTTTTAATGCATAGAGACTTGGACTTGACTTGGACTTGACTTGGACTAGACTTGGACATGACTTGGACATGACTTGGACATGATTCGGACTTGAACTTGGTTGGACTTGACTTGGACTTGACTTGGACTTGACTGGGACTTGACTGGGACTTGACTGGGACTTGACTTGGACTTGACTGGGACTTGACTTGGACTTGCCTCTGACTTGTCTTGGACTTGTCTTGGACTTGTCTGGGACTTGACTTGGACTTGACTTGGACTTGACTGGGACTTGACTGGGACTTGACTGGGACTTGACTGGGACTTGACTTGGACTTGACTGGGACTTGCCTCTGACTTGTCTTGGACTTGTCTGGGACTTGACTGGGACTTGACTTGGACTTGTCTGGGACTTGACCGGGACTTGACTTGGACTTGTCTTGGACTTGACCCGGACTTGACTTGGACTTGTCTTGGACTTGACCGGGACTTGACTTGGACTTGTCTTGGACCTGACTGGGACTTGACTGGGACTTGACTTGGACTTGCCTCTGACTTGTCTTGGACTTGACTGGGACTTGACTGGGACTTGACTTGGACTTGTCTGGGACTTGACCGGGACTTGACTTGGACTTGTCTTGGACTTGACTGGGACTTGACTGGGACTTGACTTGGACTTGTCTGGGACTTGACCGGGACTTGACTTGGACTTGTCTTGGACTTGACCGGGACTTGACCGGGACTTGACTTGGACTTGTCTTGGACTTGACCGGGACTTGACCGTGACTTGACTTGGACTTGTCTTGGACTTGACCGGGACTTGACTTGGACTTGACTTGGACTTGTCTTGGACTTGACCGGGACTTGACTTGGACTTGTCTTGGACTTGACTGGGACTTGTCTTGGACTTGTCTTGGACTTGACCGGGACTTGACCGGGACTTGACTTGGAAGTGACTTGAACTTGACTGGGACTTGACTGGGACTTGTCTTGGACTTGACTGGGACTTGACTGGGAATTGACTGGGAATTGACTGGGAATTGACTGAGACTTGTCTTGGACTTGACTTGGACTTGACTTGGACGTGACTTGGACTTGACTGGGACTTGCGGGTCAGAGTATTGTGTGCATCTCTGAATCAGACTCTCTCTTTTCAGTCTCTCACACGACACGATGGTGGTAAGGCCACAGAATTCTATGTGTTATGACTATTTGAAATATGAAACCAGATTCTGAAAGACTGGATTGTCCACTTTCAGCAGAAAAAGTAAGTTTGTTTCTAGCTAGTTTTTTTCTCCTATAATCGCCAGTTGGAGAGAGGGAAGTTTGACAGAAATCACCGATCTAGACAAGTACGTCACTGGCAGTCAATGAGTTAATGAGAATGAGGATGTTCTGAAACACTGCACTGTGACAGCGGAGATTACAGAGGCCTCTCATCATAAAAACTAACCATCTCAGGATCTTGCAAATCAGATATTTCTGTAGTAAATATAAACCATATTTTGTGGTTAATTATTGACATTTCCTTCTAATTGCCGAACTTTTAAACCACAAGTTTTTAACTCTTTAAGTTTATCAATTTCACAGCGTCAATTGTTTCCTGCACTTTTTAGTCATTTTTTTTCTGTACTTTTAACCTTGTTTATGTATGTACTTGTCTTGTGCACACTGGTGTCTTTTGTAAATGTATTCCAAAGTGGTTTTACTGCAAATGGCAAGCAAAATGAATCTGTGTGATAAAAAAACGTCTAACTAGTTCCTGAATCTCTCGGTTTGGTTCTTCCACTAGATTTCTTATGCATTTATTTTTGGCCTTGCATCAGCTCTCAGTCCAAAGTTCTCTGAGTTACTATTTATGCAAATATCACTATTTAGTTTGCAAAAGATTACACAATCACAACATTTTACAAGATTTTTGGATTGGACAAAACCAGATGATGTACACAATAATTAGTCACAAGCGTCTCACCCGTCGTTGCGATGCAGTCAAATCCCACAAAGGCGTAGAAACAGGTGGCAGCTCCGGCCAAAGTCCCACTGAATCCGTACGGCATGAACCCGCCGGCCCCGTAGTCACTGGTCACGTTCGCCGCAGCGCTCAGGTTCCTACACGAGAAACGGGTCATTTAGACATCTGCACTTTTCTCAGTCTATGTCCTCACACACAGGTCCCAAGTTCCCGACTCTGATTAGGATGATTAAAAAACAGCCCTCATTCTTTACTGCATCACTTCAGTTTTCAACACTGAAACAAGTTAAATCTTGGTAAGATTTCTTCACTAAAAATAACAGCGCTTTGTGATCCTGGTCTGTGAAAGAGGCATTTTTTTCCCATTACTCGGACTTGAGATGAGAATCCATGTATTCCACTACTATTTCTTTAATTGTTTTGTGTAATTTTTGTATATTTTAATTGCTGGGACCTGAATGTATGTGTATGTTCTGTTGTTGAGATAAAAGATGGGGTAACTGACTTGATAAGCACAATATTAGGAACGCACTGATCCAGCTTTTTCATGTCATTGTTGCCAGATACAAACCTCTTCCAAGTGAAGGGACTGAAAACAGCATTTTATCTTTGACTGTTAGTATTAGATAGCAATATGGCCTACGTGCAGGACTGTACAAGGACTCTGAAGATGACTCCATGTTATGACTATGATTTGACTGTCTCTTTGTGACACGTATGTCTTTCGATGTGTGACGTGACAATGACTATATAAACTGTGTACTGCCTTTATTCTGTCTGAGAGAAAGAAACAAAGTAAACCAGTGGAACTTGAGAGAAACTTAAATAAACTTCCAGAGTTTGGCGCACCACGATCCGTCTCTGTCTGCTAAATCCCTGACACCACTATCCGAAACCAAATCTTGCAATTTAAATCCTCCTCCATTTTAACTTAGATTGAAGAAGCCTATACAAACCTATAATGTAAGACAGAAGGAGACCATACCTTCGCGTTATCGTAATATTGATGAGCGACTCTTCTGAAATCTTCCAGTTTTTGCCGTCTCCTTTGACGAATCCAGAGATGATGACAAACAGCAGCACTAACACGTTGATGAGGGTGAAGACCTTGTTGACCCATGCCGACTCCTTCACCCCAAACGACAGCAATCCTGATAGAAAAACACATCAAAAAGTTTCACTGTGACTTAGAACATGCGCAAAACCGGAAGCCATTTTGACTCACAGCCGTCACACTAGACAAATCATTGAATGGGCAAGATTCTACATTTGATAAGGAAGTAAAAAAACGGAAGTGTCTGCTATAAATTTCATATTCAGTCATGCTGCTAAAATTAAGAAGCAGATGATTTTAATCTTGTCCCAAATCTTGATCTCATTACAGCTGATTAATTTAGCAGAATAGAGCTGCATTCACACTTGCTCAAACCTCGGAAGATTGGGACCAAATACAGAACACAATACAAAGAATGACTACATTTCTAAAGTCGTAAGCAACAAGTTTGTTTGATGCCAGATCACAAAAGTCGATAAAGAAATCATATTATGCATTATTTGAGTTCACGTGATTTTAGTTTCATGTTTTTATGAATATGTTACTTTTGTTATTTTACAGACCAAGGTCACCCAAAGCACTTTACATCTGTTCCAATTTCAAACAATTTTCTATTCTCTCCACACAGGGTGATGACAGAAGCGAGTCGCCGAACACACTGGTCCATCAAAGCCTCCGACCAAACACCATCCATTCACCCACCCATTACATTTATACCTATTGTGCATGTTTTTTTTAGTGGTATAGTTAAACCGGAGCACCCGGAGGAGAACATGCAAACTCCACTCAGAAAGGCCTTGTTGAGACCGGGATTCGAACCCAGGACCTTCTTGGTGAGAAGCAAGACATTGTTCCATCATCATAAACAGACCTGGGGTTCTTTTTAAATCCATGCAGGCCAATATCAGGAACTTCTTGCAGAAAAATGTAACTCCGCCCCTTCTGTCTAAAAGCTCCTGTCTCAGTCAAGTAATTGAATGATGTCATTGTACCACTATGACATCACTATGACATCACACTCAGAACCGATTTCTGCTATTTTAAACAAAAATTGAGCCCAAAAATAAGTTTAGGAATTTCTCAAATGAAAATATGTTCTTTACAATCACTCGGCTGTGGTTAATGTTCTGGAGAAGAACAAAAAAACAAACCAACTCCTCCCTCTGGTGGCAGCAAAGGGGGTTACAGGCAGAAAGCATTTTTTACCCTTCATACTTGTTTCACTATATATTTTCTACTTGATATATGATTTCAGATTCTACAACATTACTTGTTTGAGAAATTCACTGTATTCATTTGGACTGAATACGTTTGTTTTAAAAAGCAGACATAGTAGTTTGAGAGTTGTGCCAGAAAATACTCTGTGTGAACAGAGATAAAACAGTTTTGTTTTTTTTAAATATAGTCCAAAACTTTAAACAAGTTTGGATAGTCACGTCACCAACCACACCTTACCTGCATTTTAGTTGGTTTGTCATTGAGCAGAAGTCAAAAAATGTGTAGTAAAAGGCAGAGGTGGGACAAAGTCATTGTTTAGCAAGTCACAAGTCAGTCTCAATTCATTGCCCTCAAGTCCCGAGTCAAGTCACGAGTCAAGACAGGCAAGTCCCGAGTCGAGTCCAAGTCAAAGGCCAACAAATCTCAAGTCAGTCCCAAGTCCTACGGTTTGACTTTTGAGTCCTCTCGAGTCTTTTTGACCGCGATTTGTTTCTTGTTGGTCTCCACCTACTTAGGAATCGTTTTGCTGGTGCATTCTCGTTGGTCTCTGATCCATGGACTAACAGTTTGTTCCATGTGGTTGGCTGCTGGTAAATCAAAACTATGTTGTGCCAGATGCAGGCTCAGTTACACATGCACAGACCACACATAAAATCAGAGCAGTCCGTGTCAACATACTTTTTATCTTTGGGGTTTTTAATGGGAAGTAGCAAGTGCAGCATATATGAATATGAGTATTGGGCTAGGACCTGTATCTCATATAATCAGTTTAATGTCCATAGTGGTTATTGTTCCAAAGGACTGAAGGGACCAATGGAGGGGAAGGAACCTGGCCTGTATGAACTGGGCCAGCATTAGTAATATCTCATAATTACCAATATATCATTACATAATAAAATGTCTCATATAAATTAATTCAATCAGTCAAAGTACTGATTCTCATATCAATGAACCATAAACAATAGTGGAAATATTAATCTAGCTTAGTGCACATAATCAAAACAACTATCTAATGTATGCAAACTTTATCAGGAGGAGCACAGCAAAAACATACTCATAATAATAGGCCTCGGCGCCCACACAGAAAAATATAAGAACGAGCAAACAGAGCAGCGCAGGCTAGCGCTAGTTTGACTCACCAGTTCCTCTTTAAAACACGGCACACAGTGTGACAACTGCGTCGATTCAATTGTATGAGGCGCCTGTAGTGAAAGCATATCAATTACGGTTTGTAGAACAAAATATGACGTTAGTTCGCGATAAATACCTGCAGCTCGCTCATTTCCAGCTACCCTAGACAACACACACCGGTGAATGCAGTCCGCTTGTTTAGGGAAGTGTTGCTGCGCGAACTGCCTGGAACTCACGTTCGAACTCTCTCGCGAGCGCTACAACTACCGCGAGGCTTTGTTTCTTCAGAGACGGCATAGATAGAAAGAGAGATGCGGAGAAAGGTAAAAATGGCCCGGGTTACGCAAGTCTTTGCAAGTCAATTGGCGCAAGTCCAAGTGAAAGTCAGAGTCATTGATGTTAAAGTCCAAGTCGAGTTGCAAGTCTTTTTATATTTGGTCAAGTCGAGTCTAAAGTCATCAAAATCATGACTCGAGTCTGACTCGAGTCCAAGTCACATGACTCGAGTCCACACCTCTGGTAAAAGGGACATTATAGTTCACCAGACAATAGCAGTAGTCAGGCTGCTCTGAGCTTTAAAAGGAAGCATGACACGTCCATGTTAATTCACATTTGACGGAATTGAAGTTGGCTGGATGACACAGTAAACTTGTTTTTATGATCTCAATGGCCAGCACTTTGAGTAGGCAGAGGGCCACATATAATGACATTTAGGGCCAGTCTCGTAACTAAAACGTGTCCAAAACGGTGTCTTATGACTAACTAATAGAGTATAAATTACATAAGAAATTTGAAAACAAAAAAAATGAACTGAAACGTGAATATGGTTTAACATAATGATCCTGGGTAGATTTGGCAGAAGCATCAGGGGTGGGTACCACGGCCAGGGCTTGAAGTTGACGTAAATGATTTGGCCCAGAGACAAGATCAACTGTTTGGGAATTCACTTCAGCCAAAAGTTTAAAGATCATGGTCACGTTGGGAAATATTTTGGTCGGGTCAAATTTCTAAACAAAACATTGCAGATACAAGATTCAGCCTCCTCTGAAAACGACAGAAAGGAATGAGGAGCAGAGAGAAGATCTGAGTTACATCTGCATCTTATGGATCAATGGCTCTTATGTGTTTATCGTTCGAACTGTTTGATTCTCTGATCTGTGTTGGCGAATCGACAACTTTGTAAAGTCCTTTGAAACGACTGCTGTTGTGATTTAGGGCAATACATAGATGAATGAAATTGAATTGAATTGGACTAATACATGGGAAATTAACATCAACTGTCCCAATTTTTTATCAGGAGACAGGAACAGTAACTCATTTGACTAAATCATGACTAAAACAAGCAGCCATTGTTAAAGATGGAGGTTGTATTATGAGATGTTCCTTTACTACAGCTCCAGTTGTAGTAAAGGAACTCCAGCTACAGTTACAATTACATCAAGTTACAAACATGAAGCAGTATTGGGTAACTTGGCTTGTTATCGCCTTTTCATGCAACTCAGTCCCAAACATCCTGCCGATATTTTATTAGATTTCTCCATCTGGGTTCACTTAAAGCGAAACAAACTGTACAAATTTGTTCCCAATAAAAAAAAAAAAACTTGGGTTAGTTTTGGCCAAAATCTCACCAGAAAGGAGCAGGATGAGGCAGACGGCAAAGAAGTCTGGATATGGGGCCAGACCGGGGTAGTTCATGCTGAAGTAGGTCTGACAGAAGCGCTCAATGTGACCGCCTATCATCTCGTCGAAGGTTCCACTCCAGGCACGAGCCACAGACGACGTCCCTGGACAAAACAAAAGCGTTTTTTTATAAAAGACAGAAAGTGCGGACCGCTGCGCAGGTCTCTTTGTGGTCTTTGCTTAGTCTGAGTAGCTTGGTTTATAGAGCAGTTTCTGATTATGTGCTTAAGAGAGTAATTAATCCAAATCTGTGTTGATATTTTGGTTACTGACAGGCTGCAGGCACACAACTATGGCAAATACAATTATTATTTTCATTATTAGAGTGATCCACATGTGTCATAATACATATACAGACAAGGACACACATTCACTGCGTAAAGGCGTTGTCTGCAACTTTATTCAATTTCATAAACATACTTTTGACCATATGACCATGTTGTAGGATCTATATTCATTTTAATTGAAAACAGTCCCTCCCCTTGGAATAAGCACAACCAGTAAGATTTGCTGGAGGAGAATAGTTAGGGGGGGTGCCTTGGCTGTCAATCAAGGATTCAAATTCATTGCAGCCAATCAGGAACCTGTGGGGGCGGGTCAAACTGGCGTGAAAAACAACTGATCATAACTTTAAGTACACTTTAGCTTCCTCTGAATTTGACCCATGCTTCAATGTCACTTGGGCCCAGGGATGATGCTCTTGAGGAAGTCAGCCTGCGGAATATACATAATATATATATAATGTACCTATAGACTCTGATTTATGGTGCATGTTTTGGGTAATTGGGGAAACTGGAGCGCCGGAAACTGGAGCGCCGGAAACTGGAGCGCCGGAAACTGGAGCGCCAGAAACAGGGCGGCGCGGTGGATGATTGGATAGCACTCTCGCTTCTCAGCAAGAAGGTCCTGGGTGTGATGGCTACACCCCACAGGATGACATCATGAGCCTTGTCCCTCCTGATTTGAAGAGGAAAAAGGGGCGGGCTTATGTGGGTTGGTACAGCTGTGGGTAATTGGGCTGGGCAGTATATATATGTTGGGTTATGTTTTATTTGGGAGGTCAGTTTGTTTGTGTTAAGTTCTCATTAAGTCAACATTTGCTTTCTGTAAAGTTCTATTCTTTTGACCTTTTTAATGGCCTGTTTGTCTATATGGCATATAAACCCTTTTTTGCAAGATTTGAACCTTTGTCTTGGTGCTTTACTGCTTGGTCCCTAACAATTGGTGGCAGTGGTGGGATCATCCAGTTTAGACAAAGGTTTCTTTCATTGTCTTTTTTTTGTTTTTCTACATTTTTGTTTTTTTTTCCCTCGTGAAAAATGCCTGGAAGAGGAAGTGGAGCTCTGGAGGGGTGAAATACACTGATGGGTGTGAAAAAGAGGAAGAATGTATGGAGCCTACACTCTCAGATCTAATTGCCATTCTTCAAACACATATGGGGCAGCAGAATATCAGAGAGGTTACACAAAGGCAGCGATTAGAGTCTCTGGAGCACAAATTTGAACTTTTGCAGTCTGAAATCAGTGTTAAAAAGACGTTATCTGTACAAAATGAAGAGGGCCCAAGTCAATCAGTCACACCTGCACAGGCCCATGTGGACCACACCAATATGGCCGACATACAAACTCCACCGGCTCATTGCCACACCCATCATGAGCCAAGAATGGAAAAATTGGCAGACAATGACGATATTGAACATTTCTTGATCACATTTGAACGCATTGCTGTAGCATGCCGCTGGCCTGACTGGGTTTTTCATCTAGTACCACTGTTGACTGGTAAAGCAAGGGGGGCATATGTACATATGGACTTTGAGAATTCCCTTAATTACGATCTGGTAAAATCTGCTATTTTGTCAAAGTATAATATTAACTCTGAGACCTACAGGCAGAGATTCCGCTCACTAGAAATATACCCAGGTGAGAGTCCAAACGAGCTTTATGCACGGTTGAAAGAGCTGTTTGGGAAATGGATTGAGCCTAAAGGTAAAACAATCTATGAAGTGGGAGAAATTATCATTTTGGAGCAATACTTAAGAATGTTGTCCCCTGAGCTTCAAATTTGGATCAAGGAGCGGAATCCAAAATCAGCCCTGAAGGCAGCTGAACTGGCCGATGTCTTTGTGGCTGCCCGGGAGCATGGACAAGCCTGGAGTCAAGAGGACTGGGGGATGAAGAGGGACTCTGAGCATGCTATGCAACGCCGCCAAGGTCCAGACAATTTGGGTAAGCCTTTTAATCCAGCCAATACAGGCATGCACCCACCAAAATATTCAGGAAAAAAACCTATCTGCTACCTTTGTGGAGTGGAAGGACACACTAAACCAATGTGCCCCAAAAATTCTGCAAAAATGACCCAAATGTGCTATGCTCCTCGCCTAGATACCATTTTGCCTAACTCTGACCTCTCTATCAAAATGGCTACTGTTGAAGTGAATGGGACTCTCTTAAAAGGACTATTGGATTCAGGGAGTGACCAGACCTTAGTTCATAAGGATTATATTCCATCTAATATTATTAGCATGATGGACACAGTTCCCATTTGTTGTATACATGGAGATAAAAAAGACTATCCAACGGCAGATGTATATCTGAAGATAGATGACCAAAGTTATCTGTTAAGTGTGGGAGTTGTGGACAGTTTGCCCTACCCTGTAGTTCTAGGTCGGGACTTGCCAGTGTTCTTTGACCTATTGGAAGGGGGACAAACTCAAAATTGCTTGGCTGCTGTTACTCGTGCTCAAGCCCAGAAACGTGAAGCTATTGACACTGTTCTTTGCGCTCTGCCATTTTACAACGAGGAACTGGAAGCGGGGGAAATTAAAAATCGAAAATCACGAAGAATCAGGAGACAAGAGAAGTTCCAGCACACAATTGTACACTCTGACAAAAATGCAGAACCAGAGCAGTCTATAGATTTTGGAATTCCCCCTAATATTATTGAAATGCAAAGGTCTGATCCATCCATAGCACATCTTTTCCAGGAGGTTGGAGCAACTAAAGCGGGAGCCCCTGGTAGTCCTGAGTATGTTTTGGACAGTGGCATACTCTATCGTCAGAGGGGTTCAGTGTTGCAGTTGATGGCCCCCCAGGGAGCAAGAAATGCCATACTTACTCTTGGCCATTCTGTACCCTGGGCCGGTCATTTGGGTAAGCACAAAACTACAGCAAGAATTCAACAATACTTTCACTGGCCGGGGTTACATAAAGATGTGGCCCAGTTCTGTCGCAGTTGCCCCCAGTGTCAGATAACCTCTCCAAAAATGCCCTCCAGAGCTCCACTTCAGCCCTTGCCAGTTGTGGGGACCCCATTTGAGCGCATTGGGATGGATGTTGTTGGACCAGTTGAAAGGAGTAAATCTGGTAATCGCTACATGGTCGTAATGACAGACTATGCAACAAAGTACCCTGAGGTTTTTCCAGTGAGGAATGTTAAAGCAAAAACCGTTGCATTTTGTCTCGTCCAATTTTTTTCTCGTGTGGGCTTCCCTCAAGAGATACTAACAGATCAAGGTTCTAATTTCATGTCCACTCTAGTAAAACAGGTCTACCAGCTGCTTGGCATCCGGAGACTAAGGACCACGCCATACCATCCCCAAACTGATGGTTTAACTGAGCGGTTTAATCAGACCCTTAAGCTGATGCTCCGAAAATTTGTCAATGACACCGGTACCGATTGGGACCAATGGCTGCCGTACGTCCTTTTCGCATACAGGGAAGTACCCCAGGCCTCTACAGGTTTCTCTCCCTTTGAGCTATTGTATGGGCGTGAGGTGCGGGGGCCACTCTCATTGCTCAAAGAGGTCTGGGAGGCAGACAAAGAGAGGGCGGGACCTGTTAATGTTGTTGCATATGTTGTCCAGATGAGGGAGCGCCTTGAAAGAATGACTGAACTGGCTCAATCCCACATGGCAGAGGCCCAGCAACGGCAAAAGGTCTGGTACGATCAGTCTGCTCGTCAAAGGACTTTCACTCCAGGCCAAGAAGTGCTGGTACTGTTACCAAGTGAGGACAACAAACTGCTGGCTAAGTGGCAGGGGCCTGTTAAGATAATCAAGAAGCTGGGTCCAACTACATACAAGGTGGAATCCCCAGGGAAATCCCAGGCACGGAAAGTGCTGCACATAAATCTGTTGAAGGAGTGGGTACAAAGACCCGGAAAAGAGGTGTTTCTGATACGAGAGGTGGTGGAGGAAGATGAAGTTGAAGAGCAATACTTGACTCCGGCACGCTGTAAGATGGACTGTGATCTGACACACCTCTCACAGAGGCAACGAATTGAGGTGAGCTCAATTTGTAAAATGTCTGTTTTCCAGGACAACCCAGGCAGAACAGACGTGGTGCAGCATGAAATTGTTCTTAAAAATAATGTGGTTGCTAAAAGGCTCAGTTACAGGATACCAGAACGCCTGCAGACATCGCTAAAGGAGGAGATTGACCTGATGCTGTCGCTGGGGATAATTGAGGACTCTAAGAGCGAATGGTGCAATCCAGTGGTCCTCGTACCGAAAAAAGATGGCACCATAAGGTTCTGCATTGATTTCAGGTATCTTAATTCGATGTCACTTTTTGATTCATATCCCACACCAAGAATTGATGACCTTCTTGAACGCCTTGGAAAAGCTAAATATCTGACCACTTTAGATCTCTCTAAAGGTTATTGGCAGGTCCCTCTTACCCAGGAGTCAAGAAGATTCACTGCCTTCAAGACCCCATGGGGTCTCTTCCAGTTCACGGTTATGCCATTTGGGTTGCACGGGGCGCCAGCAACTTTTCAGAGACTAATGGATCAGGTACTCAGAGACTCATCAAATTACGCTGCAGCATATTTGGATGATATTGTAATTTACAGTTCAAGCTGGGAGGAGCACATGGAGCACCTGCAAGCAGTACTGGATCGCTTGCAAGCAGCGGGCTTAACAGTGAATCCAGCAAAATGTGTTTTTGCTTCCTCAGAAACGGAGTATCGGAGCCATGTCATCGGCGGTGGGAAGCTGAGGCCACAGGTGAACAAGATAAAAGCTCTGGAATCTTGTGCCTTACCAAAGACAAAAAAGCAGCTGCGATCGTTCCTGGGGATGGCAGGCTTCTATTACCGCTTTATACCCCAGTTTTCGGCCAGAGCGGCAACACTGACAGACCTGACTGGATCCCTCAGGCCAACTCAGATTCCATGGACAAAGGAGGCAATGGAAGCTTTTCATGATATACGTCAAGCACTGAGTAAGGACCCAGTTTTGTACAGTCCACATTTTGATGAACATTTCGTTGTGCAGACTGATGCATCTGAAAGGGGTTTGGGAGCAGTTCTTTTGCAGGGACCAGATTGTGAACGGCATCCAGTGGCCTACATAAGTAGAAAGCTCTTCCCTCGAGAGGTTCGATACTCGACAGTGGAAAAGGAAGCCCTAGCCATCAAGTGGGCTCTGGACTCTTTCAGGTATTATCTCTTGGGCCGAGAGTTCACACTGCAGACCGACCATAAAGCCCTTCAATGGCTGGAAAAGATGAAGGACACTAATGGAAGGATCACACGATGGTACCTAGCTCTCCAGCCTTTTCGCTTCTCCGTCCATCATATTCCAGGGAAAGACAATGTCACAGCTGATTACCTATCTCGCTGGTTTGGCGAGAGTCCTGAAGAGGGGGGGTGTGTGATGGCTACACCCCACAGGATGACATCATGAGCCTTGTCCCTCCTGATTTGAAGAGGAAAAAGGGGCGGGCTTATGTGGGTTGGTACAGCTGTGGGTAATTGGGCTGGGCAGTATATATATGTTGGGTTATGTTTTATTTGGGAGGTCAGTTTGTTTGTGTTAAGTTCTCATTAAGTTAACATTTGCTTTCTGTAAAGTTCTATTCTTTTGACCTTTTTAATGGCCTGTTTGTCTATATGGCATATAAACCCTTTTTTGCAAGATTTGAACCTTTGTCTTGGTGCTTTACTGCTTGGTCCCTAACACTGGGTTCAAATCCTGCTCAGAATAGGGTCTTTCTGAGTGGAGTCTGCATGTTCTCCCTATGTACCTACGTAGGTTTCGTCCGGGTACTCCGGTTTCCCATACCACTAAAAACATGCATAGGTTAAATCCTCCAGCTCCGATAGTCCTGATCAAGCCAAGCATCAACATCTAGAGATGGGTTCCTGGGCGCTGTTACTACGGCGACTACTGCTCCTGACGTCAGCCTTAGTGGGATCAGGATGGGTCAAATGCAGAGGATGAATTGTCCCACAGGGATCAAAAAGGGCACCTTTACCTTTGCCATATCCACTCAGAAAGGCCTGTGCCAATTGAACACACAACTTTCTTGGTGTTGTTCCGACTCAGCCACTGTACCACCAAGTTCCACAATTGACATAAGCGAGGTCTCCTATCCTGAGGTCTGAAACTCTTCTGTTGCCATGATGTCAACAAGGGGATGGAGCAGCCAGCAGAAAATGTACATTACATGGCTTTACTACTTGAAACTTGGGACGGAAATCTACCTCAATGGGGCATCTCTATCACTTGACTTTAGGCACTTTTACCATCAAACTACATCTCAACCATTTGGTAGAGGCGTTTAATAAAAAAGCTAGGGGTTATAAAACAACAAGTAATAATTATTTACATTATTAGTGCTCCTACATCCTTGAAAATAAAACAAAATACATTGCTTTCTTCAAGGAGTGAACATTAAAAGTTTAAATCATTCTACAAACTTATGACGTACCAATGACATAGGACAGGATGAGGTTCCAGCCGGTGATGAAGGCCCAGATCTCTCCCACCGTCACATAACTGTACAGATACGCTGACCCCGTTTTGGGAACTCTTGCTCCAAACTCAGCATAACACAGTCCGGCCATGACCGACGCCAGAGCTGCGATCAGAAAGGAGATGACAATACTGGGCCCAGAGTTCCCTTTTGCCACTTCTCCAGCCAGGACGTAGACCCCGGCCCCCAGGGTGCTGCCCACTCCCAGAGCGATGAGGTCCACGGTCCCCAGGCAGCGGCACAGTTTGGACTCCTCCAGAGAGTTCATGTCCACCACCTTCCTCCGCACCAGGGAGCGACCGAACGACAAGCATTTACCCAACATCTTTACACCTGCAGAGGGAGAAAGAAAGCATTTTTAGAGTCAGATTACAACTGAGACTTAATGGCACTGAAGAATAACATTGAGATTAAGAGATACTTTATTTGTCCCAAGGTGGAGAAATGTCAGTGTTGCATCACAAGTTAAAGAACATAGCAATCAAAATCAGAAATCTTTTTATTGCCAACAGGAAGTCACAAACTAAGAAATTGCTTTGGCTCTCGGAGCAGTAAGTAAAAATAGAATAAGGCATGCATAAACAGAAATACACAATCTACAAAATATTTCTTGAAAAAAATACTAAATACAACTTCACTGAATACACTTAAAATTATTAAAATGACTACTACATACAAGTGTACTAACTACACACAATGAGGAGCACACAACACAAGATAAAAAATTGAATACGAATAGAATACAACTTAAATAGAAGCTAGTTTAAAATACTTGTGCAACAGTGACATGTATACTGTGTGTGTAAATCTGCAGATAAATCAGTAAAATACTCTAGTGCAAGAATATTATGGTAATCAGTCCTGGTGATGTAACAACTGCACATTTTAGCAGAATGAGGGTTAAAGTGACAAAGTGACAAAAGTGACTCAGAAAAACACAGGTGGTTCCATATTGCACATTGTAATATTATTTTAAAAATATTGCACAGAAGGGAACCATTCATCTGGGCTCAAACTTAAAATGTGTTTGCCTTTGCCTTGACGTGATGTGAGGAAATGATAAATGAAATACCTCAGCATTAGTTTTATAGCCTAACATTACATTGTGTTTGTAATGTTATGGCACATATGACTAAAAACACAGAGGTTTTCTTTGCACCTTAACCTTGAGTCAATGTTTGAACAGGACCAAACATGTCAGCACCAATATTCTACATTGTGTGTACAGTCTAGTGTGCAAGAGGAGAAAAGCCTGATTAGAATTATATAACATACGTTATGAGTGTAAAGATAAAGCCCCTTGTGATGGGAATTCCATTAAACGTCAGGGAAACTGTAAAACATGTTTTAAAGTTAATGTAAGTTAAGAGGATTATTCATAGAAACTTGGTAAAAGTGGTTTTGATGTGATGTCATTATGTGGAAGGCAAAGAAATAACAAGAAAGTTGTTGTTTGCGACCCCAGAAAAGATCAAATAAGAAATGTCCAGTTATAACAAAATTAATTAGTTTTTATTTTTCACAGCCAGTACTCGACACAGGACTAATACATTAAATATGAACTTTCAAAATTAACAGCAAAGAAGGTAAATCAAGTATTTGTCCCATGCTCAAGGGTCACAGTTTTTATATGAAATTAAAACAAACATAAAAAGCGAAGAAGTTATGTATAAATATGACAAAAAGTACTTTATTTTTTGGAGTCGTTAGAGTAAGTTCAGGAGGGTCTAAGGACAGTGAAGATCTACAACATTTATGGATATTGTATTGCCTTTTCTGTGTTGATTATTTTATATTGATGTATTTGAACAGAGAGATACACTAAGTGCAAGTTCCACCTGCATGTTAAAGTCAGATTCTGCCAGTCCTCTGAAGCTGAGCAGGGCAGGGCCTGTGATGGGAGACCTCTGGGAACACCAGGTACCACAGAGTGCTAAACTGCTGTTGTGTCGTTAGGCAAGACATATCACCCACATTGCCTAGAATGAGTCCAGTGTGTGCTGGAATCATGACATGGGAGGTGTCTGAGTATCCACTAAAGTATTTTTTATAGAAAACCAATGCATTATTGAAGTTAGTATAGTATTAACTTTAAAACCTTTCCTGCGTTATTCTTGTTTGATTCTCTGAGCTGTTGTTGTCAAATTGACAATTTTGTAAAGTCCTATGAGACGACTGCTCTTGTGAATTGGGGCTATTCCATTACAATTGAAATTGAAATTTGTTTCTCTAATACATTCATACTCATTTAATGGCTCCTGGGCACTGCGGGAGGCACTTGAAAACTAGCTAAGGAAGATAAATTAGAACTTGTACAGAAAGTTGTCCAGATCAGGACCTCACAGCGCACACACTTGTAAACGTGTCCATTGTTATGAATCAAGTTTATCTTATCTTAAATATCCATTGTCCCTGTTCAAATAAAGAAAGAAAGAAATCCTTCACCAAACCCCAGCTGGTGGGTTTCATCAGTGATCAGTGCTCTGGAGCTTCATGTGTCACAGGCAGGAAGATTCTGGCAACAAGAATGTGTGATTGTCTTGACCTTAATTGGCCATTTGCACGGTACATACTGTCGCTTTAATTCATACATTGAGTGAAGAGGTCCCAGAGCAGATTGTGAGTCCTGGGATCAGCTCAACATACAATACATGAAAAGTGACAGAATCATTGCTCTCAGATACACGAGGGAGGCCTCTGTGAGGGACCCTCTAATTTCTCTGAATTTGGCCAAATTAGAATGTATGAATTTTAATAATTTTCAAATGTTAACTCAGAGTCGAGGCTAACACCAGTTTTGATGCAGCCAGTCAGCCACTTTCTGCATTTGGATGTCAGTTCTTTTGGTACATGGATTTCACTCTTCCCATGTACAGAGAGTACGATGTCATCTGCAAACCTGATGGTGTTGGCAGTGGAGGCAGAGGGGAGGTCACTGATATACATCCTAAAAAACAGGGGCCCCAAAATCAGAATCATCAGAATCAGAATCAGAATCATTTTTATTGCCACGTAAGTAACAGGAGGTCACAGACTTGGAAATTGCTTTGGCTCAGTGCAACAGTCAGAAAGAGATAATAAAAATAAGAATAAAAAACACTAAAGAATAAATGTAAATTTAAAATAGAGTTACAGTTACTATTTACAATATACAAGAGCACATAGTGCACACAATATAAGGTGACAGCAGTACAGTGAAGTAAAGTGACGTATGATGGGCAGTAAAGTGACTTTATAAAGGGCGGGGGGACAGGTTAAGAAGTGTTCAAGAATCCAACAGCAGAGGGGAAGAAACTGTCCTTGGCGGGAGGTTCTAGTCCTGATCAACTCATCGTTGTTGGAGATGAGTCCAATGAGGGTGGTGTCGTCCGCGAACTTGATCAGCTTCACGGAGTCGTGGCTGGAGGTGCAGTGGTTGGTGTACAGGGAGAAGAGCAGGGGAGAAAGAACACAGCCCTGTGGGGCTCCTGTATTTATAATCCGAGAGTCCGAGACATTCTTCCCCAGACGCACTCGCTGCTTCCTGTCTGTCAGGAAGTCAGTGATCCACCTGCAGGTGGAATCGGGCACGTTGAGCTGGGAGAGCTTGTCCTGGAGCAGGGATGGCAGGATTGTGTTGAAGGCAGAGCTGAAGTCCACGAACAGGACCCTGGCGTAGGTCCCCGGGGAGTCCAGGTGCTGTAGGATGTGGTGGAGGGCCAGGTTAATCGCGTCGTCTACAGATCTGTTGGCTCTGTAGGCGAACTAAAGGGGGTCCAGGAGGGGGGAGGTGAGGGACTTGAGATGGGAGAGAACCAGGCGTTCAAATGACTTCATGACGACAGCCGTAAGTGCTACAGGTCTGTAGTCGTTGAGTCCTGTGATCCTGGGCTTCTTCGGGACGGGGACAATGATGGAGGATTTGAAGCAGGCCGGGACATGGCAGGACTGCAGAGAGGTGTTGAAAATGTCCGTGAACACAGGAGTAAGCTCACTGGCGCAGTGTCTCAGAGTGGCCGGAGACACGTGGTCCGGGCCAGGAGCTTTGCGGGGTTGCAGCCTCAGGAAGAGTTGTTTAATGTCTTTAGAGGCTATTGTTAGGCTGGGGGCAGGGCTGATGGGTGGGTCGTTAGAGTAGTGGGGGGTGGGGGAGGGAGAGGTGTCAGGGGCAGCATCAAAGCGACTGAAAAATAAGTTCAGTTCGTCAGCTAGCTTGTGGTCGTCAGCACAGGGGGGGGCTTTGGGTTTGTAGTTGGTGATCTCCCGTAGGCCCCTCCAGACAGAAGCAGTATCGTTGTTACCAAACTGCTCCTGTAGTCGTTCTCTGTGCCGGGACTTGGCTGCTTTAAGTTATTTCCTGAACTGATATTTAGCTGCTTTGTAGCCGCTGCGGTCCCCCTCCCTGAAAGCAGACTCCTTTGCTTTCCTGAGCTGCCGGAGTTTAGCAGTGAACCAGGGTTTGTCGTTGTTATAGATGACCCTGGTCCTTGTTGGAATGATGCTATCCTCACAGAAGTGAATGTATGACGTCACAGTGTCCGTGTATTCATCCAATCTATCTGTGGCAGCTCTGAAAAGGTCCCAGTCTGTAGATTCCATGCATGCGCGCAGCTCTTCCACAGCTTCATCAGACCACACTTTGGAGCTCCTCACTGCAGGTTTTGAGAGCTTTAGTCTCTGTCTGTAAGCAGGAACCAGATGTATCATGGAGTGATCTGAGAAGCCGAGGGCTGGCTTGGGAACAGCGCAAAAAGCTCCGCGCACGGTGGTGTAACAGTGATCCAGAGTGTTCTCCTCTCTGGTCGGGCATTTGATAAACTGTCTGTATTTGGGTAATTCCTGGCTCAAGTTTCCCTTATTAAAATCCCCCAGGATAATAATCAGAGAGTTCGGGTATAAACGTTCCATACACAGTACTTGCTCTGCGAGTGCGCGCTGAGCCTCGCGCGCGTCCGCGCATGGCGGTATGTAAACAGAGGCAAGAATGAATGAAACAATTTCACGAGGGGAGTAAAATGGTTTACAATGAATTAAAAGATATTCCAGAGCAGGAGAGCAGTGCTTGGAGATCACTGTCACATCGTTACACCAGTTTGTATTGACGTAGAAACACAGCCCACCCTGCGGTACTCCCATGGTGTATTCTTCCGGTGTTTTTGACTCTCTCAGATTCAGATTCATTTTATTAGCCATATGCAGTATAAAAACTACATTGGAATACATTTGCAAAAAAAGGTACTCTGTGTGCACCGACAGAATAAAAAGCACGATACAATGTAATATAAAATACACATCTCACACTGTTGTCTGCCACTTATATATACCTGATTCAATTTATTATTTGCTTGGATTGATAATTAGATTTTTCCCAGTTTTCACAGGAGAATGCTGTGATTGACAGTGTCAAAATGTATTCTTGCGGAGGTCAAGGAAGACTGTTCCTACGACCACGCCATGGTCCAATTTGGATTGCATTTTTTCTATGATAAAGCAGCAGGCAGTCTCTGTCGAATACCCACTCCTGAATCCAAATTGCAGATGGTTCCGGAGTGAATATGAGCTTATGTGTCATATGTGCCGTTAGCATTACATGCTACAGCTTTTTTCATAATTGTTTTAACCCCTTAAGGATCACCTAATTTCGCCTGCTCCTTCTCGAATTATGATACCCAAATGGAAATGCTTATTGTGTGGACATCTTGTGTCTGATGTTGTGTTATGAGGCCTCATTTGAAAGGTAACACCTTCTAGTTTCTGAAAATGTATGTTACAGTTTGTTAGGAAGGACCCAGTCTGCACTACACCTTCTCAAACATGAGTCAAAGTTAGTTTTTTTTGTCAAAAAAAAAGAAGGCAATTTCAAAAGGTTCTCCTGAAGACATACTTTATGGTATGATGTTCAAACTCACCAGAGTAGATGTTCGTGGTGTTGGAAACACCTGTATGAAATTTTAGACCTTTAGGTGGAACTATTTTGATGCTGGGGCCTTTTTTGTAACTAATGGGCACATTCGGCACAAGTGGTCCATTTTTGTGCCAACTGTGCCAAAGTGTTTTACATGCAAATTATCAATGTTTTTACACCAAAAATCCATTTATATATTTTTTTGGCTATTATTCTTGCTATAAATAGCATTTTTTCCAGATATTGAAATGTTTTCAGAAAAACTATTATTTATATAGTTATAGCGCGTGTTCTCCGTGAAAAAGGCTCCGTCTTCCTCTTTACGCATTCAAATATGACGGGAACAGTGGGAGGAAACTAGAAGTCCGACACATCGCCTGAAACCTGAGATTATTGGCTACAAGATGATTTGATTGACATCCAAATCGGCCAATGGTAGTCAAGACAATGCTGTCTTGACGCACAGATATCTATGTGAATGGAGCGCTAAAGCTAGGTGCGCTTGTTTTACTCAACTTACTCTACCTTCCAAACCATAGCACTGAAAAGTCCGGGAATGGGCTTGTTTTGAAGGGGAGGCTTAGGGGAAGACGAACATACCCAGTGACGCTAGCTAAACAGTAAAATGTCCTCTTCATACAGTGCGCAAAGAACAGGTTTTGTTTTTGTTTGTGCAACTTTCAATACTCAAATATATTGTTGCAAGTGGATATCTACTATAAGGATGACTTTGAAGAAAAAACAACTGGATATAATTATTCTCTAGACCCTAACGAACAAAACGAATTCACACATGTGTGGATTAGACGTGATTTGCCCCAGAATATTAGCATGACAAGGTAAGAAAGGACAATATATATTTTAAATATATATACAGTTTGACTACTTATTCTTACTTTTGGTTATATTTAATGTTTATTTGAACATAATACGTGTATAGAGGTGGGAATAACCTTTCAAAAGAGATATAGCTTGACTATATTGACACAAGTGAATTCTAATACTGATGCTGTTAAATGAAAAATAACTGAATCCTCCCTGTACAGGGAGGGTGATCCTTAAGGGGTTAAATAGAAGCAAGAATTAATATGGGACGGTAGTTGGATATCTGCTTTTTATCTCCCGACTTAAACACTGGTGTAATTAATCCAATTTTATGAGCATTGGGAAAGGCACTGTTTTTAAAAGTGAGCTGACTAAGGCTAAAAACAACTGGAATTACACTGGTCTGATGATAGCAAACAACAAATCATGGTAATGATTATGGGCAACACACACACACACACACACACATACACACGGTGAGCATATGGGATGATGCAGCAGGTGCTGAAGTGGTGGTATGGGGGGCACCAAAGGAAATTCTGCTTTGGGCCCCTTAAAGGCTTGGGCCGGCCCTGACTGTGCAACACAAATAAACTTGCCTAAACTGGTGCATAATTGAGGATCACATCGAGAGCCACGGTCTACTGTACTGCCCATTACAATCCATTGTTTGAGGTTTAGAGTCCAGATCTGAGCTCTCAAAAGGACATTCATACGGCCATAGCTTTACAGCACATAGGGGTTTCATTGTTTTGGGCTAAAAGAGACTAAAATGACCCCATTAGAATACATTATACAGTAATAAAGGCTGTCTCACCCAATTATGGCTTTTAAATCTGACAGTAATTTGCATTGACTGGTCTGTGTTTTGCGTTGACATATTTTAGCAGAGGGGTCTTCAGATCAAAGGAATGCACCGGCACAAGTGACAGCACATTTGCATAACAATTAAATATGCTTTATTATGTAATTTGAACAATGTGCACTGTAAAACTCATAGGGCCATAGATTTTTAAACAGTAAAACAGTTTTGAGCAAGTACAATCAGACCAAACTTACTAAAAGATGACAATAAGACATTCAAATGACTTCTGAATGTTTTTGTTAATGTTAATTTCAGATAGAGATATTTTTTACAGAAATGGTCCTAACCAACAGATATTATCAGTAAACTAATCCTTTATGTAATCTTTCATTGGAACAGCTTTACCATGTATTTGTTAGTTATTCTGAGCATAACATTGCAATATAGTGTTTCAAAAAAAAAAAAAAAAATCTTAGTGTAAGGATAAAACTATTGATATGAACTCATTTACAAAAACAGATATAAATGTTTTGAAAATGTTTCAAAAAGTTGTTTTCCTCATGTTAGAATCTTCAACATTTGCTAAAGAAGATGTGAAACTATTTGCATGGCACTAAAACAGATCTAGCTTTAGAGAGCAAAGCCAAAAACTTAAAAAAAAAAAAATTCTCCCAATGGCACTGGTCTGTGTTTGCCAATTAACTCTTAACGTCTAAGCTTTAAACATAAGACAGGTAAAAACTGACAAATGCAAATGTCATGCAAACATGTCATACCTGATGGACAACAAACGATCGCCGTCTTCAAACTCTCCGGAAAGGGAAAAGGGTAATGAGCGAGAAAAAGTTACAGAAAAAGTAGTGGTAGAATTATAGCGGTCCCATGGAGAGGTGTGTATCCCGGTGCAGCGGTGGTTTGACTGCAGCTCTCAGCAGCTCGTGGGCCATGGTTTAGGAGTCGCACCCCCCCCCCCTCTCTCTCTCTCTCTCTCTCTCTCTCTCTTACAGGAGGGAGGAGAAAGAGGCTCGGAGGACAAGGACCAATACAAGAGTCGCGACATAACTTTCCACACTTCGGCATTTGACGAAAGTGAAGAAAATTAAGAGTTTGGGGAAAACAAGATTCCTGACTCAAACTGACGTTGCATAAAATGACTCTAAGTGAATGAGAACAATGAGACCTATCGATGTAAGTATCTAGTGCTGGGGGAAAGAATATACAGAGAATACCTATTCACAGAAAGCTCATTTGGAAGTCACTTAATTGTTGGTATTTGATCACTTTAGGTGTTGTTTTTTTTTTAAGAATTTCAAAATGACAAAAGGCTTTCTTTCTATTTTATGCTAAAGTTAGAGGTTTTATTCTAGTTATTGTTTTTCTTATGCTGTGTTCTCCTCATTCCTACCTTGTGATGCAACACTTACATTTCCCCACTCTGGGATGAATAAAGGTTCCCTTAACCTTACTCTGCAGATTACGTCGAAGACTATAAAATCAACAACAGAAATAAATACAAGAAAAAGGCTCTAAATTAACATATACTGTGTGTTTAAGGAAGGAAAGATATGTATTTGTATGGCACATTTCATAACTGCAGCTCAATCAAATCTATCTATTTTTGCATTGCCCAAAATTACAACCGTAGTCGTCTTTTGGTACATTTATATGGTGCATAGCGGGAAAAAGCTACGCACAATAGCGAGAAGTTTGAGGCCCCAGGCTCTGAGACTGTGCGCAGGTCCATACATTCATTCTTCTCTTTCTAAGTAACAATAAAAGAGAAAAAACAAAAGTATTCTAAGATGAATTTTTACATTTGTAATATTGATTGAGTATACAGCTGTTGATTGGACCTCAGTGTATAAATATGTTACAAAATACATTGCATCAGAGGAGTCCAGTGTTTTGTTGCATTGAATACACTCTCGCCAAATTGTCTCTGTTTATCCATCCATCAATATCTCTCCAGACCGGTTTATCTTTTATCGTTATCGTCTGAGTTGCACTTCAATGACTCTCTTCACCGTCATAACTTTGCTTCACAAACTACAGGAAGTCTCGATGCTACTGGTAAGCATCTGTCTTGACCATTCACCTGCACATTTATAAGAAGATTTCAGTGCACAGTCCTGCTTTGGAAATTCATGTTTAAGTGAAAATGTGTACTAGGATTTGACACAGACAATGCTGCAATGGACGCAATTTATTGAAAGAACAGTGCAGAGGAACTGAGGAGTAAGAAATAAACTATAAGATCTATAAGATGCACAATTCAGGTGCAATTGAGTGGTTTCTGATGTGAGTAGAACAAAATGATAATAAACAAGATTAATGAAATAATGAAGGAAAATACAACATTAGGTATTCAGTCATCGTCACACTGTGTTGAGAGCATGTCTATCCTGTTCTTTAATAAATCAACATTGCTCAAGTTTGGTTCAAAATAAACTTACACCTAAATAGTTTTACCACCCACAAGGTTTACCAAGACGACAAACACACCTGAACCTTCACTATGGTATGTTTAAAGCTGGGGTACCTGACTTTCAAACTACTAAAAAGTAACTATGTAATGAAATTTTTGCTTTCAAAACAATCTGGTTTTATAACTAGATTTCACATGCTTGTATCATTGGCTTCTGTCACATCTTTAGATCAGATTTTTCAGACAGAAAAGTGAAAAAGAGTGGACCATCCTCACTCAGCCAATCAGCTCTCAGCCCAACACGCCGGTATGCAAATGATAAGATAAAGACAGCCGGTTCTGGTCTGATTTATTCACAACATTTAACTTTTAAAACACGATTACTATCAAAACAAGTAACATGTATTGATGAAGCAAAATTATGTACCCCAGCTTTAATACGGACCAAACCAGGTCTAAACCAGGAGTGCATTTATTCGGTCAGATGCACGGGCGGATGATAAATGGTTGGGAAACTGACTTTGACAAACAGACAGACAGTTGTTTGCAGAGCGCGGCGACAGGGGGAAGCTAAAAGCCTGTCTCTGATTGGTCACTGGTGAGAGGGCCACACTTAGACCCAGTCCCGGACCAAAACCACGAGAGGGTTGGGCTTTTATAGGAGGACCTGAATTGCTCAATGTGTTCCCTGAGTTATGGACGCATGACAAAATCAATAGTGTTAAAGTAACACAGTAAAAAGAGGTATTTATTCACATCATGAATATTTAATGATCTGACCTCATTTGGAATGGATTTGAGTACTCTGATTACTCATTAAAATTATAGTTCCAAATAAAGATGCAGACTAAACTAAAGGACAAAATGTACCGGGGAGACTTGCTCTTTAGGTGTTGGTGGTGGTGGTTGGAGGACCACAGATTGGCAACCTCCCAACCTCACCAGTCTACCTCAAAGCATAAGAGATGCGACATTTCAAGCAATGATTGTTGTTTTCTGTTTCCAAGTGACAAGCACCATTGGCAAAATCGTGTTTTAAGACAGAAGTGACCAAAATCAAGGTAAATTTGACCCAATTCAAGCATTTTTTCTTCTTCTTGTTTTGCAGTGATATGGCTTCCCTATATATATTTCTGGTCACTGGTTCCCATGATTTTCTACTGATTAATCTTGAAAAATGGAAGTCTTCTTATGTCAGCCTAGTGCCACAAAACTGAAATGGGTTCAATACAGTAACTGTAACAATCTCTAAATCCTGCTGTTGAGGGTTGTAAGCGGATTCACAGGTAAAAATCCTAATGAAAGTCTTTTCATCATAAACAGACTATAATAATAGTTTAGAAGGTCACTTTATTGTTTTGGCTGAAATGAGTAAATTGATTTCTATAAAGCTGGCCTCTTCCATCTGCGCCTGCGGACTGCCCCGCCCGGCCCGCCTGGGAGTGCTTCGGTCCTGCGCCGGACCTGTCCACGTTCAGCGTCCACTGGCCCACGTTCTGTAGCTAGCTTAGGTCCTGGATCATTAGTCTGTCCGTCCGGAGGAGCGGATCCCTTTCTCATATGGGTCTCCCTCCCTGTGGGTTTCCCTAGTTCTCCTCCAAGGTTTCTCACTTTTTCCCACTGGGTTTTTTAAGAGTTTTTCCTTGTCGATGCAGGAGGGTCTTGTTGGACAGTTAGTGTCCAACAGAAAGGATTGGTGATGATCAGGACACTTTAGCATTCTACAACATGTATGGACATTTTCTTCTGTGTGTGCTTTATATTCTTCATGTGTTTTAACTGTTGATTCTCTGACCTGTGTTGGTGATTTCAATGGTTTTGTTAAGTCCTCTGAGATGACTTCTGTTGTGACCTAGGGCTATACAAGAATAAATTGTATTGTATTGTATTGTATTGTACTTGTTTTTTCTTAATTTACATTAGAATTGACTCTTACATTTGTGTTGACATGGAATCATGTCATAGACTAGTACTTGTGGGGTACCCAACTCATTCTTTATAAATAAGGATTTTTTTTCCCCCAAACAGAAGGTCTTGTAAAAGTAACATGTTGTGAACATGTCAAATCTACGTTAGAGCAGCCCTGTAAGTCACTATGTGGCACTTTGGGCGGAGAGCTGATTGGCTGAGAGTCGGTGGTCCTCTTTTTTTTACTTCCTGTCTGACAAAAAATATCTACAGATGTGACAGATGCCAAAAAATACATGCATGTGAAAACTAGTGATTGAACCATCTTATAACATAGGGAAGTCAGGTACTCTATCTTCTAATCTACCCAAATCGCAATTTTAAAAAGTCAATAGTGGCCTGCAGCGTACATGAGCTCAAACTGCTGGGATCCTGGCACCGCGACAAGAACTTAGAGAAGGTTTAAGTGCATTTTTGAACCACTAAAGCCGCTGTTGTGTTGTATTATTGTGAGACCAGTTCAAACCGGAGCAGGACCTCAGTGGGAAGGTGGCAGCTGGCTCTCACCGCCATCCAGCCCACAACTGCAGGACAAGAAACAGCTTCCCCTGTCCAAACGCTGGCTCCTGACCTGAATTCTGATGGGAAAAGAGAGAAATGCTTAAAACGGGCCACTAGAGAGACTGCACTGGCTGTCGTTGCACAAAGCACATAGTAAACCCAGCGAGAGGCCACGCACTGAATGTGGATGAGATAAGTCCAGGAACAAAGTGACCTACATAGACAGCATGACGTAAAGGTATAGGTAACTAAGATTATTTAACTAATATATTGAGCAGGAAAGGATTTTACACTGTTGGCTATAATAAAATTGGTTGATAAAATTTCTACATCTCTCACCGCTCAAATCCAACAATTCGGTCGACAATTTTCAAGGAGAAAAGATCATGGCCAAGGTTCACTATAGTAGATGGATAATGCTAACCGGCTAGCTCAATGAGGTTCCATAGGGAAGTGTTCATAGATAAAGTGTTGCTCCAACTCGCTCTGACTTACGTTAAAACATTTGTGGTCACGTTTATCTCTATGATACTGACTTTTTTTTAGGTCTTTGTAAGGCAGGTACGAGCCTTAAGTATTATATTGTTTTTATAACATTTTTATTGTTAACTGGTATTTTTTATTTTTTATTGATTGACTGCGGAACCTTCCGCAGTCAACCATTGGTTTTGTATTTCTTTATTCCGTCATTTTTTTTGACACGTTTCACAGCTTTCACATTTTCAACAATTTCCACAAGTTATACATCAAAACGTTCCACATGTTTGGGAGATTATTGCTATTACTTTTGGGACTTCAGCGATTTCCGGTTTTTCCGCAATCGGACAAAAATCTGCATTGAGAATTCTGCAATGCATTTTAATAGGCCCATGCATTTTAATAGGACTTCACAGGCCCGTCCCAAGGGGGGTGCGAGGCCCTGTGCGAACTCGAAACGCGAGGCCCTGCCCTGACACTTTTTTCCCAGATCTGAGGAAAGTTTTTCCTGTTATAATCTTTGACATGAATTCAGCACCACCTCGCGCGGTGCTTGACGAGATCAGCACGCGCGTAACCGAGTGTCTTCGCTCCTATGCAGCGTTTGGCGCGCGCACGTACACACGCACACACACTCTACGTGCAATATTGGTCGCGGTCTTTTTAGCTGACATGTCTCTTTCGTCCTGTGGCAAAATGGTAGAGCAACTCAAAAGATTGAACCAAAAGGAGTCTTTTTCTTCTAATAGTTAGATTTGGGCAAAATGCGCCAAAATGGCTATGAGGCGGAGTCAATATTATTATTTTCTCATCAAATAACGTTTTTGCCATGCCTCCACACACTCTGACAACATACACTCCTCCTCCTCCACACTGACAACAACAAAATACTCTTCACCTCCTCCTCCACACACTCTGACCACAACAAAAACACTCCAGCTAGCTAAAGCTAGACATACAGTGTGTTTGCTAATGCTTTTAAAAATATGTTTTTGATGTGGATATTCGGACTAAACATTGGCAATAGCAGCGCTCACACACCTGTCACACCGCTGATCCTCCTCCTCCTCCTCTGCTCACACAAAGGGGTCTGCTCCTCTGCTCACACCTGTATCACTGCTCCTCCTCCTCCTCCTCCTCCTCCTCCTCTGCTCACACAAAGGGGTCTGCTCCTCTGCTCACACCTGTCTCACTGCTCCTCCTCCGCGAGTATCCATCTCTCCTACACTGCGATCATTCCCGTTACTTTCTTTGTATCTCACTCAGACACTGCTAAAGTTATCTGACAGTTTTTTCGGAGGACCCGTTGCATACATAGCTGCCCGCGCGCCTGCCTGTTTACAAATCGCTTTTGGTGAAAATTTGACTTTACTTGTAAAAATGTTCTTTTGATCAAACGAAATCAAAGAGGTCCAGAGAAAGGGGTTTAGGGTTCCAAATTTGGAGTGCAGTCTGCCCTTTGGGGACCCTTGAACTAGTGTATTTATAAAATAAAATAAAAGGAAGGAAGATTGCGAGGCCCCTGTGTGGTGCGAGGCCCTGTGCGACGGCACAGGTCGCACAGCCCTTAGGACGGGCCTGGGACTTCAGCTCTTTCAGACATTTCTACAGTTTCAATGATTCAACAGTTTCAAGGATTCAACAGTTTCAAGGATTTCAGCAGTTTCAAGATTTCAAGAGTTTCAAGGACTTCAACAGTTTCAAGGACTTCAGCAGTTTCAAGGACTTCAGCAGTTTCAAGGACTTCAGCAGTTTCAAGGACTTCAGTGTAATCATGCAACCTAATAGGGATTTTTCCATGTAAACCAGTATAATGCAACTTAATAGGGATTTTTCCATGTAAACCAGTATAATGCAACTTAATAGGGTTTTTTCATGTAAACCAGTATAATGCAACTTAATAGGGTTTTTTTTCATGTAAACCAGTATAATGCAACTTAATGGGGATTTTTCCATGTAAACCAGTATAATGCAACTTAATAGGGGTTTTTACATGTAAACCAGTATAATGCAACTTAATAGGGTTTTTTCCATGTAAACCAGTATAATGCAACTTAATAGGGTTTTTTCCATGTAAACCAGTATAATGCAACTTAATAGGGTTTTTTCCATGTAAACCAGTACAATGCAACTTAATAGGGATTTTTCCATGTAAACCAGTATAATGCAACTTAATAGGGTTTTTTACATGTAAACCAGTATAATGCAACTTAATGGGGATTTTTCCATGTAAACCAGTATTATGCAACTTAATAGGGATTTTTCCATGTAAACCAGTATAATGCAACTTAATAGGGTTTTTTCATGTAAACCAGTATAATGCAACTTAATAGGGTTTTTTTTCATGTAAACCAGTATAATGCAACTTAATGGGGATTTTTCCATGTAAACCAGTATAATGCAACTTAATAGGGGTTTTTACATGTAAACCAGTATAATGCAACTTAATAGGGTTTTTTCCATGTAAACCAGTATAATGCAACTTAATAGGGTTTTTTCCATGTAAACCAGTATAATGCAACTTAATAGGGTTTTTTCCATGTAAACCAGTATAATGCAACTTAATAGGGATTTTTCCATGTAAACCAGTATAATGCAACTTAATAGGGTTTTTTCATGTAAACCAGTATAATGCAACTTAATAGGGTTTTTTTTTCATGTAAACCAGTATAATGCAACTTAATGGGGATTTTTCCATGTAAACCAGTATAATGCAACTTAATAGGGGTTTTTACATGTAAACCAGTATAATGCAACTTAATAGGGTTTTTTCCATGTAAACCAGTATAATGCAACTTAATAGGGTTTTTTCCATGTAAACCAGTATAATGCAACTTAATAGGGTTTTTTCCATGTAAACCAGTACAATGCAACTTAATAGGGATTTTTCCATGTAAACCAGTATAATGCAACTTAATAGGGTTTTTTACATGTAAACCAGTATAATGCAACTTAATGGGGATTTTTCCATGTAAACCAGTATTATGCAACTTAATAGGGATTTTTCCATGTAAACCAGTATAATGCAACTTAATAGGGTTTTTTCATGTAAACCAGTATAATGCAACTTAATAGGGTTTTTTTTCATGTAAACCAGTATAATGCAACTTAATGGGGATTTTTCCATGTAAACCAGTATAATGCAACTTAATAGGGGTTTTTACATGTAAACCAGTATAATGCAACTTAATAGGGTTTTTTCCATGTAAACCAGTATAATGCAACTTAATAGGGTTTTTTCCATGTAAACCAGTATAATGCAACTTAATAGGGTTTTTTCCATGTAAACCAGTACAATGCAACTTAATAGGGATTTTTCCATGTAAACCAGTATAATGCAACTTAATAGGGTTTTTTACATGTAAACCAGTATAATGCAACTTAATGGGGATTTTTCCATGTAAACCAGTATTATGCAACTTAATAGGGATTTTTCCATGTAAACCAGTATAATGCAACTTAATAGGGATTTTTCCTTGTAAACCAGTATAATGCAACTTAATAGGGTTTTTTTCATGTAAAACCAGTATAATGCAACTTAATGGGGATTTTTCCATGTAAACCAGTATTATGCAACTTAATAGGGATTTTTCCATGTAAACCAGTATAATGCAACTTAATAGGGTTTTTACATGTAAACCAGTATAATGGAACTTAATAGGGGTTTTTACATGTAAACCAGTATAATGGAACTTAATAGGGGTTTTTACATGTAAACCAGTATAATGCAACTTAATAAGGATTTTTACATGTAAACCACTATAATGTAACCTAATAGGGGTTTTTACATGTAAACCAGTATAAAGCAACTTAATAGGGATTTGTACATGTAAACCAGTATAATGCAACCTAATAGGGATTTTTCCATGTAAACCAGTATAATGCAACTTAATAGAGATTTTTCCATGTAAACCAGTATAATGCAACTTAATAGGGATTTTTCCATGTAAACCAGTATAATGCAACCTAATAGGGATTTTTCCATGTAAACCAGTATAATGCAACCTAATAGGGATTTTTCCATGTAAACCAGTATAATGCAACCTAATAGGTTGCATTATACCACCAGACCAAGACCCAAACGAAGACTCAGACCACCACCAGATAATGACCACAGACCAGGTTTCCTTAGTTACAGGAACCAAATTGTTTCAGCGGTGAGGGGATTTTTCAGTTTCAAGGACACTTTCAATACATTCAGTAGTTTCAAGGATTTCAAACTGTTTAAGAATTTAACCAGTTTCAAGGATATCAGGAGGTTCAAGGATTTCAGGAGTTTCCACACTTTCAACAGTTTCCAGGTTTAAAAAAAGTTTCAAGGATTTCAGGAGTTTCAATGTTTCAACAGTTTCAAGGATTTCAGGAGTTTAAAGGTTTCAACAATTTCAAGGACTTCAGGAGTTTCAAATATCTATCAAGTATTTTAACAGTTTCAAGGCCTTTTAAAGGATTTCAAGGATTTTTTTTAGCAGATTTCCACATTAGATCTGTTCCGCAGTCAATCGCAATGGCTTCAGCCATTGCAAGTTTCTAGT